CATGATTGCGATATAATGTTAATAGATTTAATGGTTTAATCCTAGTATTTGGTGCATAGGGGATTAGGCGACATGATGATGAGAAGTAAACGGGTTATTTACGATGAGCAGTAAACGAGTCATTTTGGCGATTTAACAATCTTATTGACATATATTCCACTGCATTTTGTTTCAATTAGTTTTTTTTCATTGCTTTATGAAACATTTGCTTATATTCTTTATACCAGCAAATTATACGCTTATTCAATTTTGTTTCTGTATTGTAGCCGTTTGATTTATGTATTTATTTTTTAAGTATCGATTTCCTTTATATTCTTCTTCGCCATATCTTTAGGTAATTAATTCAGTTAAAATCTGTAGAATCATTTTTCTCTTTTATTTTATCAAATTTTTAATCATTTCTTTTCGATTGTGTATTTGTTTGGCAGACTTGTATGTAAAAATTTAGAATAAATTTCACTGGCTTTACCTTTTTTTTGTTTTTTGTATTTTGTTTTGAATTTATTTAGTAGTTTTACATAATACCGATCGTAATTTTTCAATCTTCTTTATGTTCCTGTAATTGGTTATTGTTGTAAAATAAGTTAACTAACTTGTGAAAATTTACATTGAATATTTTTTTGAAGTGCTGATCTTTTATTTCTCAAAAATTTTTACTTTAATGCTTGGATTATTTTGTAAACCTTCCCTAGTTTTAATTTGTCTCTTGTTTTGTTTGAAATTTGCATTTAATTAAATGCAGGGATGCACTTTGTTATTTGTATGGCTAAAGAGGAATGCTATTTATTATTTAAAACGGCGGGCTATCATATTTTGAAGTACAGTAACTCAAACTGGCCAATTGCTGCATTCCTATAAATACGAAGATGAGCAATTATATGCATTTTCCAAACAATATAATTAGAGCACATAAAAAGTCCAGAATCTTGCACCATATCATCTTTTTTGAAGTTTCTCTGTTTATTGCTTTCATAGATCTTTACAATACCCACTTTTTCATTACTCGACACTACTTGTTATTGGTACTTTGGTATTGTCCAAACTAGGGATCTACCGAATTTCATTAGTTAACCAGTTTTCTACTAGATAGCAGCACCTTTTTTTCAGACTTGTTTGTAAAAGCAATGTTTATGCTTATTGTTTCTTTCACATGCAATTTTCCCCTTGAATTTGTGGAGAGTTTTTAAAATGCTGTCTTCGAATCTTTGTTATCGTATGTGCCCCAATCATATGATACTGATGATGACACACAGCCAAGAACAAATGAGGCGAGTACTTTTGTTTTTGGTGACAGCCATCTTGGAAACACTGCTTCCTGGCATCAATGATATCGCAAAAAATACCTAGGGACACCCGATTGTCAACTTTTATCCAATTAAATTCTAATACTGGAGAGATACGATTAACTATGCTTTCTCAGGAAATACTGAAGAATGATTAACATTTAAAGACTTAGTTACTTTAAATGTATGTGAAAATAAAACTATTTCTACTGCTATAAAGTTGAAATATTTAGTTAGCAGCAAAAGCTATGCATAAAAAATTATACATTCAATAATCATTTCTAATGCAAATTATGAAATTTCTTTGGAAGTTACTTAAGACAGACAGGGAACAGGACACCTTGGTGAATACACTTTCTATTAAAACAGCCAACTATTAATGAATATCTTCAGAAAATGTTAAATTTAGTTTATGTAACAAATGAATGTGTGCGATCTTCAGTAATGTTAGATTATAAACTAGGAAAGTTTAAGTGAAGCCATGATTGTCCACATTCTTGATGAAAAATTAAGACAAATCTAGATACTTGTCTGTTATGGACTTGCATGCTTTTCGGTGTCTGTAAAAGGGAAAAAAAAACAGATACCGATACTCAACGATAGCACTCTCTGGGGATTGTGTGTAAACAAGAATATTTAAACAAACACACACATATATTATTATAACAGTGCTGCTAAAGTGCTAGGCAGGTGCATGACAGAAAAGTATCTGAATCTATTAGAAATTGGTGAGAAAGAGAACTAAAAGGAGATGAGCTACGTATTTTAAACGAGTTGTTATCTTTTTTGCTAACTCAGGTATACACTTTGCAAAATTGAAAATTTAAAGAATCTAAAACTCATTTTAATGTGAAATTATTAATGGCAGATAAATAAAAAATGTTCATTGTGATCATACCTTGATCATCTGCTCTAAGATTAACAGTATGTTGGTGTCCCCCCCCCAAAAAAGGGAGGGAGGGATGATTTTATAAAGCATTGCAACATTTGTTTTAATTGCTTATCTCCTAACTGCTGGGTAAAATCATGCAAGAATACTCCTGAGTGTAAATCATGTCAACATTACAAGAAGAAAAGATTTTTAAAAGGTGTTGGAACAAGTCAGACTACCATTGTTGAGTGCATACAATTTGCACAATTACATAGCCACCTTCGCTGCCATATCTACTAATCAGTGCCAAAAATTTCTCAAAGAAGCTAAACTACAATCATTCTAACTATATCTCTTACAGATATAATCCAACACATCTCTCTTAATGCAGCTTGCAGAAGTATTGGGCCAGGATACATACGATAGCATCTGACGAGCATTTCACCAATCAGGTAATTTTTAGTAATAAAAATTGGCTGCTTCTGCTCCTCGGGAATCTGGACATTTAACAGTTTGCCACCTACTCTCAGAATTCCACATTTTTCGATGAATGGTAACAAGTAGAGAATTATGCTACTAACATGCACATGCTTCTCTGATCTTAGGAATTTTTTTCTAAACCTCAAACATCAAGAAATGGTACACATCTTCCCTATCCAAAATGAATATCTGCTAAAGATGCTACAGTTTCATTACTCCAGACAGATACAGACTCCATTTGCTGTTTTTACCATTTCCCTTTCTTCTTCCAGTACTTCTTTTGTCAGACTCACAGATTCTACTGTTGCCACATCAGTAAAGATCATTAACATACAAGTCTCTTCATGCAATTTCTGAAGCTCTTTGAAAATGTCCTTCCTCGTCAACAGCTATGAGCATAATAGCTCTATTAGAGAGTAATGATGCTGATTATTTTCTGTATGTCACTGTATATAATTGGTACTCTTCCAGTTGGCCATCTTTAGATTCTCTTATAGTTTTAAGGATTCTTTGACAATTTGCATCGCTGGAATTCACGCACTTGCCAAAACATTTTTTCAAGTACAGCATGGAATAAATAGGTCTTGTTAGACTCTTGGATTTACCATTAATGCATCACTAAAAAAAAAAAGACCTGATGCTTCATAAACAATCCACAAATTTTTCATCACATTCAACTCCTTAATGACCACATGTTATGGCAGTTAGAAGCCTTTTGTTGCATCCTTTTGACTCTCTTCCTTCAGAATTTTCTTCATATGCCTGAGCCACATTAGTATTGCTGCGCGATCATGGGAAATGCTAAAGGTTCTTTATAAAAGGTGGAATCTCTTCATTGCTTGTTGTTTTGATTCTCCTAACTGCTCATGCAATAACGATAAATCTGCCATCTGTATTTCCTGAATGCATATTCTGAAAATGTAATTCACTTACCTTTTCTTACTTAGATAAATATGTTTTTAGAATCGGCAGATTTTCTAATAAGTTCATCAGTAGTGCATATTATTTACCATAAAAAATAGTGCATCCTGATAGGTCAAAGGTTCTTGAAATTACCCAGCCAAATACAGAGCAAACTGGTAATGGCAGACCTTTCCACTTGTTGTTCATTTTTCCTTTTAATGCTGCAAAGTTACACCCACTCTTAGCAATATATCAATGGGACCCATTTTGTGAAAGTAAAGATCCGCGAGAACCAAACCTCCCTCTACGATTCTGATGAATTTTAGGATCAACTGACGAGTGCAACAAATTCTGTGCTGTAATCCTGAGCACAACAAACACAGAGTTGTTAAATTTCGATTACGTTTCAATATGCGGGAAAAGGTCTTACAGTACAGTGATATTGGTAGGTGTGGCCAACAAACTAAGGCATGAAGCTGTAATTTTTGCCCTAGGGAAATAAAGATGAGCTGCTTAGTCTTCTGTAATAAAACTGGCCTAACTACCAGGACCTAGCAGTACACAACATAACTGATATTTTCCCACAGAATCCAAAATATTCATTATTATTGTACAAAGTAACACCTCTTTACTTACAGCTATCTTTAACTGGAAATCTTTGTTTCTTAACTCATCTTAACTTTCTTAACTAAAGAAAAAAGATGGTTAACTGGCTCCTTACAAGTAACAGTTGAAGAATTAGTTAATATCTTCAGAATAGATGGGCTCGACAAAGCTGAAATAATGCTTGACATTCTAGTGCCTTGATTAACTGTTTTACATGACAAGTATTTGGTCTTTTAATATGCAAAAGATTACTGTGTCTTTTGACATGATTTACACTTAGGAGTTCCTCTTACATAATTTTACCTGATGATTAGGAGATAAGCAATTAAAACATATATTATGATTTTTTTCCTACCGAAGTACCGCCATTAACAATTTTACATTAGAATGCCTTTCAGATTCCTTAAATTTACAATTTTGCACAGTAAGCGCTTGAGTTTGTAAGAATGCTAACAACTAGTTTAAAATATCTAGCTCATCTTCTTTCAGTTCTCTTTCCCACAAACTTCTAGTATATTTTTTTAAGTTTTTCAACCATAATATGCACAATCATGGTTTCATTCAAACCTTCAACTTTATAATCTAACACTGCTAAAGCTCTATAAAATCCAAGAAAAAGGTAACTATTCTTAAAGCAATAAAATAAACCTATGCTCTCCATTAAAGCAATTATTCTTTTAATGGAAAGTATATTTAAAGAATTCACCTGTATGTTAGTTTTACATTGTAACATCATGATCAACTTGTTCCAACTGACAAACTTGAAAAAACTATGTTATATTTAACAGATTTAAAAGTTATATTTTAACAGATTTAAAAATTTTACATAACAGATTGTGAAAACTGACACAAGTAAATAGATTTGATTCAACTTTTATTTCTTCAAAGAATGTATACAATAAAATACTGTAAGCTGCCAAAGCATTAAAGTATCTCTATCTTTTATATATATATAGTTTAAAATAAAAAATAATGCTTAACACTGGGAAAAGAATAAAGATAAAAATGTGGTAGAAAATAAAAATGAAATACATCAAAACATTGGTGCAAAACATTAAGAAATTACGGGAACAAAAGCAATAACAGCGAATCAAAAGCAAATAATTTTGCTATCCACCAAACTTGACATTCTTACAAACTCTTGATGATTAAGGAATACAAGACGCAAGATTTAAAACATTCATATTAAAAAAGGTACTTAGACGAGGACACCGAGTTTAGATTATAACTGGAAATAACAATCAAAGGAATAAACTACAAAAATCACTAACTATTCATAATTTCTTAACTTAATAACTTCAGTGTCAGTACTTAAGGAATATGAGAGAGAAAGCTATTCAAAAGGAAAAAAAAAAAAAAAATTCACATCTTCACTTTGCAAGTATGTACATTTACAGCAGCACTTTCTCAGCACTGATGACTTCAGTGTGCAGACAACTAAACTCCAATGGTAATGATTCAACAACAAACATGAGGTGAACAGATTAAATGCAATAAGCAATTGGAATGACAGTCAAGTAAGAATCATTTGAAGACTATCATACACGAAGTGAGAAGAGTTGTTGCTCTGTAAATAGAAGTCTTGTCTAACAACAGGTCTTCTCTCCATGCTACTCATAACTGGTGGTAAATCAGCAGAGAATTTAGACTGCCTAGAGAAGGTGAAGTTGTCTGCATTGAAGCAGTTCGGCAGAAGTCGTTAGAAGGAATGTAGTTCAAGCGTCTTCTGGCCGATGGGGAGGTCCATCACACCGGTGAGAAAGCAGCAGGCTATTTCTTTTTGAGAGTAAAAAATCCTCGTTTTTTATGTTCATCCTTCTTTTCACTGTCACCTTTGGCAGGAAGAGTCTGTGAACGAGATGGCCCAGATGATCCCTCACTTCCGATAGCTGCTTGTAATTTCTGAAGCCAAAGGTTCATTTCATCCTACAAAAAAGACATTGTTCACAAAGCAATTACAACGTGAAAAATAAGGAGTCTTAAAATATGTTCAATAAATAAGGCTAATATTTTTCTAAAAATTCCACAAATGTAAGTAAAGACACTGCTTATACATTTTAATACTGCTGACCATCCGAAATGCAACAACACGGAGGCAGCATTCAGAAGGTTTGAAATTCAGACCACATGCAGACATCATTGCAGTGCACGGCACTATAAAAAAGGGATAAGAGAATGCTGTTTTAAAGTACTGTAATTGGGTGTTTGCTAACTTTTCTTTTGCATGAGGTTAGCAATTATTTGAGCAAATCCGAGTTTGACAAAGAATAATTGTGGCTTGTACAGACTAATCATGCTGGATGAAAACAAGCCAAAGTGATTTCTACTGAATCATCATGATTAGAGGAATTACCAATTCAGTGATCACCCCTAAAAGGACAGGTGAAATGACGGAGAACAGCAATGGCTGCAGCAGTCCTATCACACCACTGAATGAGAAGACAGACATGCCATGCACAGCAATGTTGGGTCACACAGCAAAATTAAGAACCCTAGTATCAGGTTGCACAACATTTAATATGCATTGCTGACAAACATAGGAGCCTATTTACTGTCTTTGTGTCAAGGCTCCCAAGTTTTAACAGGACAGTGCATGCCTGCATGATGTAGTATACATCATTCAATTATTGTTCACTGCCCACTGCTGCCCTACTGCCTGGATTCCCACCAGTTTTCTTAATATATTTTAGATGAACATCGCTATTAACTTGCTAAACATTTTCAAAAACCTGTCAAGATTGCTAAAGTTAAAAATATTAAATTTTAATTAATTTCAATTAAAAAATTATTCTGAATTTTTTACTCAAAATAAAATGTGTTAATGATCAGTATAAAGAAATGGCATGCATTCTCCCTTCCAAGACTTCAGCATACATTTTCCTTCAGAGAAAGGATCTTGATATTAAATATTTTATAAGTAATAATTTTTTTACCAGATAGTATTATTCTCTAATACAGTATAACCTTATGCAATATTAACCAGTGAACTTGCATATTAGAAAGAAACTTATAAAAATGTTATCTTATAAGAATACAAGATTTTGTATAGTATTTTAACATATTATACAAATAAATGACCATTAGTTTTAGATATCTATTAGCAGTTATAATACGATACAAAAAGGCCAATATTTATAGATTTGTTATTAAATATGATGAGACAGTACTTACATCATCTTTTGCTTGGAACAAATAATCAGCACCATTGGCTAACCTATTATGGAAAAAGCAGATTATAAGAGGAAGAACGAGTTTTAATAGATTTGCTTTACAAAGCTCAAACCATAAAACAAATTTAACAACATGAAATAATTATTTTCAGAGCTGTTTAAATTATAAATAAAAATTGTAATTAAAATTACACAATAAAAATTTAAATTAAAATTACAAATAGTTATAACCTTAATTATAATTTTGTAAATATTCTTAAACATTTCTGGTTACATTAAAAATTAAAAGCAATACTTTCCCATTATGCAGTTGTAAAACTACATAGCATAACAGAAAATTACTTAACTATTTGAGTCCCAAGCAACATGATCGCGCTATTGAGATTTTATGTCGAGAAAAACCCAGTACATTTCGAACATTGTCGACAAAATGAGAAACAGGCTGTGCTCAGACGGGGCATAACTGGTTAAAGCAGAGCTGCATTGCCAAGGCAACCAATCTGTGCCACGTCACATAATCTGGTTTAAGGTTCACAGGCACAAAGTTCCAAGTTTTCAACTTTACACAGAGTTTGGAATAAGCATCGACCAATTAGAGCGGAGCTAAAACGAAGCGGCTTTCTTTAAACAATTTCGCTGTCACATCGAAAGCGACATTTTTTTTTTTTTTTTTTTTTATATATATATATATATGGAGCGCATCATATCCGAACAAAATAATGAGTTGATCTCTCAAGAAATCTACAATGATGACATGCATTTTTAATGAGTTTTCACAATAAATTGAAAAATATGGATGAAACTCGTAAAGTGAAAGTTAAGCTCAGGATCATGCACACTGTGTACGAATCTGTAGATGATTGATCCCATCCATTATTTTTCATTTTATTATGAAAATTCTTTAAAAAATGCATGCTTGCAAAAATTTTATTTCTTCTGTGCAAATTATTATTATTACTTTCTTTCTGTTTATTATTTTTGTATAAATTATTACTATAATTTTCTTCCTGTTTAATTATTTTTGCATTTAAGAATAAGTTTATTGAAAAAGCTGGAAATATGGTGATTTTCTTTCCAAACAAACATCAAGAATTAATTTTACTAAAACATGAAATCAATATCAAGAATTTGCTTACCCCCCCAGCAAAAATATTACTTTAAAAAAAGTTTATTTTCACTTATTTAAGAATAGTCACAATAGTCAATTCAATAGTGTAAGCTTTGTATAAGTAATAAAAGATTAATCTTTCGAGAAAATGCTCTTATGAATTCCAAGAAGGAAAAAATGTAGTGAAATATCCTTCAGTCAACAGTCTAGACAGTTTTGTATCCTGTTGATGTTCTATTCTGTTTTTTAATTACGTTTTCCATGAAAGGAATTTACTTTTAATGAAACTGAATAGCACACATAATTCATAACATACACTATAATTTAATGAATAGTATTTGTTATTATTATCCACTCATTATTACTACCGTTTGAGTGAAATTTTGATAATTAAATTCATGCTATTTCTCTGGTAGAAATTCCTGGATAAGGTATGAATGTTTATATATAATCGGTCAGCAAATGAAAAATCATTAAAAGTACTTACTTCTGACAACAGACGTGGATGATGATTTTGGTTTGGTTTATTGAGATTACGGCAAAGCACACTAGGGCTATCTGCCTAAAGGGAGGGCTGCCTTCGTGGAGGACATTCTAAGGAAAACTGGCTCATATACACATTACACATGGGGAAAAACCACGAAAACGCCCATGCAGCCAGCCCGTTCGCGCGATTTGAACTTCGAAGTGAACTACTAGTGTTCAGCGACTTTACCACTCCGCGGCTTGTGGGCTCCAGACGTGGATGAAACTTAACATCTATGACATCTCAAAGCAGAGCAGAGTTTAATTTGAATTACTTATGTGATATAAACATACCAGTTTGCAGAATTATCCACAAAAATTACTGAAAGTTGTTATTTATTTTGCACTGTAGTCTCTTGAGTGTAATCCCTGTTTTTTCAGGAAAAGCATATGAAATTCAGGGGTGCGGCTTATACATGCTAATGATTAGAAATAGATGCATACAAACAGCTGGCGACACAGCAAAATGTATTTAAACAGCAAAATGTATTTAATGATTGAGCATAAAATATATTTTTGGTTGAACGTTTCATAGTACTGTACATGTTTGGTTGTCGTTATTGGTCATAGTGACCAGTTGTGGGATACTAGCACTAGTGATAATTGATACTGGTAGTGCAGCCAACTACTGTAGTGATTGACAGTGACAGTGAATAAGGAGTGCTAAGCACAGAAGCATATTCCTTTTGATTGAAAATTAAAAAAAAAAGTAATGTATGGTTCGCTTAACTGCTTTCAAACCTGCAAAATGGGAAAATATTATATACAGGCTATCTGTCACTTATAGTCAAGATTTTATTTTTAATCACGCATATTTAGAATATTGTATTTCTCCTAACAGAAATTAAATATAAAAATTGAAGAAGGTTTTTTATATATAAATATGCATGCACATGTTTATAGTACTACAGTGCAATGCAAAAATATTCCATACTGCTTCACACAGAAATATGTGCCAACCAAGCACTTTCCAAAAAAACATCTCTAGACCATTTCGTTCTTTTTCTTCTTTTTTTACCTTCTTCTGTTGCCTCTTGGCTTATAAGAAGGGCAGATAAAAGAGCATTCTGTTGAACCATGACACAAAATAACGAAAACAAGTAGAGCGAGCGTGGAAAATCAATCGGGCTGCAAAACAGTGAGCGAAACACATCCACGCATGCGAAAATTTAGCTTCTCTCGTTGGCCACAGCTTAGACTCCCGTCTTGCAGGTGTTAACCCCTTAACTGCTGCGGGCGTATATATACGCCTTGCTCAGCCGATGCGTTAACTGCCCCAGATGCGCAGCCGATGCGTTAACTTTGCGAATAATTTTAGGTATAGCAGCGCAAAGCAAATGATAGCAGTTTGGAAGGATGTATATATACGCCTGGGGCAGTTAACGCATCGGCTGAGCAAGGCGTATATATACGCCCGCGGCAGTTAAGGGGTTAACGGAACTCCTGTATTTTATGCCCTTATGACTATGCCTCTATGTTCTTTATGCCGCCGTCTGAACACAGCTTTACACAAGAATACATCCAATCACTTTGCAAACTGCAATAAACGTGATGGAGCGATAAGAAAAAGACGAGAATTGAGGTACCTAACGAATACAAGAAGCGCTATTGCTCCAATTGGGATTCATTGATGTAAAATAAACAAAGTGCTATCGCACCGCTTTATATTTCTCGACATAAAATAAAACAAGCGCTATTGTGCTACTTGGGTCTTTCCGTACACGCAGTTGCACTGTTTGGGATTCTTTGACAGTGTTTTTTCAATATCCCCAGGACTCAAATGGTTAAAAATGTAGGAGATGGGGCTGATTTTAATTACTACAAAAATTGCATTACAAAACAGGAAAAAATTCATAGCCTCGTTTAACCTTCCAACTAGCTGATACCCAATTTTCCAAACTTTTCAAAACTGCCATGAGAAAGAGCTTATTTGTTTAGTTATAATAACAAAATGCTTTTAGTACTTTACACCAATTTCTTAGACATATTTTTTATACACACACACAAACTTAAGAGCATTACAAAAAATATTCTAAGATACATATATGCGGCTTGTCCAGGTGGAGGGTTAAAATATTCTTGAACCCTCTATTATCTAACTTAATTATAGTTTATTCAGCGATTAAATGCTTAAACGTTACAAAAAAAAAAAAAAAAAAAAAAAAAAAGAAAGAAGAAGAATAAGAGACGTCAAGACTGATTCAGAATTTAAAATGTTTTTCGACCTTACTGATTAGTAGTCTCTTAATCTCTTCTAAAATTTCTAGATATTACCGCTAACAGTTATCATGCTTAATAAAATCCCAATGTTTTAAGACATAACATGTAGTCTTATTTGGCATCAGTTTCAGTAAAAGCTTGTAATATCAATTTTTTATTGGAATGTAAATTAAATTTGATCTACTTTAAGCTTTACTTGGCATGTATCTACCACAATATCACATAGCACTTAATTTAAAAACACAGTTACCGTGATTAACAGAGTATTGATTGTTTCAAAAACTTCATTTTTAGATTCTCAAGTGTACAAAAACTTCATAAATCTTCCTAAACATTTTAGGATTTTCGTTTTCTTTCTTTTTTTAATTTGCTTCTTGAACACCATAAATTATAATTTTCCCTAGCAAGTTCTGAAATTTCTCTTCAACACTTGCTCTTTAATAAATTAAATTATTAATCTTTAATTTTAAATTTAATAATAATAAATAAAATTATTAATCTTTAATAAAAAATTAAATTAAAAAAGTAAGATTTTGAAGGAATATCGACTATCAACAGCCACAATATACACTGACCATCTTATATATACATTTCTAAAGCATACATTTTAAATTTATATTTACACTTTTCAGCCTAAACATTATGATTACCCTCACCTTGAGAATGTGCTCACCAGAATGACATAGATGACATGAGACAAGGTGGGTATGCCCTTCAAGTGTACAATCAAAAGCTTGCCGACGCTAAATCTCAGTCTTTGAAAACATTTCTTTTGACCATTGATGTTCAAAATGTATGGAAAAAGATTTACACGTATGGAGTTAAAAAGAGATTTCGTGGAAAAAAAAAGTTGAAATAACTGGTATTTGTCTTCCCACTGCAGAGACAACTCACTCTTTAGAAGAGACAATTACTGCTGTGCTTCAGAAATCTTTCCCCTCGAATCTGGAGGAAAATGATGATAATTTACATAAGGAATATCGTCAATCTGCGCGTACTGCTTATTCTTCTTTTGTTGATCCTATGTTTTCCTGTGATGAAATTAATACACTTATTTAATGCAGGAACTAAATAAATCACCTGGTCCTGATTCTATTTCAAATCATTTAATGTTTCCTCAATTTCTCCATAAACTTTTTAACGTTTGCCTAAATGTTGGCATTTTTCCACGTGTTTGGAAACATGCTCAAGTAATTCTTACTCCTAAAGGAAATGAGTCTAGGATTCCTCACCTAGATAACCTTAGATGTATAAGCTTATACTTCCTGTTTTAGGTAAGTGCTTGGAAAAACTTTTTATTAACAGAATTTGCTGGTATCTCCGCCATGGAGACCTTTCTGGTAATCAGTATGGTTTTACACCTCAAAAAAGTTCTGAAGACGCTCCTTTACGCTTGAATGAAATTGTTCAGAAAGGAAAAAAGAAAAACTTGCACACTATTTTGGTCTTTTTGAATATGAAGGGCGCCCTCGACTATGCGTGGTGGCCTTGTGTTCTCAATCTTCTCAAAAAAGTGGAACTTCCAATGAATATTTTTTCACTTGCTGCTGATTTTTTAAATGATCGGGCAGCCAAACTGCAATTGGGCTCGGCTTCTGCAATTCGTCACCTTGAAAGGGGTTGCCCTCAAGGCTCAGTTTTTTCAGGACCTACGTTTTAGAATATTATTATTAATGATCTCCTATCAAAACTGGAAAATCTTGCTTATTGTGATACTATAGGCTTTGCGGATGATGTCTTGTTTTGCTGGCCAACTGGTCAAAAGGTTTTAAATTAGACTTTAATCCTGATAAAACCAGTGTTATGATTAGTGAAAAGCGAAACATCTGTTATGATGCATTTCAGTTATCTCTCGATGGCACCCCTTTAACTGTGGTAAAGCAAATGAAATATCTTGGGGGTTTTCTTGACTGCAAGTTTCCTTGGAAGCAACACTAACTTATGTATCAGAGAAATGTGATAGATAACAGCGTGGTTTAAGTCGTATTGCACGCAACACATACAGTATTAATTACAATGTTCATTCGCTCAACTATAAACAAGGAATTGCACCCTTCATTATGTATGGCTCTAAAGTCTGGGGTATATTGCTCAAGAAGATAAATTATACATATTTACGACACGTTCAAAGGCGGATACTTCTGCAGGTCGTATGTGGATATCGCACCGTTAGCTACAAGTCTGTTTATGCAATTTCTTTCTTTCCTCCAATTGACATTGCCATTCTTCATTCTATTCCTTATATGGAAAATATTTCTGCTTCTGCTGTCTCTCAGTATATTACAATTATTGTATTTTACCTCCATCTGATCTTCCTCATCCTTCAGAAAGAAATGGTTCCAAATCAATGGTTACAACAGTCGCGAGTCCACGAATATTATGATTGGATCATGTTACAATGGAATAGAGTTACATGATCAGATGAATCACATTTTCATTTACATCATGTTTATGGCTAAAGTCAGGGTATGTCATCTCCCAGATGAACAGTTGATTTATGCAAACACTGTGCGACATAAATAGGCCGGCTTTGGGAGATGTTCCCAAGAGTATCTCTTGAGACCAGTGATAATTGTACAACATTAAAGTTGCAAACTATTTGAACATACCTTCTGATTAGTTCCCCCCCCTTTTCCACTATAAAATGATGCTTCCAACAAGATAACACTCCTTGTCAGAAGGCAGGAATTGTCAGACAGTTGCTGAGGAACATGACGATGTGCTGGCTTTTTTAACTTACGAGAAATTAATTTTATTAAGCATATCTGGGACTTGCAGAGCACCACTGCTTCTTCATGAAAATTTTGAAAATCTGAAACATCATAAATGGTTTCAAAATATCTAGTTCTGTTATTTCTCGATCAGCAAAATTTTCTACAGTATTAGAAATATTTAATTGTCTGACGAAAAGTGCAGTCATGGTTTAAGGTCCAGTTGCAGTCTGTTTACAGCCTTTAATGTGTCACTGCTTAAATAATAAACTCTGGAAAAATTACATATTACATTATTACTCTAAAAATTATACAAGATAATAAAAATAATATGTTCCGGATGCAGGCAAGGAAGTTAAAAATATAGTTTAAGTCTTGAAATAAGACCACCTTTTTAATATCAGAAATGTAATTTAATATATAAAATGAAAAGTACTGAAAACTTACTTTAGACGGAAAACATGTTTCTTCTTTGTGTAATCAGATGCAATTTGTGCTGTGCCACCCCTAAGCTCAATGGGTGATTCATTGCGATAATAGTTCTCAGGCTCCTATCGAGAAAATAAAACATTTTCAGTATTTTGTTGAAGTAAATATTCTAAACATATACTGCTTTCAAATCAGTCAGGTTAACAAACCTGCTTGTAATGCCTTTGATCTTTGTATGCAAACAGCTTATTGCCTTGAAGTACAACATATATTTTATCCCAAGATCTGAAAGTTAAAGAAAAAATATTTTTAAGATTGTTTGTTACATTCAAAAATTAAACAAGTCAAATAACAATACTTCACGAACTAAGAGGGCTGTATAGGAAAATTACCCTGCTCACTAACATTATATATGTTTATTAGAGTACAAAATGGTGATTTTTCTTAAGCATTTAACCTTTATTTAGAGGAGGGCAGATTAATAGCTTCCACAATTTAATTATAATACAAGAAATTAAGATATTTATTTTATGGCCAGTTTAAAAAAAAGCATTTTATGATGAGTAAAATACAATTCAATATGGAAAAATTATTTCACATTATGCACAATAGCACTGTCCCATTCTTAGTACTTCAAATAACTTAAAAAAGGCACAAAATCTCAGAATTATAGGAATTAATCTATATATTTTATACACTACTTTTTTAAAATCTATTAAAATGCTTAATCAGTTACAGTTGTAAAGAAAACATAATTTTAACCATACTCTGGAAAACAATATTAATGAATTAATGGGAAAACTTCATAATAGAAACTAATCCTGAGTCTAATTAGGCGTAGAGGAGTACACAAGTAAAATTTTTTGAAGATAACACTTCTTGTTTTAATTCAGAGCTTCGAAAAGAGTGCTGAAATAAGCAATGCTGGGAAGTGTGTAAAAGAGTAAGAGATTTTGCCTATGATTAAAAAACACTAGATTCTGAATACCGTAGCAGATTTAGTATTCCCCAGGGTGTGCGCCACAGGAAGACCTGTTACTCTCCACACATCCTTAAAAAGCTCTTTTTTGCTTATATGATGATTACATGCATATGAATGGGGGGGGATAACTTCGGTATATGATATTTACATTTCATATTTACACTTTAGTCTATTTGTTTCATGGTAGTACTTTTCAAAGAAAGTGACACCACTATTAAAAAAACACAACCCAATATTGCACGTTTTGCACATGTACTGGGATCCATATCAGATTCACTATCTGAAAGCAATTCGTATAGCACTTTCAATGCTTCAGAAATGGCCAGCCCTCTCCGATCTGTTTGGAAAATAATTAAAAACAAATTTAAAAAAAAAAAAAAAAAAAAAAAAAAAAAAAAAAAAAAAAAAAAACACAACCAATATCTACAATTAGAAAATATATAATAAAATTAAATAAACATCTACAACTCAAAAAAGCAAAAGAGAACTGCTCTAGTGAAAAACCAAACAGCTATCTGATATAATTAATTACCCTTAACCTTCAGAAAATTACCCCAACAATTTGTTAGTTGAAAACCAAACGTCCCCCCCCCCCCCAAAAAAAAAAAAGAGAGAGAGAGAGAGAGAAACAAGAAATGAAACACAGATGAGGACCCACCTTTCTGTAGTCAATGAACTGACCGACGAGATACAGAGAAACAAATACAGTCTCTCCAGTTGTCCTAAAGTCTTGGTGAGCCCGTTTTGGGAATACCTGAGGTTCGCCGTTTGATTTTAGGCAAGATTTCAAGGTAAAAATTTAAAACTAATATAGAATAAAAAAATTAGCATACAACCAAAAAAATAACAAATTTCTTTTCAAACAATTCCTTTATACCTTAAAAAAATCTGGAAGATTTCTTTGAAAAATGAATGTCTTAAAAAACTAAACATGGCTAAAATGTATGGACTGGTTTGTGTTGAGCTGCCATCTACTATACATAAAGAAGGTTCAGAGTAACCTATAGTTATTTATAAATCCTTTTTCATTCATTTTTTCTGTGCATACAGAAGGAAATTTTTTGTGCCGCAAAGGGTTAACTGATGGATTAATGGAAGAATTTCAAAACAGAAACTAATCCTATGGGAGGAGCACACATTTACAGATGCATTAAGTAATTCCATAAAATCTTTCCAATAATATTTTATTGAAAAGAACATTTTAAAAAGGGGGGGAAATGTCTCAGTTGCATTATAACATAAATATAAGAATGGGAAAAGATTAAATTAAGAGCATACTAGACCTATGATAGCAAATATCAAAGATTTTCAGCTGAAAATCTAAAGTACACTTAATTTTTTTTTTCTTAATTAAGTGTATTAATTCTGCAATACCTTTCAAAGTTTTTTTAAAAATACATACCGACTAGTAGCCTTCTTGGTTGTAGACTCCCACTCATGCTTACGTCCTAACAAGCCTTCACATTGAACCTCCTCATCAGGGGAGGTAGCTGTTGGACTGCCTTTTTCTAAAATAAAATATAGCAATAAATTTAAATATTTACTACAAAAACAATACTTTTTAATAAATATTAAATTGTTTAATATAAAGTGGTCAATCTGTTATTCTAAAAGCAAGCTTTAGCAATAAATCCATTTTTCTTTAATTTCAGTCATAGAAAATAAATTATTGTCAAAAGAGTGGGTATTTTAAAACTAAATAACGAGTTCATATTATTTAACGATCATAAAGGTAAAATTTTACCAAATCAAAGGGGAAAAGTTCACTATAAAAACCATTTCTGTTCTTTGTAACTTAGATCTCTTCCTTAAGAGTATAGTTACTGCATTCATAGAGGTAATTATTTAAAGATTGTCCCAAAGGGTTTTATTTTAAAATGGTTACAAAACTGGAGAAATCCCATATGATAGAGCATTTCAACACCATCGTCAAATTAAAACCTTAAGCAAATTATCCTAAAAATGGCCTTAAAAAAAGGAAGTAAATGGAATAAAAGTAATGAAATAAATTTATTACATTACTTCCAAAAATACAATTAGTGCAAGCAGGTCAAAAATAATTTATTGTATAAATATTAACATAAAAATTTCATGCCATTGTTATTTTAGTATGTAAAAAAACTTTTTAAAATTTAGAACTTCACATGTAAACTCTTTAGTAAAAATTTCTTAAACAAAAATTAAAGTAACATATTTTGGAAAAAGTAGTTCATAGAAATCAAAGTACTTCAAAACTGAGCTCAGAATCAGAAGGTTTTCACCATTAAAATGAAAGGGGGGGGGGAGGAACCCAACCTTAATGATCTCTTAAAAAAAAAATATATATATATATATATATACTTCTCAGCTCCTTAGTTGCAAAAAGAAAAATAAAACAGTTTTGTTAAATCTTTTGCATTGAATGGTTTCATTTTAAACAACGTAACAGCCCTATTTTACAAGTAAACCTTTATTACTCCCATTTCAGCAATAAAACTAAAAATTAATACCACCGATTCTAAATTGGGCTATCACGGAAGCTTGGGGGGGATTATCAAGTTAAAATTTCTCTCCTGAACACTATTTCTCTTTCAGATTTGCAATTTTATTGAAGCTAAAAAAAGGAGGCAGTATGGGCATATGGGCCAAAGTGGACACATTTAAAAATCTTAAATCATTAGCACTCCAATTTATTTGTCTGAGTTAATAACATTTCACCAATGAAAAGCATAGTAATATATTTTCTCAGTGCAAAGACTTCATAACCACCACCTGTTATCACCAGAACTGAATTCAATTTACCAAAAAAGCCTCCTTCTTCATCATCTGTTGCTGGTGACTTCTTTTTCCGCCAGCTACTAAATGGAGATTTTGACCGCGACCTTTTTTTCTTGTCCTTTTCAGGAGAAGGGGCTTAGGGGTACGTAAATATATTAGTTAATTTAAAATAAAATACTTTATTGATTGACAACATTAACACTGAAACACAGGCATACCTCAATTTACTAAATTTCACAGATACTGCACATTTTTACAAATAGAGAATAGGGACAATCCTGTATCAAATTGGCATTTTGACATTTTAATTTGCTTGGTTTCTACTTCTATGTTATACTCTTACAATTCACCTAATATTATGAACTTTATCACTGCACTGAAATTACGCCAATTAATAACTGTATAATGGCTTCTGATTTCAATGACTAAGAATTTTTTTTATTACTTAATTTTGTAAAAGATTATTAAATCTGTTAAAATTGCCTACCTCATAAATCTTTCACAGATTTTCAGGTATTTTAAACTTTAACCAAAATTTATTCTGAAATGAGGATTATTCACAATTGTACAATTATCTTTAAATGTTAAAGTTAAAATGGGAATCTGAAAGAAAGCTAAAAACGAGGCCTTTTGCTTCAAACATCTGAGATGGAAGAAGCACTGGAAAATTTTTTGAAGATGATCAAAAGTGTTACTCCAACAAAAACACAAATAAGAAAGTGCACATACTACTTTTCCTACTGCAATACACATAAATATAACTTTTATATGCATTAGAAAAGCAAAATATAATTTGTTTCATTTCATTATTCAGTTAACTGGGACAAACTTGAAACATGCACAAAATATCTAGAGGTATGCCTGTACTGCTAAACGAGAGATGATAAATTTTACAGTGGTACCTTGATAAATCATAAATGAGTCGCTCAACATTTATAATTAGATATGCAATGTAATAAACTTAAAGTAATTGGTACTTGAATTTTAATCAAAATATATACTTAAAAAGAGCTAATAAACACTATTTGATATCCCAAAGATTAACATTTCCTGGAAAATAATTTATCTATGACAAAAAGTAGAAAATCTGGAATAATTTAATTACTGTAAAACTGGTTAAAAAGTTCTTTGATACAACTAGTGCAGTTGCTTTATTTGTCAAATGCATTAAAATCCAGATACCACAGTACGATACAGAGCATAATTAAATGCCAAAATGTAACAACTTACTGCTGGGTGCTGATTGAGATTCTTGTGGAAGCCCACTATGTGATGCTGCAGCAGCTAAAGAAAAAATTATAAAAAGGATAAAGTAAAATTTAGTGCTTAAATAAACATTAAGAACAATTACAAGTAAGTGTTAATAGTATTTAAACCCTATTTATTAAACTATTAGTCATTTAAAAAACCTAAATCAACATATATTTCCTATTAAATTTAATTTTTGCAAATAATAAAAGCATAATTTCTTGCAGTATCTGACAAAAGCATGGTACAAAGCAGATATCTAATTAAAAATTCAGCTTAAGTTTCAATAGGTAGAAGTTCTCTCAGCTATCTATTCTTTTGACTTGAAAATTTGGTAGTAAGACAAAGTATCTAGAAAACTTACTTCCAAAATAACCAATCTACTCAAAGCACCAACCAATATAATACATTGAATTTTCTCTGCCTGTACTTGAATTCATCCGCTTGGTAAAACCTTTGGCAAAACAGTTATTGAGCTACCTATTGCTTAGCTATACCTATTGCAAACCTCTCCAAAAAGCCAATAAGTAAAAAAAAAAAAAATTATCTACGGTACATACTGGATGGCAAATGCATACAATTGTCACACCATTCTAATTCTCAGAGATAGTTACAACACAGTAATTATAATAGAAAGAATGAACAGTTTTTATTTGAGAGGTCTCAAAAATCCCTCTTTTCATATCAACAACTCACAGAAACCCTTTCAACGATTTTACATCACCTCCTTCACACGGCTATTAATATCCAAGACTTTTACAAAGACATGCCATTCTTGCTCTAAACAGATATACACAATTGCACAAAAATATGGCCAACCTATGAGGCCAGATTATTGACTGCAGAATTATAAGATACACTCTTTTGCAAAACAATCAAAGCACCATGAAGGGAGTGGGTGTTTTTTTTTTTTTTTTTTTTTTTTGATGAAATTGAATATGTGTCCAGCTCAGATAATGATTAAAAAATCAAGGTCATAGTACCTGTTCATGGCTCACAATCACCCATTGAGTGTTCAAATTAGTAGTTGGTCGAACCGCCCCTGGCGACAATGCATGTTTGACTTCAAGGCAAGGAGTGGTAGAGGTTCCTAATGTCATCCTGCGACACATTCATCAGTTGTTGCTCCAGATCTGTGATATTTTGTGGTGCCTGAATCTGGTGGCCTATTACGACCCAGACATAACCTTGCTGGCCAAGGAAAAGTATCAACCACATGGGGACAGTCCAGAGATATGCAAGCGGTATGTGGCCTGACATTATCTTGTTCGAAAATGGACCCAGGATGATGTGCCATGAAGGGGAATGAAACAGTCTGCAGGATGGTATCAACATATCATTGAGCTGTTAAAGATGTATGGAGGATGACTAAAGATGACCTGCTGTTATAAGAAATAGTGCCACACACCACCACACCAGGGGTTATGGCTGTATACCTTTGTAAAACAAAGGATGATTGGGACTGCTGGCCCCGTCCTCTCTGAACACGAAAGTCATCTGCTTCAAGAGTAAAGTGAGATTAATCGCTAAACACTATACGATGTCGGTATTGGCAGCACTCCAGACAACTCTGATGTTGTGGGTCAAAGGCAAGCATCTTAAAGGCCTCTGTGATCCTAACTCCGCTTCAGACAAGCCGTGTGAGATGGTGGACGGTACCATGGGAAGTATACACATGACTGTATGTGTTGAATAGTCGATGATGATACCGTTGGGGAGGTTTGGGCCTGGCGAACAATCATCCTATCTTGCCTCGCATTTGTGCTCCTTGGCCTTTCAGAGCCTTCATTTCATCGGCAATTTCCTTGTAACAACCATTACTGCCAACATCTTTGCACAGCAGTGTCTGTACACTGCAGGTGGCGGCTTATTGCTCAGTATGACCACCCAGCTTCATGCAGCCATACAATGTAACCACGTTCGAAGACATTTAGTTGTGTGTAAGGTCTTCAATAGCATCATAATGGCATCTTTAGTTGCTTCTTTACAGAATTACAATGGCAGAAAAAAAGCTTTTTTTACTGGTTATATACTTTGCAAATTGCACACTAGAAACGCGTGCTACGATCGCAACTCCCGTTCATTTGCATGTTCAACCAAGATGATTTTGCATACCAAATTTCATCATGATCGCAAAAGTCCTTCTTGGTGTTTCGATTTTTTTGCAAAGGAGTGCATCATTGATTTAAATCTAGGGTACAAAATTTTAAATAATTTTTAACTAACAAATGCATTTATTTCCTATTTAATTACATTACACTCAGAATTTGTGGGACTTTTCCACCGATTATCTTGTCAAACAACCAATGAGTGCGATTTTGTGCCAATTATGGATGATTCTGTCCTTTAGAATTCTGTAGTAATGATTAGTGATAGTTGCTGAAAATTCCGCCAACGGTAAACAGGATGCTACATAAATACCTTTCTGTACATTGCATAAAAATTGTATAATTAAAGAAGAATAAAGCTTTAAGTTTGTCACAGATGATGATGATTCGATCCAACATTCAAATCTCTAGCTGAAATGATATCTCATTTAAGTTACAGCTTTATCCTCTACATCAAGTTAACAACAGTACTTTATCTTGCTACAGTTTTAAATATTGTGCAGATATTGTCAACTTACTGCATTATTGCACCTAACAACAAAACAAGTCAGACCATCAAAAAAGTTCTGTGAAGCATGTTCAGTCATTAGGACTATTTCGCTTTAAGATTGCATCATTTTTTTCTCTTCTTGGCGCCTTCTATGACGCAGATGTTCATTACAGCAAACCTGTAAACACTCGCTCAGTTTTTTATTGCTGTTGTTAGTAGTAAGTCATCGCTTGAAAGATAGCACACGTGATTAAGGTTTTAGAATAAAATATATTAATTAGTATAGTCCACATCTATACTTTAGGTTAACCTAAGTTGAGAACACTGGATATAGTAGAAAGTGTATGCGTCCGCCATAGAATATAGTTCTACCATTTCGAGAAGTAATATTGTAAAATTTATGATGTGATATATGAATACTGTTGAACAAAGAGAACAGAAGGAAAAAAATGTGTGAAACGATAGATTATGTTAGGTCCAGCTTTTTGTTTATAAATTTTCTAAATCGTGTCAATCATTCAATGACCACCAGGAAGACATCCCCCTTTTTTTTGGCATTATTGGCAAAACTGCAAATTCCAGCAAACCCGACCTCACTCCACTCTTGACGAGAAAAGCAATTAGGGCATTCATTCATTCGCCATGCGGGGAGAAAAAGCATTTTTGGATCCCTTTTCACACTGTAATTCACCATAAACCTAATTACGTACCGTAAGATATTGAATGATGTTTGTCATAAGAGGCATTTTCCTAAATACGAACGATATGTATTGTTAAATCTTAGGGGGGGGGGGGGGTGGGGGGGGGGGGGGGGGGGGGGGGGGGGGGGGGGGGGGGGGGGGGTGGGGGGGGGGGGGGGGGGGGGGGGGGGGGGGGGGGGGGGGTGGGGGGGGGGGGGGGGGGGGGAAAAAAAAGCCTAACTGCCAAACAAATGAGAGAGGAAAAAAAAGGGGCAGAACTATAACTTATAAAAACATTACTTTATACAGCAAATCTTGAAAAATATAGGAAGGTTGAGATAGCCATGTAATCGCTGAATATTGAGAGCAAGCGAACGGGCTGTATTCATGGACAGTTTTGGTGCTTTTCTCATATGTAACGTGAATACGAACTTGTTTCTTTTACAAAGGTCCTCCACGAAATGCATCTCACCCCTTAGTCAGATATCTCTAGTGTGCTTTGCTATATTCAAATCACCTAACCTAACCAATATGGAAGTACTGATCAATTAAATTAACTATGGTAGAAGGAACAAGGTTTCTGTTGACAGGAAGGGATGGCTTCATGGGGAATTTCTAAGGGTAAAGGACCTTTTTTTATACAACACACCGAGGGACTTCTATGCAGTTCAAAGCTTACAAAAGCCATTACAACCAACTCACTGTATACTACCAGTGTTTCACGGCTTAAGCAACTTTATCATTAATGCACTTGATTTGCAGATGATTCCACCTAAGAAAAGGAATAACCAGATTTTTTTCATATGATATGCTTGTTGTTTTTACACCTCAAAGGAAATGTATGGTTTTTGCCTAACTTATACAGTCATACACGTTAACTTAAACAGTCATTCACATATAATTCGCAGATTCTCAGCGAGCTGAATCAGTCTGCTTTTTGCTTTTTATAAATTGAAAGATGTAAAAGCAATATATTCCTTTGCGCAAAGCAAAAGACGCCCCGTCACGCATAGACGTTTCATTTGTCAATGGATAAGAATTTTAATTTTAAAATACAAGCAAACTGTCGTTTAATACGGCAAATGTCTTAAAAGCAATAAATGCACTTCTTAAGAATTTAATTTTTTATACATTTTTAGTTCTTATGAATATTTGCACTTTGTTGTAACTAATACAAGACATTTCTAATGTTATAATTTTAATTGATTAGTGGAATTAATTGGTATATAATTAATTAATTGGTATAAGATCATTTGATTCTTAATTTTTATGTTTGTTTCACAATTTTAAAGCTTTAATATTTTTCTAATACCTTGAAATTTTTAATGGTAATCTCTTTAGTAGACTGCTATCTGAAGATCTCAATTTTCAGTCTTTTTATTCATTTTATTTTTGATTTTAAACAGTAATCAGAAAGCTAGGATAAAACATACTGTAGGAGGGTGATTTTCTGAGACTGACTGGAAATACGTGTGTCTTAGGAGACAATTAATACAGGATATAATTTTCATAATATCTCCTATAAAATATTGTCAGAGTTTTTAAACAATCGCAAATTAAAATCAAATTAACGTCTTTAAAAATAAATTTAAAAACTTTCCCCTCGTTCACTGTTTTGGTAGCAACAAGCCGCATAAACTCTTAAAAATTAACAGAAAATAACTTACTACCAGATTTTCCAAATTTACATATTTTACTTTTAACTAAGCAAACAGTCTTGGGGAAAAAAATTCGACAAAATCTGCAAGGAATACATTGTTAGCTCTTCCGGTTTCAAGTTTCAAATATCATCAATTTAGTATTTGTCGCATTTAGATAATAGTGAAATATTTCACAAAAAATAAGACAATGAATAACATGCCCTACATTTTACACTATGATGAACTATCAATTTCAACTGCAGCTTCACTGCATAAAAAGATTTTTATTTAAAAATGCTGAATTTGGCAAGAAGTCGCCAAATGTGTAGCAAACTGGAGGAATTGAATATCCACGGGCAGTTTACTGCGTATGGATAACTTGAAGAACAGGGTGAAAAGGTCATTCTAGCCTTGTATGTGTTCTCAGGTTAGCTTGTCGCGAAGTAAAGTTAAATTGGAGTTGTTGTATAATAACACCCGCATTGCATGAACAAAGCATCAAAACAGCCCCTACAGAATAACTCATATCAAAAACGCTTTCAAGAATAAATAATTATTGTTTAATGATTCATGAGACTATTTATAACTTTTATACATCAATCAAATACTTTCAGATATTATAAAAGAGAAAATAGTTACTATTACAATTAATAAGTCATAATCGTCCATGTCAAGTACTATTATAAAATAATTATCTCGGGTGGATATACAATACATTAATGTCAGGTATTCTAAAAGAGTACAATTACAGGCAATAAGACTACAATCACTGAGCATCACCAAGATATGAAATACATATATGGGATGCATAAGAGCACGTCGTCAGAGATGTGTCTGAGGACAATTTGGCAGAAGGGTGGCACAGGGCAGTGGTCACAAACTGACAGGTCCTGAAGCAATTTTCTGTGGCCCAGTAATGCATTTGTTTTAATACAGTGCTTAGAGATTACAACAAAGCATAAATTCTTTATACAGTGGACTGCAATATAGTGTTCATTAAGAAAATAAAAACATGCTAGCAAACATTTTAGCCAAAAGTACATAAGTAACACATATAACAGTGCACTGACAGACCCATAAATGAAACTAAGGGGAAAAAAAAGGCATCAAACTGTCACATCTCACGGAATGGCAATTTAAAATATAAACAAAATTAGAGACATTCAAATGCAATACCAGAGATTGTGTTTATATGTACGATTGCTACTGAATGAAAAAGAAACAGCATGAATAGATTTATGCCATCAGTTAAATGAAAAAATTACAGATTTTGTATGCTTGCATACCAGACCAGCTGACAGCTAGCAGAATTTTTACATCATGGTGTGTTTGTTTCTTTTTCCTAACGAATTGGTACTTTTACTTTTCTTGAGTAAATCACTAGCTGAAAAGCTGTTTTTGAAAGTTTTCTTTGAAAATTTAGCGAGTTTTCATAATTTGTTTATTTTCCATACATAATTTGCTTACTTCAAGCTTTAAAAGCAAGTTACTTAGTGGCTAATTCAACGTACTAAATTGACAAATAAATGTCAGTCCAGAAATTTAATATTTAGCTGATGGTATACCTGGATTATGAAATGTAACCAAAAGAAATTTTTTAAGATAGAAAATAAGGACAATAAATTTGAATTTCTCCCTTTGTATTGTTATTTTTGTTCAGGTTAGTTAGTTCTAAGTATTGGCCCCCAGCCCACCTAACAGACAAAGCCTGCCATATGGCGTGTGGGGGCAGGCCAATCCCCCCCCCAAAAGTTACATAACAGAATTTAACAAACTTAATAAATGCCTGGTAATAAGTTCAAATCATACAATCACACAAAACGAACATAAAAAAAAAATCTCTCCCCCCCAAAAAGAGGAGGGGTTATTAAAAAAATCAAACACATAAAGCAGATACATACATTCCAAACACTCTCAGTGAAATTAGTATATAGAGGCATCGTTCCCATTTCTGCGTTTTTCCCCACGTTTTAAAACCTTAAGTTTACTTTCAATCAGTTATTATTATTCAAATCTTCTTTATATTATCCAAATTCATCTTAAATTTATAAGTTTACTTCTATTATTTCTATTTTCAATATGATTTTTTGCTTTGTTATATCTCGATACCAATATTCTTCTTATTCTCATTCACAATTTGCATAACATCTCATGCAAATTTTCTAAACAATTTATAGTTACTAAATAAGTCATCAAACTTTGTAAATTTATATTTACATATTATTCTTGTTCGAGTATATTTTGATAAATATTTAGCAAGTGAGATTAAGTTAAATTTACTCAGTTATTTGAAATTTTGTTAAAAAAATTCTGGCCTGCCAGCCTTCAGGTCTTGCATGCGTGCTCATGCAATTTGATTTCAAGACCACTAATAAATGCTGAGCTGGTGATAGATAGTATGCATCGACAGAGCATAAAAGTTGAAAGTCTAAACAATTGCATGGCCGCTCTATTGATGGTCTCCTGGCATAGGGCATTCCAGCAAATTGTTGACTGCCACCATTTACACACTCACTGACCATTTCTGGAAAAGAGCAGGCCATGACAGAAATCGGTGTACCCCGCCCTGCTGCAACCCTGATGCAAACATAACTAAATATGTATAACTTAATCAATGCCTGGAAGCATTAGTGAAAAATTATGCAAATACTGACCAAATGGATTTTCTTCATCGCATTTCACATAATATTAAGTTTTGCATATTGATCTATTAATATAATGTATACATATTTCTTAAAATATGTTTAATATTCAGAATTTAAATTTCAGCTGTTCTGTTGTGCTCTTTTAGATTTAGGCTTGGACATTTGCTTCAGACATAGTTTGAATTACTTAGTTTTGGGCTATTCTGATGGGGTACCAAGAAATTTATATGCCAATGAAATTAGGGACAAGTATGACAAAGAATAGGGATGGAGAAAAAAAGGCACATTCAAACTAAAATGCAGTGGATCCTGATGCATTGAAGCTCAAAATGTGGATTCCATTAGAAATTTATAACAAAGCATTAACACAAACTATTTGGGAGGCTTTTGATTTACATATGTATATGTAAGAACAATTATTTAATCTATAACCAGCTTCTCATATTTCCTTTTTAATTTGGTGCTCCTTCCTAACTTAATAGTAAAATGTTTATATTAAAGTTTCCTGAAATGTGTCATCAAAAAATTCAAATTAAGGTTATCCAAAAATTAAAATTAACAGCATTACATAAGATTATTATGTAATGCTGTTGATGCATTTACTTACATAACATAAAAAAACTGAAGTTTTTTATGCAATAAAAACCAAACGTAACAAATAGTAAGCACTAGTATGTCCTTCTGCTGCGAAATAAAGTAAGTTACCATTTTAAAACTAACATCAAAAGGAATCTTAGTTCTTCTTGTTTTTGCTGCTATGAAACTAATACGCTAACTGCTGCTTATCACTAGTAGTAATACTGTGAACATGAACATGCACTAGCAATTATGGAAATAAAAGACTGCTTCAATTTAGATGTATGTGTTTATATCAATGACGCTAAAATATAATAAAGAATAGTATCAAACAGTCATAACTTTATCTCAACCTTTATATACAAGCATACAGCTTCTTTTCTATGTCATTGTTCCAAATTCTATTCATTATATGTGTATGAATTTATTTTTGCATGCTGCATACAGCAAATCTATTTTTTTGTTTCATTTCTTTTTAATTGCATCATTTAATGATTAAAATGCATAAAAATTTCACCATAAAAATTTCACCAATAAAGACTGCATATAATTACTTTATATTATGTAAATATTTATTTTTTTCATTGGGTTACCCTCTTCTACTTTAAATATAAAGCAGGTCCCCTCATTAAAAAAAAAGATTTAATAATGTCTTTACCTCCAACATCACAGCAAGGAGGCACTGTATACAGTCAAGTTTTCAACATGCCATATTAAAAATGCAATGTCAAATTTTTATGCAGTAGTCTAATATGTAAACCAAATGTTTCAGCTGAATAATTTTTCTTTCCAATAAAAAGAAAACTACCTGTTGTTTTAGATGGCACAGTAGAAACTTCCTTCTTTACACTAGGAGAACTTCTCTTTGGCTCTGAGTGTGAAATAAGACATGAACATGCAGACATGCATATAAAACACATGCAGCAGATATAAAGAGTACAGCAGAAAAATTTATCCATAAACCAAAAATCATAAAAGAAAATTTAAACAGATGTACTATTGGCCAGTAACATAACAGAACATGCATAAAACATGCTGTAAGAACATAAGCTGAAATATGAAATTTGTCATAAGAAAAATTAGTTTCTCCATAAAAGCCCATATCAAGGTCATGGAAAAATTATTATAAAATTGATCAAATGTAATTTTTAAATACATTGTTACAATATTAAGAAGAATAAAAAATATTATCTTGACATAGCCTAATAACCAATTTTCTGAAACAACTCGACAACGTATTTAATTATTTTAATAAAAAAAATTTAACTTTTCGTAAGTAATTTCTGCTTCTAAAAACGAAAAATAAATATAATATAAAGCAATTTATATATGGATCAATTTTGTGAGCTACAGCTTAAATGTGCCCAAGAATTAACTGTTGGTTAAAATGATTCCTCTTAAAAATCTCATTAATGCAAGAACATATGCACCCTTTTTACCGATTTCTTTTGACTGCTTTATTAAATTTGTTAACTTAACATTAAACATTCGTTTCAAAATCATATTCAATGAACATACGCTTAATTTTTAAAACATAGTTATACCACAGTATTTATGAAAAGGATAGGTAGAAAGTAAGATTTCTGAAACATTTTGAACCCTAAAAATTACATCTGAGTGCTTTGACACAGATTTTGATTCTGCCATATATTTTACTGTAGCCTTTATTTATCATGATGATTTAAAACACTAGGAATCTGTACTGAATTTATTATTTCAAGCAGGAATAAAATTGCTTCCAGCTGTTCAATGCTGATAAAATTCAATCCTTTTATCTTTTAGACATGTTAATTTTCTATAAGCAATTTTTTATATTAATAACTGGCCAAATTTATAAATAGGAATTGCAAATTATGGAAAGAAACTACATAGCTTTCAGACTAAAAATATGAAAATTCATTTTATCTCCTGTTTTACTTCTGGTATGATAGTATAAGTTCAAGAAAGAATTTATGTGGAAGGGCTGGGAAATAGGTAAGAATGTGGAAGCACAGGAAAAAACTATATATAAGCTACTAAACTTCATTTTCTGCAATAAAACAACTTTTCAGCATTATAAAAAATTTAAGCTCCCTCAAAGATACACATGCCGAGAAGCAAAGCAAATTATAAACTCTGAGACGTAGGTGCCCATTATCACCGAAAGAGTCAACAGCCTGACCAAATTTTTTAAGAAATAAATTAATTTCTTTAAGAAATTTAAACTTATAAACATTTTTAGAAGTTCTTATTCACTCAATTTATTGAACAAAATCTTTTTCAGATGCACGGATGACTCAGAAAGATTTCCAAATGAATTTAAGAGTATAACTTAGTAAAGAGTTAAGGATTAATATTTTTAAGATAAATATTTCAAACACCTGGTAGACAAAAAAAAAAAAAAAAAAAAAAAAAAAATCTAAACGTATATTTGTGCTCTTATTTTCCCTACCACTTAACCTTCCATTTGATGAGAACATAATTTATATAATGAGCAATCTGCAGAATAACTTTGCATTTTGAAATTCTGAAATGGAATAAGATCATTTATGTATTAAATATTTCAATAACCCTTTAAAATGAAAAACATACCATCTGTTACTCTACCTTCTTGAGTGATTTCTGGTTCACCTTCAGCTGCCAATAGTGCCTCTTTTTCAGGTGACTTCTCACCATCGACTCTGTAAGTAAATTATACCGTACTAAACATAACTCAGAAATATTTACATATCTCACATTTAACTTGTTCAGAAAAATAACCATATGCAAAACAATTTAAACTAATATCTGGATATAAAAGATATGCATAATTATATACAAAATATGAAAACATTTTTATGTATTTTTAGATCCTCAAGTAATTAGTTGATAACGATTTTAATAATTAGGCAATGCATATTTAAAGGAAAAAGCATTACTGATGCACGATACCTAATTTGTGCTTCTTTTGATTCAACATTTAAAAAACAGTTTCTTTGATTTTACATTTAAAAATGCCATAATGAAAATCAAGAATCAAATTTCTTACTTTTTTAAAACAAAAATAATTTCCAACTATTAATAACTATTCACTAAGCCACTAATCCATATGAATTTTCTTACAATTTAACACAAGGGAACATCGTATACCACTTTGAAGATCCCAAAGATCTTTTCTCCATGGTCTTGCAGAAACTTACTTTTTACAGAAAATAAGCATATCTGCATATAGTTACAGAAAACTCAGATTTTTCTCATCATCAACGAGTATAATCTGTTACTTTAGACTAGGCACTTCATGCAACTAGTGAGGATGATATGTGTTACCAATTCGGTAAATGAGGGAAGGTTTGTTTCAACCTAAATGCCTATTTTAAATTAAGAGTATAGCATAGCTGGCTATCTTCCTCTAAATGAGATATTTTCACACAAAAAAGATAAATACTTACATTTTCCTTGGTTCCTTACCCATCTAAAAAGCTTCAGTTTTATGTTTGACTGATTAAAGCAAATCATCCAAGGGTTAATCAAACAATGCATTTAGAGAAGTTTTGTTTTTAGAGAAATTGCCTTATATTTACGTTAAATATAAGAAGGAAACCATATCACCCAACTCCAATCATTGGGATTTGAAACTGGATCAATCTACTACCAGTATTCAGTAGTAGCTTTACTCACTTGGTCACTCTAGCAAGTGCCTTTTAATCTGAATTTTCATTCTTGTATTAATTCACCTAGATTATATGTCACGCACCATATGAAATACTCTAGATTTAAAGTAAATATGCCACTTAATTTTAGTCAAAAGAAAGGCTTCCAAAGAAGGAAAGCTTTAAAAATTTCAAGAAAAATCATAACAAAACTCAGATGATTACAATTATATGCCTACCAGGATCAAAAGGAGTTAATCCCCCTTCCCCAATGGCTAAGCAAAAAGTTACAAAGAACTAAAATCTTATAAACAGAGGTTACAAACAATAGAACTAAGAATAAAAAGACCAAAGTCATTGCCTAAGGAGAACTTTTGCTGCCTCTGTAACACAATGAAGAGCCACCATCGAAGCAGTTGGGGGTACCTGTCCATTTCTTCTCCAAAATTACAAAGTGGCTAAATAGAGTCGCCTTAAAATAGAGTCGCCATGTGGTGCTAAAAGGAGTTAATTTAAGAAAATGTATTCTGCTCTGTATCCCAGTGTTGGGTATTCTTTGTATTATTAGTATATGAGGCAGGGATCAAAATTTACCTATTTGCTGGCCAGTACTCCAATTCAATGCTCAAAATCTGAAATAATCAGACTACAAAATTTTTATCCTGACAGACTGATGATTACACAGTTTTATAAATTACTTCATTAATCCTTATAAACTATTTCTAGTGAGGTTTTAGAAGCATAAAACTGCCATACATGAAGACTTTTCAAGAGCAGCTAAACCTAAGAAAATGTAAGAGAACTCTTAAGTTTGCCTTATCCATTAAAATGAATACATATAGCTAGTAACAGTAGATCCTAAGGGTTTAGTTAATCACAGATTAGTAGTTTGCTATTGTATCAGCTAAAAGAACTTACTTCACTGAAACGTTACTCGATAAGTGAAAATAATCTATTCATCATCATCTTAAAATGCTGGTGGGTAATCAACATTTATGTGACCCAAATTTTTGTATGCATGAAATACATTATCACGATGAAAATAAAGTTAAAATACTTCCCTCAAAAACATCTCATAGGTGAGTGATGTGAAGGAAGCAAATACAGCAGATTAACAAGCAATAAGTTTATTTTGCATAAATACAGAGAATAAATCATGCAAAATGGAAAACTTTTTTTCAGAAATGGCTTATGTAGTTCGACAGAACTTATATTTAAACATACAGTACTACTTAGCATGTTCAATCTTCATGATCAGCAGTTAAATTACTCAATACTACATCTTAATTTCAGATTTAGCATCAAGATATCATTGCCAGTTTTCAATTCTATATCTCATTAGTGAATAATTCCCCATTTACTTGCATGCATTAAACAAAAGTTTTCAAAAGGTAATAAAGTAATCTTGAAATAATAATACATACTAACATCAAAAGAATTTACTTAATAAACAAATAATTTATGAATCAGGAATTTTTATAATATAAGGAATATTTTTATATAGTAAGTATACTTTTCATACTAAATTTACCAACATGATTTTTTTTTTTTTTTTACTTCTCACGACTTGATACACTTGCAATTTAATGATAAAGGAAATTATATTTTGTTTAGATGCAAATAAAACATTTAGACTGACCCCCCCCCCATGAAATCAAGGGGAAAACAAAATATCCATCTTAATTTTAAAATGGAACACTGCAGAACATCAGTCATGACATAAGAAATCACAATTATTACAACACAATAAAATATGGATACTTTACTTTTGCTGCATTTAAGTGTGTAAAATAAAAAATGAGTCAAACATCCAAATACTGAAACAGAATGTGTCTAGTACATAGGATGAGGCAGTTGCTAAAAAATTTTGTTACCCCCTAATCAGATTATGTGACTTTTAAAGCGTCAATGTCCTTGCATTGCGTCATATAGCTCAATTCAAACTATAACTTAAAAGTCAGTAAAAAGAATCACATTAATATCATAAGCTAGCCATCTTTACTTCGTAGGAATAATACACAACTTTTAATACTTTGAGAATATATGTAACTTGAAAAGGCATATACATACAGCCACACACAAAGGGGAAGATGTGATAAAAATCTATAATAACCTGTCTGTTGAAGGAGCCTCCTGTGGAGGAGGTTCTAGAGCTGCAAGCCTCGTTAACTCTTCCTGTCGTTTTCTCTCTGCTTCCTCTTCCTCTTTTCGTCTAAATTCTTTTAATTCAAACTGAAAAAAATAAATTCAAAGATTAATAAACCTGGAAAGATAGGTTTAAAGATTTCTAGCCCGTCAGACTGTAGTCACTAAAAAAGAAGTGTAAAAGTGCTATACCGTTGTCATGCGTTCCAAGGCAGCAAATCTTTCTTCTTGAGCTGCAGCTGACTTTTCAAATGCTTCATGCTTTTTAATTAATTGCTCCACATCATCAATGGTATGCTAAAAAAATATTAAGATTACACCATTAGGGCCAGGGATATTAGTAATGTTCATTTCTGCATTACGTTTTTCATTCAAAAACATTCCTCACCTTTGTATGTACATTCATCTTCTGAAAGATGATGTTAATAGTGTTACGGATTTGGTATTTAAACAGCTAATGTTAGCTGAATTATAAATTAAATTGTTTTATTCCCCATGCAGTGTAGAACATGATGAATATTAAAGGAAAGTTAAGCCAGAAAATTAAAAATACAAGAGCACGTACATTCAACATTTAATAAATATCTCTTTTTGATTTCAAGAAAGTTCCAGAAAATTCTCGCGCACGGTTTAAAAATCTTATAAAAAGGAGGAAAACCTCTCAATTCGATGATTTTAGTTAGTTTGTTGTTGTTTGAAGAGTTTGTTTAGAAAACTGTGATATTAATTTGAAATTTGTTGATTGTAGCAAATTCGCAGATTAGCTTTCTTTAGCTGTTTTGAATCAAGTTCTCTTGAACGTTTGAGTAGTTAAAAGATAACTACTGTGAGATATTGTAATGCTGCACGAATATCTGAGGAGATTTAAGCATTTTTGTTGTGATAACAATAAATTTTGCTCATTTTTCATTGGACTTGTGTATTCATTTCGTAACGAACCCGTACGCACGCAACAATAGTAAGAAATTCTCATAAATTTTTTTTTTAAAAAAAGGTTACATAATTTTCAAAATTATACATATGAAGAATTTCCTAAATGTATGTCATAAAGTTAAGAAAGTTTGAGCTGATATTTCAGTATTATTTTCACATGTAAAAAAAATTTGCTTTAAAATGGAAGGAAAATTACTTACAGAATTAACATTTTTATAGTACATTGCAAGATTTTTAATTTGATGCGTTATTTTGCTCAATTTTCAGGTAACTGCAAATTTAGTACTTTTTTCGCGACTGATAAAACATGGATAGTTACAACCTAAATTATTACAGTAAAACCTACAATAATATTATGTATTCACTGTTGAATAAGTGAAAGAATTATTAAAAACTAAGCATATAATTTACACGCACAGTATACATACATGAATAATTTGCTATATTAATTTAATACTCTTAAATTTTTTAATATTTTTAAATTATGCTAATGGTTTAAAAAACAGACAATAAATTTTAATTATTTTTTCCCTTATGCAAATTCCCTGAACATTTTGTCTTGAATCATGCTATCATGATAGGAAAAATAAAATAATTTAAAATTTTGAGAAATGGAATTAAATGGATATTAGGATAAAAAAAACTTTTCCAGTACCCCTTGATTTTTCTAAGCAATTGCCTAGCCTCATATCATTAGCATATTTTACTAGATAAATATTAAACCCATTACAGAATTTTAAAATAATTCTGTTGGGATTATTTTTCAAAGATTTCCAGTATTTTAACAAAATAAAAAATAGCTTCACTGTTTCAAATGAATAATTTATTATTATTCACCAGCTATTTTACTAGATAAATATTAAACCTATTAGAGAATTTTAAAATAATTCTGTCAGGATTATTTTTCAAAGATTTCCAGTACTTTAACAAGATAAAAAATAATTCATTGTTTCAAATCAATTATTTATTCTTCTTCACAGCCAGTTTCTGACAGCAACAGGAAAATTGGGAGGGTGTGATAGTAATATATTCATTATGAAAACTGAATTTAAGTTGCAACTAAATTTTGTTATCAGGTCATTTAAAAATACTTAATCTAAACAGCAGGAAAAAATTGGAAAAAAAAATTATAAATTAAAGGAGAAAAAAATTTAATAAAAAGTACTTACACCAAGTTCTTGGCTAAGCAAGTATGGTTCTTGTGCGATAAGCCATGCTTCTGCTACAGCTGCATCTCGGGCAAACTGATAAACTTCCAAAACTTTAAAAAAATAAATAAATAAATTTATAAATCACAAAATTTTAAAATCACAAGGGAAAAAATAATAAACAGTCCTCTTTGTCAAGCACCACTTACTCAGTTGTAAATGTTCCCATCTTTCATCCCATCTGTTCATCATTGATGATTGCTGATTGGTTAAAGAAAGAAGCCTTTCTTTGATCTAAAAATTACACAAATGTTAGAGCTAGAATAACTTACATTTAGCATATTCAAATTCTGTATGAAAACTAGACGATTAAGAGATATTTCAAAGAAAAATTCTGGTTTAACATGTTTTTCTAATGAGTGAATATTCTGTCATATCAGATAGCTTTAATACACCACTTGCTCACAAGAAAGTGTAATTTTTATTCTAACTTTTATAAATCTCATATTACTCTTTTTTTTTTTATTCATAAGAGTTGATTTAATGACCACTTTTTCCCAAAACAAACTCACAGGAGTAACTCAAGACTCACAGGAAAACCAGGAACAGTCTATCCAACTGCTTAAAAAAACAGTCGGATAGACCTCACCTGTTTTAAATAGCGCTAAATATGCATTCGTTGAATGTAAAGGACATGTTACTCAATCATCAATTTTTAACAAATTTAACAGAAAATGGCTTAAATATTTAAACTAACTATTATATTTAAACTATGAAAATATTAGAACTTTCAGGAACTTTAATATAGTTACTAGAAAATGAAAGAACAGAAAATTTGAAATGCGAAAAGAAAATTAACTCAAATCTGCTTTAATTAAGTAAATAAATAGATCGATGATAAAAAAAACTCAACTAAAACTAATTAGATAGCATTATACCATTTCAATGTTTTCCCCTATTATTCAGCTTGTCAAACAAAAGTTATCTAGCTGTCTAAAACAGCTACCTTCAGCAGAAAGGGCAAAAGCTAATCAGAACTTTTTAGTTCAATGGTTTAGTTAGCTGAAGTAGTTGATGTTGCCCAAGAGTGAAGAGGCTTCATTTAGGAACTGGTTTTTTTTTCCTCCCCCCCCCAAATGGCAAGTAGATATAAATTTTCTTCTTAATTTTGGTTTAAGAAGAATTATGCAAAATTTTACCAAGTTCGAATAAAACTTTAGCACAGCGTAGAACTAACATGGCACCATGTAATGATTCTAATAAGTGCTGATACTTGCTTTGTTATCAATTATATCTTTCTCCATAATTGAGCTTTCGAAAAATTATCATCCACTTTGACCAATTTTTTCCACCATTTTTCAAATAAACATGAAAAACTAGACAACTCACCCAAATTCTGCTTAAAAGGTTCTAAAGTGTCTTAAAGAGTAAATGGCACCATCTGACAGTTTTAATACCTGATAACGAGAATGGAATAGCGACTTAAGAATAGTTTTGCATTATAAATAGCCTGAGTTTAACTCCGAAGGGTGTTTTTAAAATCTTATGCACACGGTGACATTTTGTTGAGCCGCAACAGACCTTTGAAACCTAGTCCTGCAAATTTATGATTACAGTGATTCTTGTTGCTCAAACTCCCTCATTATTCAGCATGTTATTTTAACTCAAAAAAGACCCTCTGTTAAAGGAAGACAATAAAAGAAGTTCATCCACGAAGCCAGAGTCATAGACTCAGGACTACTGAAAATTCCAATCCTGTTCAAATGGACCGCTAAGTCAGAATGCAGTTACTGTACTATCTTGAGAGCAATTTGGTAAATCTTCAAATCCTCACTCCAGTTTTCAGTTATGATTTTAGAGAGGAAAAAATATTTTAACCTTGTCATTTATAATGGCGTTAATTGCAGGCTCTTTTAAATGACGTTTTATAGGTAGTACTTTGCATTATTTAAATTTATAAAGATACAGGCATCAAAATATTAAAAATCGGCTGTGTGTTTTGACTATGACATGCAGCATGTAAGTCACAAGTGGTTTTTGCTATGTGGAGGAGCTATTCAGCTTTATATAACCATTTTTCATCTGTTGAAAACAAATTTTTTTAAGCTGACTTCTAAATTTAGAAACTTTTAAAAGAATATTACAATTACAATACCAACATTTATGGTCAATATCCTTTAGAAATTATATTTAATATTTTGTGTTTTTAATTTGTTCACATTTTAATGATTTTAAAATGTTTTCTAGTTCATTTAAGTAAAATCTTTCATTAAAATTTGATATTTTGTTTTTAAAGAATAAAGTGAGAGCCCTTCGTTAGTTAGAACTTCTGTAGAAAATCCCTCAGCACCATGCATTTTAATTTTTAACACCCATATTCCCCTCTTTTCCGAGAACCCTTTACATCTGAAGGGGGCAAAGAGAACGAAAAGATAAACTTTACCTCATTTGATGCATAATGGTTTCTGGCCAAAAGCTCTTTTCCCAGCTTAATACAAACTGCAATATTATCTTCTCTTGCATCAATTTCTGCTTTTAAACTCTGATGATTATTCATTAGTAGTTCAACACCAGATACATCCCTAAAATATTATAACCACCAGGTTTAAACAAAATAACATTAAATGAACATTTTATCAAACAAAAAATTGGAAATGAATAGAATGAAATATTAACCTAGGTTTTTCAGATGTATTCATTTGACGAACTATGTCTTCCATCCATAACATCAAGTCTCTCACCATATTTAAAAATTTGAATAAGTCACTAGTATCAGACAGTTTCAAACGTCTTGCTTCACACATTGATAGGAGCTTCTGCCATGCTCCTACCACTTCTCCTTCACGGTTAGTGATTTCTCTTGCTTTATCACCAGCATAAGCACTCTGCAAATTCTGGGATTCTTCCTGTATTTGCTGCACCTAAAATACAAGAAAATATACTGAAAGAAGAACTAATTTGGAGATTAACAGAAGAAAAAAAGGGGAAAAACATACTTTTGAAACTTTGTTATATTTTTACATTTATAACAAAGAAATTCAAGCAGATTAAAACTTACAGCAGTGCCCAATGTCTGAAGATCATTTTCAAAGTTGGCATGCTTTCTCTGTAAACTAGACACACTGACACCATCTTTACCTAACTCATCAGACATCGAATTTTGTTTTTCCTATAAATAAAATTACATAAATGACGAGGTAAAAAGTAATGCCATTTAATTTATTCAACAAAAGTTACAAATTCATATCAGATATAATAAATAGTTCCAAAATCATAAGATGAATCTACAAGAATGAATTCAGAATGAACATATGGCATACCATAAAATATAATTTAAAAAGATGGTCAAATGATTAAGACAAAGCAAATGCGGAAGACGGAACCTGTATCATATTCATGCTAACATGGGAAAAAACATTAAAATCTCCTCAAACTGCCAAACAAAGCATGTATTTGGTCATTAGTAAGCTTTCATTCATGCTACATGTGCTGCTATATATGTACCATTTGAAAACTTAAAAATAACCTAGGTTTACAGGATTTCCAAAATAAGCTGATTTGTGTGAGACTGAGATCAGTAGATGCAGAAAGGAAACTAACTGTCTTCTAGATAACGATTTGCATTCTACATTATTTGGCTGCTTTTGAAAAACAATAAGAGTAATTAATATTACATGGAGACGTACATTCAATCCTTATCTCGATGATTAGCTCAGTTTTTCAATTATTTGTTTATCTGTAAATAACACTGGATCTTTGCAAAATTAATGACTGGCAGCCAGCTTCCATAGAAACTTGTTAAAGAAATTTTTTTTTCTGTCAAATTTACTTAGTTTAAGGAAATATTCAAGCATTTTGAATTTTCCATAATAATAATAATCTTCTAATGCTATGAAAATATTTAAATCTCATAGGCATGGTTACAATATAAATCTATTTACAAACGAAGAATACAGATATGAGGCTTTTTTTCATAAGAATGAATAGTAAGGGATTCTAGTGTTTAATTTAATTTGCAAAAGATGAATATGCAATGATGCACAATATCTTAAAAAAAAAAAGAGGAGGAGGAAGAAAGATTTTTTAAGCACTAACCACCAACAGTACACCAATATTTTCAAAGCAGTCGTAGCATCATCATTACTTTTAAGTTTTGAAGCTTTTATTATGGTAAATAAAATTTTTGAGAGCAGGACAGCTGCAATAACATGTCACTAAAGAGAAAAGGCGAATACTATACATAAGAAAGAAAACTAGTTTAAAAAGACAAATGCAACAGAAGCAATGATCTAAGCAGTGATAGTTGATTCCCGACTAATATACCCTAATTATTTATAACCATTAAATTAGGGATCAACTTTTGAAGGAATTCCTGCAATCTGAAAATACATTTTAGTTCCACAATGACCATTTCAATTACTCATATTTTATTACCTAATAAAGGAGGCAGATGCATGAAAAGGCCATATTGGGTTATTTCATCTACTTACATTTCATTTATGTTAAGTATTGTTGACTCTTCACTTGAACTGTGAAGCTTGCAGAATTTACAGCAATTTTTTCCCTTCCCCCCCTTCTTCTGTCGTGCTAAGTTACGGATGAATGAAACTACAGACTACTGCAATATGACTGCACATTAATTAGAAACCTGAATAACTTGAAATAATATATAACTTAATGCCTCAAAAATATCTGCAAATGTACAATATAAAACTTATAACGTTCCTTTTTTTAAAATTCAAAGATCAATTAAGAGCTTACTGTTAATTTATTTATGTATTTTTAGTGCTTTGGTTGATTTAAATATAAAAATGATAAAATAGTATAGAACATACTTTACTTATTTAACCACAATTAAGTGCTCCTTTTCAAAAAAACAGGACTCAATAGGATTGTTTAAATTATACAAAACACACAATCCTTATTCCGTAAGCTTTATTTCCAGTCCTGACTGAAAACCTTTCAGGAAGGGTATTCATTTCATTAGACTCTTCTTATTACTAGGCTCTCACAACAAACTCTTGCCTCAGTCTAAATGTTCTCAAATTTAAGCATTTAGAGCAACTTTTATGATGAAATTTCTAAACATTTAATTACTTAAAATTAATTTGTTGTTTTCATAACTATATGGCTACATCAATAATAATTGTAAATACAATGGCTTTCATTAATTACGAAAAAATTGCAAAAATGACGATTACTCAAAAAGTTGCATGTAGAATTTAATGAAACAACCACAGTATGCAGTAACATATGAAAATAAATTAACAGATAATTACGATGTTATAGAAATTAGCACATGTATAAAATGAACAAACTGGATATGCTGGTTTTGTATAGGAAAATTACTTTCCAATACGGAGTTTAATATCCCCTAGAAGCAACACAGTGCATACAGTGATGTGTGATGCTGTCAATTATGAACTGAGAGCCATTGCTTTTGCAAAGCAGCTGCAAGCATGGCAAGGGTCTAAAGAGAAGGATTGAGAGCAGCTATTTATCTCACCAGACATGCTTGATAGGATTCAGTTCCAATGATCGAGCTGTGCCGCCCTGCAGCAGGAAACTGCCCTGGCATAATGGCGTACATAAGCATCAAGGATGTTATCTCTATAGGACTGAACATTTATGATACCCCGTGGAAAGATAGGGGGAGTCTTTGCATCCATCCAAAGAGATAACACCCCAAACAAGGTCACCGTTTCCTTTGTATGCATCTTTTTCGCAAATAATGAGTTCCATGCTCTCTCCAAATCAAGTAATGCCTACTAACATTTTGGAGGCTAAACCTGGATTCATCTGTAAACAGAACAGCCCTCCAATGAACCTCAAACATTCCTTCTTTGACATGACATAGTAACACTCAAATGGTTGGTCGCCTCGCATAGAGACCTCCTTCATGAAGCCTATGCACAGCTGATGTTGACACCAACCTTCTGGTCGCCGCAGCAAGAAAGGATCCGAGCTGAGTCAGTGATGCAGTTCTTTCTTTTGTGTGTATAATTACAAATATCAGTCACTGGTGATCGTTGTAGCGGTTGACCGTCCTTGCCTGAACCACTTCGTTGCCTAAGTATGAACTTTATGAACTAAGTAGATATGAACCACAGAGAGATTCACATTTAGCCATCTGGCTACCTCTGTCTCTGACTTTATCCTGCCTCTTAGTCTTCTAATAGCTTTCCATCATGATTCTTCAGCCAAATGAGGCCTGGAGGTCATTGCTATGAATTGGCTATCCCAGATTTCTTATCAGCAAAATTTATAGGCTCTCTCTCAAACATGCAAATTTATGCTCCTAACAGATGATGCATTCCAGCTGCAGTGCCACTAATTTGCATACTGCAGTTTTACTCAGGAACTATTACTTGACAACTTATTTTATATGGATTGGCTTATTTTTGAACCATTTATAATTATTTTTGTGATTTCCCCTTAATTTTTGGAAACTAGTGTATACATATATGTAGAACATCATAATTTATTAGCATTGGTACAGCATGAAATTTCTTTCCCTAAACTTTTCCTGTACTTTGTTTCACAAGAACTTTATATATTTCTGCAAAATCAGGGGGAGGGGATATTAGATTAATGATCATACTTCAATTGACTGCTTTTGCCATTTCTTCAAAAATTGTGAAATAATAAATACATAAATAATCAATGACAAAACATTATTGGAGTGCATAAACTCTTCTAATGGAGACAAATAAAACGAGTCCCGGAAGAGATGCATATATGGTGCAAGGGCAAATCAGTTAAATACCAATAACTTTTTTATAGTAAAATTTGTCCACACTGATTTCTTTCAAATGACAAAGAGCAAAATAAATTTGGATATGACAATAAAAAATGTAATTATGACATGCATTTCTTTTCAGTATTGAAACTTTTAAATTTGCAAACATTCTGAAACTGCATACAGTAATTCAAGATTTTTAGATAAGAATTTGAAAATTCAACTTCACAACTTTATATATTACATTAGTTATATTACTTTACATATTATTAGATAACTGACATTTCAGACTTACTAATATTCTTCCTAACAAATCTTTGCAATCATGGAAGAATCTATGTAATTTCCAAGAAGCTGCAAGCATTTGAGTTCTTGTGTCAATGAGCTCCAGTAAATCAGCCCAGGCCTCATTCAATGTATCTTTCCATTCTGCTATTACAGCACTATCAGAATGACCACTAGCAATTAACTGATCAGCACTCTCATTTACTTCAGCCACTCTTTCAGTTCCTATTACTTCTGTATCACGAGCAAATTCTTTGAAGCGTTCTTGAAGCATCTACAAAAGTGTAAAAATCAAATTAGAAATATGCTTTTTAACAAATTATACATATAATGCATAAAGTACATCAGATATGCCAACCTTCTGAACTCAAAAATTGGATATTTAAAAAAGGGGTAGGGCACAATTTTTTTTCAGCAAATAATATTTAAACAGTAAAAATTTACAAAAAGAATTTTTATAAATAAATTCTAATAAATTAAATATCAGGAAGCACAATCTCTAAGTTTTCAATACAATTAGTTGAAAAATATCTTATATTTAAAGGCGTTACTTGAAACACTTTTTTTTAAACAAAAATGATAATTTAATCAATTTTCACATAACTGTTAACAACAATAACAGTTTTTGCATTATTAAGAAACATACTTTTGCTTATACCCATAGTCTCACAGGCTTGTTTTTGCTAATAATAGCTTTACTAATGTACCATTATTCACATTGACTCTAAATTTAGTCTATTATAATAATAATACTGAAAAATCCTCCTACACTTGGCATTATCATGGAAGCTTGCTAAATGCCCAATATTAGTATATCACTATACTTTAAAATTCTATCTGTACTTTCCAATTTTGTGATCTGACTCCATTCAGTATCAATTCTTGTTGATGTTATAACTTCATCCAAGTTTTCTAATTGTATATTGCAAAACTGTGATTGCCATTTATCTGTTGCAACATTAACCTCTTTGTTTTGGGGAAACCTGATGAAACAAAACTGGAATCTAATCAAAAATAGTTTACATTAAAAAAAGGGAAAAAGATGCAGTTGCTAGAATAGGAACATTTGCAACTTAAATACATATATTTACTTCACTTTTAACTGGAAATTTATATTCTGCCAATTAATCACACACCCGCAGTACCTAGTAACAAACTAGCATTTTTATTTCTTTATTTCCCATCTTAACATTCCACATTCTCGCCAACATTTACCATTAAAGGGAACCCCTCGAGGTGAAAAGGGTGACGACGAGTTTTCGCGAGCTCCCGTTTTTACTGTTTTTTCCCTAGGATATAATAATTGCATCACAGCGAAAATAATATCATCGGCTAGCTCCTCACAAGCTGTGCATTTTGATATAAAATTTATGAGAATCCGCCTGTTAGTGCCTTAATATCAAGCATATTAAAAGGGGAGTCATTGTTTGTCTCGCGACCTCCGAGCCCTATTGTGGAATGCGGATTTTGGAGCGAAGTGCGGATTTGCAGTGTTTACTTCCAAAGCGATATCTCCGGATCTAATAGGCATCCAACTTCAATCTAAGTACCATCGAAAAGTGAAAGACCTGCTCTTTTCAACGATACCACTGCCGTGTATGTGAGGTGTTTGTGCAATTTACTACATTGTGTTAATTCTGTGATGTTTTAGTGCTAATTTTGGATTAATACACCTGCATCTTCGGCCTGAGTTGTAATATCGGTACCTTTCCTGGACAGCAAGGTAGGCCATAAAATTGTCTTTAATTTGATACCTCACTTGTCTTAATAGCACAATTAGTAGCTGAGTGTCATCTGTTTTAATTACATATCTTCTGTGTGACCTTGCACTTTCCCCAGCACCACAGACCTGACTTGATTTTTAGTCGTTGGGGCGCAGGGTCGGACCAGCAGGACAGGTCACTTATCACGGTTGTCTGACGACTTCTTGTCACCCTTCTAGAGCGCATGCGCGTCTAGTCTAGTGGATTGTGGTTGACAGTCGCCCTGCACGTGTGTTTGTTTACGTTTAGTACTATGCTGTTTTGAGCGTAGCTCGCCACCAGTGTCCCTTTTGATACGTTTCTGTTGTTTACGATTGACATTCTAGCGACTTTATCTACGCACTTATCATTCCCACTATCCCACTGTTACGTGGATGTTTTTCTAATTGTTAATTGTTATTTATTTATTATTATTACTATTTTTTTTATTTTACCGTTGCTTTATGAGTACCTATTATAATATTAATAACTATTAATATTACTGTTAGTTTTATATCTCTGTGTGTAAATCCTTTGTATTGTGCACTGTGTTTGATGATTTGTAATAACTCCCACAAATGTGTTATATAATTCTTAATCTCTGAAATTCTCTGTTTCGTATTAAGGTTATGCAAAAACTTTCACTTGTTTTTATTATATCTGTTATATTATCCACATTTCCTTTCAATTACGATTGTTTTATATGCTATTTATAACTGTTTTTATTATCCTCATATTCCTTCACTCACTCACGATTGTTTTATATGCTTCCGTTCAGTGATTTTGTGGCTAGGAGTATTATCTTTGTTACTATTGCCTAGAACTGTTATGGTGTAAAAATTAGCATTATTTTACATTTTAATACATTTTACATTTTAAATATTTTACATTTTTAAATAACTCTCAGCACATTCAGATTTTAATGCCAAAAGTATTTCTGTATGTAACGCTTTCTTACGCACTTGATTCTGTAGTGTTTTCCACGTGCTCGTTATGCGCACTGCTTTAGTAATATCTCATTTTAGTTATTATTAACTAAAATTAAGTTGCCAATTATTAAGTTGACCATATATTTCTCTGTTTCCCTGCGGTTTCACTCACTATAGCATCGTACTCAGAGACCCTTGATACTCAGTTTTGTACTTCTGTGACTCCTTTATGTGCCTACCCCACAGTTTATTTCTCGTTATCTTGTACCAATGGCCAATGCAAATGCAAAGGATTTAGCCCCTGCCTCATCATCCTCCTCAGTAGTGTCGGAGTCAGCATCGCGGGCACCTCCAACTTACTCATATGAAATAACTTACGAGAGCAAAATTACAACTTTGATTAACGAATGCATTGCTATCGCAAAACGGAAAAGAAGTAGAAAATTTGTTATTCCTCAGGACGAGAGAGTACGACTTCTGTCTACTCTTGAGGCACTCAAGAGTCTGGCACTCCACAGGTCAGATTGCACAGTTCAGTCGATTTTCGCTGACGCTGGAACGAACACGATTAAAGAACCATCTGTGCACGTGGCAACTAACCGACGACTGGAGCGCCCTGGACACCAACAGCTTTTCCCGTTCCTTGTCCTCAGTACATACAACCGAAAACCTTTGCAGACGTATTACGAGAGTCTAGCAAGCCAAGTTTAATTATACAGCCGAAGGGCAACATCTCTCAAGCAGACTTGAAAAAGGAACTTCAAGAGAAAGCTCCCGATTTCGAAACTTCAGGTGACAGTTGCCAGAATATTGCCTACCAAAAAAGGAGGGCTAGAGGTCTTCTGCAAATCCACAGAGGATGTCAACAGGCTCGAGAAACACCTGGAACATGCCAACTGCATAGAAGGCAGAGAAGAAAACCACGATGTGCCATTCACAACGTACCAGAGTCAGTCACGCCAGAGGATATTATCGCTGAACTCAGCAGCGCAGCAAACGTCTCACACAATGCGATTAGAGCACTCTTTAAGCTCAAGGAGAGAAGGTCTAACAGACTTAAGTGGATCCTTGAAAGTGAGCCTTCCAGTTTTGCAGCCATCATTAGAGTCAAAAAGGTATTCACGGGGTGAAATGTGCACACCATCTCAGAATACCTCGGAATATGACGCTGTTTCAAATGTCAACAGCTGGGACATACCCAAGATGTCTGTAAAAGCAAAAGTAGCTACTGCTCCTTCTGCGGAGACAACCATAGTGTACGAGAATGTCACTCACAGCACCCTATCTGCATCAACTGCAGTGACTCAAATCACAGACACGGCTCCAAATATGATTTCAGGCATCCTGCCTACTCACCGCAATGTCCGGAATACCAACGAGTTGCAAGTTACATCCGTAACATCACGGCATACTAATGGGCCAGGCCGAGTACCCATTCCTGATGAAGAAATCGTTTTACCTCAATCAAGTTATGATACACTCCAAAACTCCCACCCTGCTGCACTGAGCAACGGGAACCTGAATGAGCTGATCACGGATATTGCTGCTGTCAAATTTGTGCAAATAAACTTGCAGAGAGCACAAGCAGCAACGGCTCAACTCGCACAATTCGTAATGGAGCATGAAATTGACTTCATACTCATTCGGAAACCTTATCAGCATGGCAATAGAGTTATCAACTTCCCACTTTCATGGACAGTAATCAATGCTACTGATGAACCCAGAGTCGCCACCATTTACTGCCGCCAAAGATGGATTCCCAATATAATCAGATGTTCAAGAGACGTAATCACTATAGCAATTGAAACAATAGGACTGAACCTACTAATTACTAACGTGTTTATATTCCTCCTATAGCAGACGTGCAAGCCTCACTTGATCAGCAACAAGAAATCCTGAAAGCGTATCCAAAAGCACACCATCTACTAGCGGGCGATTTCAACGCCCACTCGGAACTGTGGGGTTACTCAGATACTGATGCTCGAGGGCGACAGGTAGAGGACTTCATTGCCTGTAATGATCTCGTCCTGCATAATGTTCCAGGCAGTCAACCCACATATGAAACAATTCACGGACAGGGTTGGCCAGATTTAACCTTAACAACAGCGGCCTTTGCATCAAAATTACATTCCTGGATGGTTGATGATACCCCGTGTAACTCGGACCATAAATACATTACGTACAGCATAGGACACCATAATAAAAATTCTCAATCAAGAGGTACAAACTCAAGCGAAGGACGCTAAAGCTCTTCAGCCAAAAGGCCCGCAGTACACTCACACGTGCAGAACACAATTTAGAACACTGTCCACAATACAGATGATGTTGATAACTTCACTAGTATCCTAATTAAAGAGCTTCAGGCCATTTGTGATTCTACTTTCCAGATCAAATCTCCAAAGGTACACTATGTTGCCAACTGGTGGACTAAAAGCCTCAGGATACAAAAGGAGTAAGGACCCGAGCTCTTCGCAGAAAGATGAAGTCGGAGCATAAATTCAGAACGCCGAGAAGAACTAAGTATTATCTACAAAAAAGCACAAGCCCAGTATAAAAAGGCCATTCTAGAAGCCAAGTTGTACAGCTGGAGGGCGTTTTGCACAAACAATAAAAATCCCTATGGGGTATTTGCATAAAATCGCAACGAATAAGGTCTTTGCCCCTCCAATTCACAAGGTCTACGTAGACGGCACCAATAATTGCCCAACCGACAGAGGAGCACAGGAGCACTATCGCGGCCACACTCACCAAATTCTTGATGCAGTCTTTCAAGACGACAATACATTGGATGCTTCCAATCCAGAACATCCAGCTTATCTTCTACACTCCACAACAGAAGATGACGTGTCATTCACGCAGCCTGAAGTCTGCGCTGTTTTGCGAAATCTACCGAGAAACAAAGCCCCAGAGCCCGATTTGTTAGACTACAACATTGTCAAGGCGATGCATCAGGCAAAACCAACGTTTCTTAAAAATTTTTACAATAAATTGCTCCAACTGCGTTATTTTCCCAAGCCCTCTTTAAGACAGGGCAAGTTATTCTTTTCCAAAAGAAAGAAAAGGACCCGAACGATCCAGCCTCATTCCGGCCCATCTGTCTCCTGCCTGCCATAGGGAAAATTTATGAGAAACTTTTAGTTCAGAGAATAAAGCACTACTTGGAGATTAAGGGTGAGATCACGGACTCTCAGTATGGTTTTCGAGAGCAGCGCTCAACTATCCAAGCTCTTAGTGCCATACAAAAGGGAATCTATGACGCGTATGACTCTAACAACCATGTAGCCGTACTCAGTCTGGATCTGAAAAGTGCATTCGATTCCCTGTGGTAGCCAGCAATCCTGGAAGCGCTTCACGACGCTCAGATCCCTGATAATCTACTGCAGGTGTGCAAAAGTTATCTCTCTGATCGCACTCTTGTAGCAGTGCATGACGGAGGAGTTGTTGAGAGAAAGCAGACCAGGGGTTGTCCAGACCAGGGGTCTGGACCCCTGGTCTGGACACATAATCTGCCCCTGGTCAGGCACACATAATCTGAAAATATGGGGTTACTTTTCTCAAGATACCTGAAACACCAATCTTCAAAAGCGTACTATTATTGGTACATTTTCTGCACAAAAGAAAAATATACCCAGAGGAACTACACCTTCCTTCAAAATTTTAATAATTAGCTGCTCTACATTAAAGCCTGTAGAATCTTCTTTCAAAATGGGAACCCGAAGTAAACTATACTGAAAAACTAGTCACTGGATAATAAAAAACCTAATATTTGGATACATTTTTGCATTGACATTAAAGATTTTGGATAGTTAATATTGCTGTAAAATTATTATTGGCTGCTTGATTTTAGTTCAATTTACATCACCAGAATTATGTAAGAGTCAGATGACATAGATTTTTCTCGAAATGACACAGTGCAAATAGTTGTTGCTATTTTTAGAATAGAGAAGGGAAATTTAATCTTTTACATATTCCTTTTTTTTCTTACATGCATATGTTTTACTACATAAACCTTTCCACTATAAGAAATTGAAAAATTGCAATGACAATCAGTATAAATCACAAAGGCTTTGTAAGGCATTATTACCTGATAAAAATAACATAACCTTAGACAACAGCAAAAAGCAAGTAAAATTCAAATGATTTAGCATTCCCAGAAATGCAGAGGTTGGTGTCATTCTTGCTTTGTGCTCAACTGCCCTGATGTGCACCAGAAGATCTGCAGCTGTGCTCGAAATCCATTGGATCATGACATTTTCAGACCTATCTTCTCCCACATGCATAACAGTAGCTGATAAAACTTTCTTTTTATGAAAAATGGGTGATCAAAAGACAAAGCAAGTGATTTAACTTACTGGAAACTGCATTTCTGGCATGGAAACAATGAAATATTACATAGAACTAATAAAAGTCATGAGAAATTTAAGAAATAAAAGATATCCGGGAGAAATATGCTGTACATTAGATTACAGTCAAAAATCGTAAATCTGTTGCCTAAAGCTATTGGCAACTCTGTTACATTAACACAGGAGTAGTATGCTGTACTTCCCTTTAAAAAGTGCAATTAAAGGTGAGTGAAATAAAACCCCTAAATCCAAGAACTTTGCACATTCCAGTTGACAAATACTATTATATTTTTTTAATTACTTGACACCAAAGAGCAATCAAAACCAAGTAACTGTGCCAAAAATGTTTAACAATAATTTGACATGATGCTGTTAAAATTTTTTAAATTTAATATTTGCTACTAAACATTCATCAGAAATGTCCAAACCCATCAATCAGGTAGCATATCACTGAGAATGTTGCCTTCTCAGTAGTAAGATAACTTAATGAGAGATGACCACAACTATACCCACAGGGAGAAAACTGCATAACCCATAGCCTACCCATGGTTTTGAACCCACGAATTGGTATGGCAGCTGCTTCACCATTAAAAATATTCAAAAGTACTTAAATGCTGCATATAAATATCTTTATGCAACTATTAAAAGAAAAAAATTAAAAATATGATCTGAAGGTTAAAATTAATGATATAATGAATAATTAAAGAATACACGCATACAAAGTTTATTTAAAATGATTAACAAACAAGTATATATTTTTTTATCTCAACTTAATATTAGTTATAAGATCGTTGTGAAGAAATTTAACATTTTGTTAAGAGTTTAACCTCACAGATTTTCTAGCCTAGTGATTCTAATTTTATTCTATTAGCCAAACTCTGGAAATAAGTAATATGTAATAATTATTGTGAAATGTTGCAGACTACTCAGTTTGTTCAAATAGAATATTACTAGTGATTTGACCCAGCTGATATATTTGAAAAAGGAAGTCAAATTTTTCTGAGGTAAAAACTTTAAATTATTTTAATAAAGATTAACTACATCAAGCTACAAGTCAATTTAGTTTCTATAAGCAAACTAAAAGCATGTTATTCATAGATTACTGCAGTTTATTCATAGATTACTGCTATAACAGTTCAGTACAAATTAGATTTAAGTAACTGTTGAAGGCCGTATCTCACCAAAAGACAATATGCCTGAAAGTTGACTGGCTATACAAATTTATATAAGATCAAATTTATTACTTCACTTTAGTCATAAAATACAACAGGAATTTAAGATTTTGAAAAAATTGTGAAAATATTTTTAATTCACAACAATATTAATTAAAGCATTTATCATGTAGATAAATCAATGGCAAGCTTGTAAAAATAACACTAAAACAAACTAGAAAATTTCTATAAAAATGCAATACATTATCAATTATCAATGTTACAATGAAACACAATGCGAACTTACTACAACATGATCATAATCTTGTCCTAATTCATGTGAACCAGCTACCATTTCTCTCTCAGAAATCCATTGCATGATGTCATCAACTTCTCTGTTTAGAGAGAAAAGTTTCAAACCTTCATCAAGCTTAGCTCTGCGTTCAAGGGCCAAATCTTTCAAGCCTGCATACAATTTATCTACCTGGGATTGCCTCACAATGATCTGGTCACTGAAAGATGTCATTATATATAAATTATCATATTTTTATTATAGTTACCATAACGTTCTGAAATTATAACACATAGGAGAAAATTATATGACATTAAAAATTAATACAGATGTACACATTCTTGAAAATATGAAAAATTAATATACCATGTATCTTAAATCAAGTAATTTAAATGAATATTACAATAAAAACACTAAAAATTTTATGCTTTTAATGTGTTCCAAAGCAGTTTAAAATGCAATTCTTTATTCAGCATGAGATAAAGCTGGTGTGCAATGCTAACTACTTCCACATAGTAGATAACTTCTCAAAAGGTAGTAAGTAATATAACATGCGTTTAACTGAAATTTTTGAATTTTGCATTTATCTTGGAAATGACAATTTCCTGCAATATGGTTTCATTTCTGTAGTTACTAACCAATTAAAGTTTTTAATTAGGAAAATCTATAGTTACTTTTTGCTAAAACCTGCTCGATTTTACATGAATAATAAATCCTATGAAATTTCAAGATTACCAGCACATACTTCACAGAATATTATTTAATCTTGCATTAACCAACTTATTAGAGTTTCATATTACATTTTAATACAGTCAAAAGTTGTTAATACGGACTCGTCGGGACTTCGGCGATTCCAGATTATCGATTTTTCTGGATTATAGATCATCAGTTTAAATCTGATAAGATAGCATGCAGAAATTATAAAATTTATTTATGAAATAAAGAACAATTATGATCTAAAGAGTATCAATATTAAAAAAAAAGAAGAAGCTTAATATTTATTTGTTTACTTTATTAAACATTTCTTTCAATGTAAATTGTTTAAGTTGCTTTGTTTTATGTGCTAATACTTTCTCTTTAATTCTATATAAACAGGCATAATATCTAGTTCAGTTACAAAGTTCCGCTGTTCAAGTCCGAGAATACCAACTTGTCAATCGAAATTTTTTCGTTTTCACTAACCTCTCTGTCACTTTCTTCATGCCTTTATCCATATTCTTTTTGTTTGATGGACATCGAAACATACTTTCACTTTGTAGATACTTTGGGAGCTCCAGCATCGAAAATTCTATTTGACATAATCAAAAGTTCAAGCTTACTTTTATAAAATTGCTCTAACAGTCTGCAAAAAATCAGCCGGATCCAATTCAAATATTAAGGAACAACGCAATCTGCAACATTAACTGAAATAGATAATTATATAATTTTATACATTAAACGCGCATGCGTAAATGTATTATGCGCTTGCGCACATGCATATACGCAGCCCTAAAGGTCTTACGCTCATGTGTAAACGTGCATGCGCAGAAAGTTTGTAGCTTTGAGGTCCGTATTATAGATCATTCCAGATTATGGGTGTCTGAATTAACGACTTTTGACTGTATCTCCCACTTAAGAGTATTAGAAAAGAGAAAAATTCTTTTTTCTTTCAGTATATCATGGGTGGCCAAACTTCATGACACTGCAATTCTATACTTACACCATTTTGAAAGTAATAAAACAGATTATTTTAATACAGATTTTTCTAATTTAAACAGATAATAATCTACAAAGCTAAAGCATATTTCGATGTACCGCTTCCGATAGTGAAGAAAGTGACAGAGAAGTTACTGAAAACGAAAAAATTTCAATTAACAATTCCTGTAACTACTGTTGTCCAAACAGTAGTTACAGGAATTGTTAATCGAAATTTTACAGTAGTTACAGGACTTTATGAATGTAACTGAACAAGAGATTATGTCAGTCTACAGAATTAAAGAGAAAGTATTAGCACAAAAACCGAAGCAACTTAAACAACTTACATTGAAAGAAATGTTTAATAAGGTAAACAAATAAAAAATTTAATTTTTTTTTTTTTTTTTTAATTCCGATACCCTTTAGACCATAAATACTTCATTATTTCATAAATCACGATTTCACATTTTTAATTTTATAATTTCTACATGCCATCTTACTAGATTGCCATCTGACTGATTATCTAATACCCAGAAAAATCCCAAATCCGAAATCGCTGAAGTCCGGATTTCGGACTTTGCACTGTATTACACTTTCAGATTACATATCTGACTACAATGATGATTAAATTATTACATGGAAAATCATAATATTTTAAATCTGTCATTATAACAAACAAATGCATGTCAGCCAACAATAAACTCTTAAGTAACATGACTTAAAAAATTTAGAAATAACAGTCCTACATTAAAGTTACATGTTGATGTATTCCTTTCTTCTATTTTACACAGCATATTATACCAATAGAAGTATTAAAGACAGTTAAGTTTTACTACGCAATTGACATTTCTTCATGCTTCAACATTTTTAATAATTAATAAGTGCAATAATTTTTTTTTTGTTTGTGCAATAATTTTGTGCTACAAATGAGTTCATACACAATACCTTTCAGGATGACCTTCAGAAGCTAACTGTTTGGCAGTTTCTCCAAGTTGTCTCACAGTCTCTGCATAATCTTCAACAGCATTTTCAAGACTTTCATGTTTCTTTTTCAAATTCTGTGTGCTGATTTCATCTTTACCTCTATCCTCAACCATCATATACAACTCTTGCTCACTCATCCATGCTTCTGCTTCACTTGCATCAAAATAGTACTATAAAACAGAAAATAAAGGAAAATGAAAACACACACATTAGAAGGCCATTCAAATTCTACTACAACAAGAAATTGAAAACAGATAATTTACTTGTTGGGCCTTTTCAGATTCCAGTAATTTTTCTTCCCTGACATCAAGAGCTCTCTTCAAATCACCCCATCGTTCTAACAAATCATCAATTAAAGCCTGGAACTCTTTAGAATCCTCATGATCTTCACCAATAAGTTTCTGGCCATTTTCACAGATGTTCATGATCCTTGGCTCATGATTTTCAGTTTCAGTTCGAAGAGACTAAAATTATGAATTTCATAATGAAACATAACAGAACTTAAAAAAATCTAATAAAGCACAGATTTACGTTTTGTACCAAACGAACAGTTCGGAAAATTTTGATAGAAGTACCTGGTTTTTCTTCTTCAACATCTGAACACTAAAGAGACTATTCCCGTAGTCCGTAGATGTAGTTAAAGGCATTTTTTCAGAAATCCAAAGTTTCTCATCTTCAACATCTCTTCTAAATTGATATGCTTCTTTCTTTTTCAGAAGCAAAGCTTTTCTCTCCAATAATGGGGCCTGGAGCCTCTGGAACCTTAAAATTTAAATTAATTACTCCTACAACTAAATTTTACACAAGGTCCAGACTATACATATATAAATTAAAAATCAGAATGATTTTAAAAGTAATCTAAAATCATAACTGAAACTAAATGCTTTATTTCAAAAACATTTCGAGATCAACCATGTTGTGTGAATTAATTTATGTAAAACTTTTAGCGTCTTTACCTTGGCTGGAAACATTTTTGAGGGATAAAGCAACTTAGTATGCAAAGGACAAAGAAATGCCCCATTTCATTTCTAAATTGGCAAAAAAAGAACCAAAAAAGTTTGACTTATTAAATGATTTATGAATAAGCAATTGCTTCTAAAACAGCACTTAAAAACTATACTTTTTGAAAAAAACTTGAGAGCAGTTAAATTTATGAGAGAGATAAATTTTAAAATCAAAACAGGGGGAAAAAAAAAAAAAACCTCCTCCTTCACAAAGAACCGGAAAGTCATCATTTAGGAGGGTAGCACATTTTGATAAAATAAAATGATCTGGAAAGGATTCAACATGGACGATTCCTACAGGAATCTTCAAATTTAAGTTAGATAATCAGAAAAATGGGCATAAGCACTCACATACAGATAGCTCATTCTGTTAAATCTTAGAAAGTGTTTATACAACAAACATTTATAGTTTTAAATTTAAAATGAACAATTTATTAACTGAGGTTTCAGTGCAAATTATTAAATTATTTATTCAGAACTACCATGCCCTAAAAAATGTTACTTGGAAGGCCCTCTCACTTATATATATATTTTAATCATATTTATCCCATTTTCAAGTATATGATATGGGAGGGATATTCAGATTTAAAATTCTTACGTGGAAAATATAAATTTTATTTTTCTCAATACACAAGAAGGAAAAAAACTGGGTGGTCAAAAACATTTATGAGAAGATCAGGCAGTTACAAATGCGTTTCGAAAACTTAAAAGTAATCATTCCTTTTAATAACTTTCATGCAAAGAAGTTTTCTGATTTTTGATCTAGTTCTACTTTTTAGCCATTTATAAGAATATTTCAAAGAAAAAAACTTTCAATGCTGCATTTCCTATTAGACTGCTTATTATTTTAAATTTCTATGCAGATAATAAATAATTAGGATTCAGTTTGATGAAGACTAACTTATTTTTTCCTAACAAAAATGAACTGATATCATCTGCAATTTAGATCTTCATATAAGAAATGCATCCAAAACTAAAGATGAAAGTGACCTATTAGATAAAAATTAATTGGTTTAACATGATCAAAAAATAATAAAATTTCTCATTAAATATTGATTTATTCGTAAAACTACTTAGAGTCATTTTTGTGCTATGTTGAAGAATTAATTTAAGTTTCAGGAAAGCACAAAATAACAATTTCATTTTTACTTTCTCTCACCTGGAAATTGGCATGCCCTTATTTCAAGTCTGCACGGCACAGAAAAGGAAAAGAAAGCATATTTAATCTCTAGGGTAAGCCCAACTATGTGTTGGGGGTTATAGAATGCCGACTTGGTAGCAGCAGAAGATATTAGCAGCTACAAGTAATTGGAGCGTGAAGTTGCTGTACCGGCTAGTACCTATTATGTACCAATGCTCTGATGGAAGCTACTGGTATGATCATCTATCAAAGTATTCTACATGGATATGATCTACATGAACCTTTTTTCCATGTTTTTAGAAGCTTACATAAGCACGTTCATCATCCATTTTATTACGGCTAACATAAGAAATTAAAAATTTTGTTCTTCACTCCAAATTATGCATATTACTATGTGTCTCACTCAACACTCTGAAATCTAATGACTTCTTGAAACAGACAGATAAGGGGATTAAATCAGTTTTAACAACAAAGGTTCTATAATTATGGATATTTTACTTATTGCTTACAGTAAAAACTATGATGAAAATTCTCTTTAATACTGAGGGAAATGCAAAAAATCTCATAAAACATTAATAATAAATACCTTTCTTCCACATAAGACTTTTTAACAACAATTTCTTGCTCTTTCTCAGGATCCATTTTCTTTAAGTAATCAGCTTGACTGCCAAGTTCAGTTACTTGCTGAGCTTTAACAGCCATTTGAGTTTCAATCATCTGGGAGAAACAGTTTCATAATTAATAAAATCTTATGGAATAAAGTTGAAATGCATATTTTTATTTTAAATTACATTTCATTTAAAAATATAAATACCTGTTGTTTCTGAAGGATGAGGTTGACTCCAGTCAAGCTAATTACATCTTGTCCAGGTTCAGCTGTCAAGACTTGGTTTTCTAGCTCTGTTATCCAGCCATCAATATCATCACATGTCTGCTCATACAAAACTTGTCTGTTGGCATCAAACAACTTTTCACCCTTTTCAGAAGTAGTGTTTTCCAGCTCTTCAAACTGACGAGCAATTTCTTGAAGCTTAGGTTCAATTACAGGTGCTAATTCTGGCTTTTCAGCCATTAAATCTTTACCAGCCTGTTAGGAAAAGTGAACTTATTTGAGGATCTTATATCTAACAGCTGGTTTTATTTTAAAAAATGCAGAAGTTTGTAAATTATCTACATTAACAGCAGTAAAAGCCAGAATGTTTTAAAATTAATAAATAATGTACAGTAACTTTTCTAACTTATCATTACACTTTTGTTTCTATATGAATGTATATATTAAATGAAGGAGAGATACTGATTTTGTGTAACTGGTTTAAAAAGAATTTAGTTTGCTTTTATAATATTTTTAAAACAATCTTTTACTCAGAGCCATTGCATTTGGTAAGTATACCGGACTAATTTTAAAAGTAAGAAATCAGCTTAGACTTCATAGAAGTTAGAATTTATCAATACTCAATTTGAAAAGCATTTCAAGGTTCTTACAGGGTTCATACACATTTCTGCACACGGAAATTAAGTACTTTTAAGCACCATTAATGAAAAAAATTAAAGACCTATGAGCAAATGGGAACTGAATAAATTCAATTAAAAATATTATTTATGCCATGCTAAAAATAAAATAGATCCCTAAATAGTTTATGCATTATTGCTAAGCATGAATTAATTAACATAATTATTAATAAGTGTGAGAATAAAATAAACTTTATGCAATTTATCAAGTAGCATTAAATATTTTACACTTATAATAGTTGGACATATTTGAAAGAAGATATGTGACATTTACATTTTACTAACAGTTAGCTTTACACTGATTTTTTTTTTTGGGGGGGGGATCTCATTTTGTCACATGCTTGGCTAATCTAGAGGTAAATAGCAGGTAGATTTTATGTCAAACGACATAAGTTAAAACAAGAAGCAAGATCATAATCAGCATAATTCATAACAAAAGACAGAATGTTGTCACCACAGCTGCTTGTCTAGAGAGAGATCTTCTGATTAAAACAAACCTGAAAGGCATGATGTAGGCATGGTTGGCAAGTGTTGAAAGTTAGTCAGGCTCTGGTTGATGCAGTTAGTGTCGTAGCTTCAACATTTATTCTTAAACGATATTAGGATAATTACACACTAAAAGCTAGAAAACATTTACGCTTTGTAACAACAACACTCAACAAAATATTTATCCGTCATTTTAGTTTGAAGCCTTCTCAAACATTTTGGCTAGTTTATTAAAATAGTGTACATATTACAATGAAATTCCCAATTGCAATTTCATGTTTGTCTTGTGGATAATTGCGACACAGTGTGCAAATTGCTATGGACGCACATAATGAGGTGTGCTAACTGTTAAGGACACGAAGTTATGATGTATCAAAGTGGACAAGTAGTATTTACTTGAACGATGAACTTAACAAAAGTGAACATAGAATAGCCTACACAACATCATATACTTTGGGCTATAGAACTATCAATTGCCTGAACTGATGTGACTTGCTTACTCTGTGGATAACTGCAAAAATAATACGGACACACATCATTAGGTGTGTAACTGATAAGAATATGAAGTTATGATGTATTGAAGAAGACACAGGTTTAAAAACTGGTTGATATACAAGTTCCACTCTCCACAACATAGATCCTATCCATGACAATGTAATTATTAATTGATCGTATATGTATTTTCATATGGATTATGTAACAATTATTATATAGATGACACTGTCAATTTAGCATTGTAATATTACTATCATTGATTCAGTGAATGCCCCTGGCGGTCGATGTAGATTCTTTTCCATCGCATGGACGTATAACTCTGATTGGTGTAGAACCTTAGGTCGGAGGTCCATGCGACTGCGTATCAGTTTATATCAATGTCCTTCTCTTTAAGCATGTTTTCTAACAATTAAGAGATTTGTCTGAATATGCAAACCAACGCTCTTGCTAGTTTCTGCGTGCTTTATCTACTAACTTGTCAACCTCTCCACAATGTACTTATGAGGGTTTACTTGATCTGGTAAAAGTTAAATAGTCCAAAACCCCTGCAAGACGTGAAGCAAATTATCGCTATGTCAGAAAGTCACTACGATATCAGACAAAGGTTTAAATAAGCCTCTTACTTAAAAAGAACTTAGAACATAAAGGCATGTTCTGATGCTAAAAAAATTAATTACAGCTCACAGTGACATAATTAAACAACAGTCAAATCTGGACTAGTGGTCAAAGATTTAATTTAACCTGGCTCAGTAACTCTATCATATGAAGAAATAGAAATGGGAAATTATAGTAAAGGCTGAAATCATAAACAATTGGGTAATTTACATAATAATAACTGACCATATCTTTGAAGAATAATTTTCTTTATGTATTCAGTTTCTTTCTTCAAAATGTTTCTTCAGTTTCTTTTTATTTTAGAATTTTTTGATTTAATTAAGAATTTCTGTTATTTTTAAAAAGCATTAATGCATTTAGAATGTGTAGAAAGAGTGGCTAATTTTATCTCTTTAGTAATATGAACATTCAGAAGAAATATGAAATACATATGCCGGCTAAAGTGCTAGCGTGGCAGAATTTTTAGAATTTAGTGAATGGCAAAACTTTTAGAATTTAGAGCAGGCATTGGAAGCAGAATTTAGAAAGGCACTAGGCAGAAGAATTTAGGTTCCACAGAAATCGCATCAGGTGGGAAAATGCCTAGTGCCAACTCTGTGTACAAATGCATTAAGACACATCAGATGAATCTTTTAAATTGTAAGTTTTCAATTTGTGAATAATAAAGCCTCCCCATGTGATAAGATTAAAAGCATTTTTGATATTTTCCGTACTTGTGTTTAGTGAAAGCTAGAGAAAATAAAGGGAAGATAAACATGTTAAGATTCTAGTATCAGAAGTAAAACATTCAAATATTATGTTTTCATTATTCTTCCAGACGTTCTCCCAAAAGTAAGAAATTCATCGCAAACTTTCTGTAAAATGCATACATTACGTGTTGATACTATGAAGACATTTTTCATTTTCTCACATATTTCTCGAATCTTCTAAAATCATGGGTCTATAAATCTTGCCTTCAAATCCTTCTAAACTTTCTAAGCTGTATCCCTAACAATTCTGTAACAGCAAAAAGCCAGAAATATTTTTTTCTGGGGGGAAAGAAGGGGAAAAGTGTAAAATTCATTTTATAGAGAAAACTGATGCATATTCTAAGAATTCTGAATACTCTGAGCCAATTACACGGGAAAAACTCTTACTATGAAAAAAAAATTAAAAGGAAAACATTTTTAATTAATTACATAGCTAATTTTGCTTTTTAGATTCAAAATGTTGTATAATAAGTTGCCAAAATGAAACTTTATAACATTACAGCAAAAAATAAAAACGTTCTTTTATTTTTTAAATATAATTTCAATATATTATCATTATTTTAATGAAATTAATCAATGCTATGATGTAGTAGCAAAATCAAAAAAATTCTCAGACCTCGGAATTAAAAATTTTCTATAGAAACTGATCTTAAAACTGCCAAAATATTCATAAGTCGCCAAATTTACAACTGTTTAATAGCTCTTTATTAGAAAAAATTAATTTTGAAATGCTCATGTTTCACTTGTTGCTTAGAAACACCGAGTATCCCATCATTTATATTAGAAATAGAAACAAATAACAACCCAAGAACCCATTCATAAGATAACCATATATGTCAGAGAAATGCAAAAAATAATTTTTTTTCCTCCAAAACATTAATTCACACTCAAAATGGCAATTGTAAAAACACACAAATTTCACAATTAAAATTAAGGACCTTCTGCTGATTTTTTTAAAATTAAGGACCAAAAATAGATTCCAAAAAATCTAGACCGTACAAACCCTGTCTTAAAAAATGTTACTATTCCAAATACCTAATGTTTTAATACTTATTCATTTTTTATTCACAAATATATATAGCTGCTGGTATAAATGAAGTGGCAACAGGCTACATGAATTACATATACAATCAAAAGTCTTTAATCCGGACTCATCCAGACTTCGGCGATTCCGCATTATCGGTTTTTCTGGGTTACAGATCATCAGTATAGACTCCAACCTTCAGCAAACCTTGTCAGTAGTCAACGCGCGAACGACATTTTTACAACTTTGAAAATGTGCGCGTAGCGTATGTTGTAATTAATCATTCATTAATTTTAAATTAATAATTAATTGTAATCAATTTTATTACATTTAAAATTGAATAATTAAAAATATACCTTGTAAATTATATGCACATTTAATTAGAAATTTTCTTTTAACTCCTCAAGCATTCACTAATAAAAAGTACTTCAAATCACTACTACTCATAGAAAAAAATCAGAAGCTATAAATCATATCTTTATTCTGGATATGATTTCTACAGGGAAATAAAATTTAAATAACCAAGAATGATACATATAAGTATTAAACATAATACGCATAATTTATGAATGCAAAGATTTATATGTAGCATGCTTAGCAAGCTTAAGTTCTGATTTTGAGAATGTTTTTTTTTTTATAACACAGTTCTTCATTTGCCTGCATATTTATTTTTTCAATCAAAACTGCTTCAAGAGTTTTAAGACCTAAATTTGGTCGAAATTCCGTCTGATTTTTTTTAACAATAGAAAAAAATTCTTTCGCAAGCTGCATTTGAATGAGGTATTATTAAGACAGCAAGCATTACAGAAGGCAATACTTTGTATTTAATACACCCATTCATATTTTTTAATTTGGCAATTTCTCCCCCCATGCTATATCAATACGCAAATCTACAATTTCTTTCAAATCATCTACTTGATACATGGAAAATTCAATTTCTACTTGATTAAGACATTTTTCATCAATAATGGATGGAAAAGTATTCATCAAGTAAAGAACAGATGAAAATGAGACTTCAGTTCTCAAGTTGATGTCAGCAACTTCAGCATGTTTTAGAAATGGATCACTCAGTGGAAATTTATCAATTATATATGAACATGCAGTTACAAAAAAAGCTCGCACAGAATTGAAAAATGATTTCACTTCACTTTCATTCAACTTGGCATTTTTTAAATATAGTCTTGTTTCCGCACCAATCACTAAATTTTCATTTTCTTTTTGTTTACTATACTTCTGAAATGGAATAGACGTTAGAGTAACATCTTCATTTTCTTTAGAAATTACTGATGGTTTTACGAATCTAACAAATAAATTCATTAAAAGTTCAAAAAGTTCTCTTCTCAATTTATGTATATAAGGAGCTTGTTGTTGCAAATTAATATTTACTGTTATAAACAAAGGCAAAGTATTTTTCAAAAATAACAAGTACAATTTGGTGGTCGGTGACTGTAAAATTTTTTTAATGTTTTGCAATCTCTTTTCCTTCATTCTCACTGTTATCTGGTTTATCTCCAAAAAAATTTATCACAGCATCCCACTGTTCCAAAATCCTTGTTATAGATTCTAAAAGAGACAACCATCTCGTACTGCAATATTTCAAAATTTTATGAGATTTTGCATTCTGTCCCAAAATTTGTTGAGCAACTTTGAAGCTATGCTTCCGTTTCGAACTTTTCTCCAAGTAAAAATATATATCTATTATCAACATTTCAATTTCTGAGCCAATTAATTTTTCAAGTAGCTTTTTTTGCAGCTATATGCAAGAGGTGGCACGGACAACCTCGGGTGATTATACTTGGTTGATGCATTTTGATAAATGATGCTACACCTTTAAACTTTCCAATCATATTACTAGCATTATCTGAAGAAAATGATAAGCAATTTTTCCATTCTAAACCTTTGTTTTTAAAGTTTTCATTTATACAATTAAAAAAATACCTTCTCTCCTGTATTATTCGTGCATTCTAAAATAGAAATCAATGAAAGTAATTATCACTCCCTTTTCTTTACTGTAGTATGTTATAACCAATGGGTACAGTTTGTTTCATCATTACTTCCATCAGTACTTAGAGAAAATGATGTACTGCACACTGATTTTATAATATCAGCAACAGTATTTTCTGCAAGCGTTTTCACAATAGCAGCAGTTTTGGTATGACCGCAGCTAAATTTTTTTGCTATGGCAGAATCCGGAAACATTGCTTTGAAAAGCTCTTTGGAATGATCCGAAACAGAGAAGCGGTAGATTATGTTCAATTAAAAAACGAACAAAATAGCATTCGGCTTTTATAGGATCTGTTTCATCATCTTTTATTAAGAAATTTGTTATTTCTTTAGATTTTACGGTGCCAAGTTCTATATGCTTTTGAGAAAACACATGCCGTTTACAGTCATCTTTTCCGCCATGAGCAACTGAGAAGTCTTTGTTGCATACACTGCAGTGTGCGTGATTCACAGAAATTTCGGACGCTTTAATGCATGGAAATTCTGAAGAATATGAATCTTTAAACTTCTGCTTTGATAATTTTGGCTTCTTCGTTCGAGGCAGCATTATGATTAAAAATCTTTCACCTGATTCACAGTTCACAAGACACACGCTAAGCTCTCGCCGTAAACTACACAATGCAGCCGAATGCAGCCTAAACACGCATCAGCGAGGAACCTGGGAAACAGACAATTGGGTGGAACTATTGATAAGTCGTTAACGGTTGGAGTTACTGATCTACGATTGGCTAATTCTTCAAAACTAGGAACGCACTCAACACGTGATATATGATAACACGAGTATTCAGCCAATCATCGGATGAATTAGTTGGTTCCGTTTTGCGTACTGGTTCTCCTGCTCTTGTTTCTGTAAAATCCGTAGTTTTTTCCATACTTTTCATAGCTCGTAGTTTTTCATGAATTTCCGTAGAAACTACGGAGAATCCGTAGTAGTTGGAGTCTATGCATCAGTTTAAATCTGGTAAGATGGCATGCAGAAATTATAAAATTAAAAATATGAAACCGTAATTTATGAAATAAAGAGCAATTATGATCTAAAAGGTATCAAATTAAAAAAAAAAAAAAAAAAAAAAAAAAAAAAGAAGCTTAATATTTGTTTATTTTATTAAGTATTTCTTTTAATGTAAGTTGTTTAAGTTGCTTCGTTTTATGTGCTAATACTTTCTCTTTAATTCTATAAACAGACATAATTTTTTGTTCAGTTACAAAGTTCCGCTGTTCAAGTCCTATAATTGCTGTGTCGAGAATACCGAATAATTTGTCAATTAAAATTATTTCATTTCCAATAATCTCTCTGTCACTTTCTTCACTATCGAAAGTGGTACATCGAAACATGCTTTTGCTTTGTAGATCCTTTGGCAGCTCCAGAATTGAAAGTTCAAGCTTACTTTTATAAAATTGCTCTAACAGTCTGCAAAAAATAAAAAGCTGGATCCAATTCGAAGATTAAGGAATAATGCAGTCTGCAACATTAACGGAAATAGATAATTAATTTTAACTTAGCTTATACCCTCCATTATTTATTAAACGAGCATGCATAAAACGTTTACGCATGCGCGTTTAATGTCCTTTACACTTAATGTCGTTTACGCATATGCGCATGCGTAAAGGTATTATGCGCAATGCGTTTACGCATGCGCAGAAAGGTTGTAGCTTTGAGGTCCGGATTAAAGACTTTTGACTGTACTACTGATTTGTAGCTTTTTTTTTTTTATCACTTAGCCCTGAGTCTATGTCACCAAAAAAGTTTGTGCTACTACATATACATACATACATACATATATATATATATATATATATATACACACATACAATGCATTTGTTTACACATTTGACAAAGTATGTTAAAATTTAAACCTCAGATGAAAAACACAATCAGGTAAAATTAATCTCTACAAAATACACAAAATCAAGGAGTAATTTTAAAATATTTAATTTTAAGCGACAACTTTCATTGTTGAAGCTTTTTGAGAACACATTTCTTTAAGTTACACTAACTACAGTTTCAAAATTTGCAAAACTGAAATAGAATTTCTAATAACATTTACTTTTGTGAAGCAAAAGATTTCAACATAAAATATCCAAATTTGTTAAAATTACCTGTTCCACTTGGAAAAGCCTGTTTTTATTAGATTCTACTTCGGCAGCAAAGGCTTGATGACGCATCCATTTGCTATGAATAGTTTTTGCACTACGGTAAGTCTCATCTTGTGCAATTATAGATTTTTCTTGAATCCATTCATTCAACTAGGAAAACAAAAGGGGGGGGGAATCAAATATTTAACTATGGTGAGAGTTAAACTACATGTCAATATCTTAAATTTTGAAGAAATGATGCTGTACCTTCTAGAAAATTCTGCATTAGAACATTTGAAAATTTGTTTCAAATTCTTTAAGAAAAAATATCAATATTTTCATCTTTTAAAACTAACACTTACTCTACTAACTCTTTATGATATATATAAGATATAACAAAATATGATAGCAGTTTCAAAAAAAAATAATTGGCAACCTCAAAATTAACATTCTAATTTTGGTGGTCTGCCCCTAAATTCATCTCTTCTCACAGGTTCCAGATTTTTCTATCTTACGTAACATTTTAATGCAGATACCTCTTGCCCAATCAAATTAATAGTAAACGAAAACTCATTGCAAGCATCAGAATTTGATAAATAATTTATTATGGAAGGAATACGTTTTCCCTACAGTGTACACAGATGGCATTAATTGCCTAGCAGGTTGTTGTGCAGGTAGGTAGCGAAAGTTCACAAATGCGTCAGAGCTATTGAAATGACAATGTTTAGAAAAGTGGTCTCGCTTGGAGGTGTGAGCCGTGATTCGTTATCCTAATTGAGTATCTGCCGCATGGTCAACATTACTGCTGATCAATATTGTGCCACACTGACAAGGTAACGAGCCATCAGATGCAAGCACCCTGGCATGTTGAGCGATAGTGCCATCCTTCTACATGACAATGCCTGGTCCCTTACTGCTCACCAAACTCAAGAATTGCTGCTAACGTTTAAGTATGATGTCTAGAGTCACTCTCATATAGCCCAGCTTTAGCATCATCTTTTCCAATATCGAAGGAACATTTATCTGGAATGAGGTTCTCTTTAGACAGTGATATGAACAGATTTGGTGATTATGTAGAAAAATGATAGGCAAGTATACCTCTTAATTCCTTTTTCTGTCTATTAACCTTTTTTTTTTCTTTTTTGAATACACCCTTGTATTAATAAAACACTAGCCCATTACACATTTTGCATTGCCATACCAAATAACACTTCTACAATTTATGCCTTAACTAATTAATGCCCAATTACTTTCAGCAATGAATTATTTCACCTAACACAAGAAAAAATAAGGGAGACTACAAATCTTGGTACAGCATGAATTTAATAACAATGAAACAATACCAGACTTAAAATTTAAATTCCATCCTAATTTTGAATGGAGATCATTCTGATGGTCTTCTATTTTAGCCAGATATCTCCATTTAAATAATTCCTTTCGTAAAAGCTTTAATCTGTTGCAAGAAAATCTTGTTACAGGAGTACATTTAGAGAAATCATATCTACCTTACTTTAAACTAGTCAGTGAATTTACATAATGTGGCTGACAAACCTCTTTAAGGGCATACATCAATTGCATCACGACTAGAATACAATCAATGTGGCAACTTAATATTCATAGTTAAGGTAACATTAAAAATCAATTTTTATGAACGAAACATGAAAAATTTGCACAAAAAGGAGCTAATATGTCTGAAGGAAGGTAAAAATTGAAAATTCATTTACAAATCCCAATGGGGGGGATGAACTAACATTCAATGATCTCCAAGTAACACTGTTACTAATGAATTTTTAGTGTTTAATGATTTTTAAGTATAAACACATAAAATACCTCTTCACAGTCTTGAAGGAAATGATGAAGCATTAGTTGATCTTTCAGTTTTTCCATTAATTCAGCTGCCCGAGCATGATTAGCATTACGTCTAAAAGAAAATGAACAGTTGATTACAGAAATGCATCAGAAAGTTTCAATTAAACATTTCCTTTTACTAAAATACACTGACGCCAATATTACTTCATATTTAAAAAAATAGCAATAATACAGAAAATTTCAACCATTTAAAAATATCTATAATAAAATTTCAAAATATACCTTTCTGTAATGTTTTCAGCCTTCTTGTGTACTTTATCTGCTTCAAAGTTACCTTCATCACATAATCGTTGAGCAAATAAAACAACAGCATTGATTTTTTCATCGTTAGCTTCCATTGTTGCCAAATAAGTTTCAGTTCTCTTGATTAAATCCTCAGCTTGTTCTAGATTAGTCTGAAAAATTAAATTAGTTTTAAATTTTAATTTCCTGAAAACAAAAAAGGAAATGTACCTCTAATAATATTATCATACACTGAATTTAAAATGACATTTTATAGTTGAATATGATAGCAACAATTATGTCAAAAACTTTATACTAACTGGAGTTTCATCTTTGGACAAGTAGTGTTCTTGTTGATTAAGAATCACTTCAGCTTGCTTAGCATCTCGCATGAACATCTGCAAGTTCAGACTTTGAGAGAGTAACTGCTGTCTGTTTTCCCACATTTGATGAAGCTCAGTCCAACCGTCTTGTAAAGATTTCAGTCTCTGAAAAATAATAATAAAAAAAAAAAAAAAAAAAAAAAAATAAACAATCATGACATTTAAATTTAAGAAGCTGAAAGCAAGCTTTCATATGGAAGCTTTGAGTGATTACATACGTTACTAAAAATGTATGAAATGCTGGACCTCTTTAGAATACCAAGGCATTATATAAAATGCCTGCTAATTTAGGCAAAGTCTATAGAATACATCTAGGTATTCTATAGAATGGCAAATGTTATTTCTGCAAAGCATGAAAAAAGGTAATTATGAAGCTATTATTTAAACCCCATGCATTCTTCAAAAATAAAAATGTTGTTTTGGGGAAAACAATGAAAGGTTGGTATTAAAAAAAAAATATTCAAAATATATAAAAGAAATTAAATCTGTATAAAATCAAATTTATGCCTTTCTTATTATAGAAAATGTATGAAATGTAAGTAATCAGCTAATTGTGTCAATGTATGGATTATATACAAATGCATGATATGAATCTAAACGAATCGGAGATGTATTACATATTTGCTGGTTTGTCATTTGGCATTCTATAGAAAGTCTAGGAAATGTATGAAATGCTAATCGTTTCATACACTGATGGTCAGTTTTTTGTATTCTATAAAATGCATATGTATTCCACAGAATACTGGCTTTCATATAGAGCCGGTAATACATACTTAAAAAATAAATACCGCAAAATTTTGTTAATTGCTATTCTGATTAACACTGATTTGAATGTATACATTTTTTCTTCCAAACCTTAAAACAAATTGTTAAATTTACAATGATTCTTTATGATATCATTATAATCAAATAAAAAGAGGAACTCAATTTATAATAACTCACTGCTGTCAGTATTATTATCTGTCATCCAATACTTTGGTTATTAAAAAGAACTAAATGGTTTGAAACATTAAATGATTTTCTTTTAAAGAACAGAATATTTTACATCTATGAAACAGGACTAATGTTTGAATAGTCATCACTACTGTATTTCCAATTAACATGAATTCAGAGAAAAAAGCAAAAGGTGAGCGTATTTGTCATACATTTCACTAAGCCTCGTGAACCCTTTATTGCTAAAAGATAACTCCTCCTTTCCAAAACTTGAAGGATACATATATAAATTTATTTAAATTTAGATTACTTTAAAATTTGTTTTATAAATCAGGCAAAAATCATAGAAAATATTGATATATTCAAAACTTGAACAAAAGCTGTATTTCATGTTCATAAACTATCATTAAATAAATAAGATGTTATGTTAACTGCTTCTTCACCTTGAATCTGTAAAATATTTCCCTGCTTGAGGACCTCTGCACTAAAGTCATTACCAAATCCATGATTTCAAAAGAACCACAAATTTCCATTAACCCCCCCACACACACACAAAAATTCTTATTACATACATCAGCAGCTAATTTAGTATAAGATGTATATAATTAGATAAACCTTAAGTTTCCTATACATGCATTTCTGACTCCTTATTTACTACGCGTTAAACAAACCACTTTAATACTGTTTTGTTTGGCATGTTTTTTTTTTTGGGGGGGGAAGGGGGAATGAATCATGGGCATTAAGCCAGACATTACTGTTAATGAAAAATACTGCACAAAATTTAAAATACAACAGTAACTATAAATAATGCAAAAGCTTCAGAATTACTTGAAAACCATATAGCAGAATAACTTACTTCTCTCAAGAACATATACTGGGCATCAGTCTGATCCTGGGTAACCTTTTCACCATATTCCATCATGCTGTTGTAATCTTCAGTATAATTATCAATTTCATCTCTAATCTGTTGATGTTGACTGAGTAATTTTTCAGCCTCAGACAAACTAGATGGTATATCTTCAGAGGCCACATCAGTCTGTGTTTTTGTGAGCCAAGCTTGAAAGTGATCCAAATCTCGCAAGAAACGATGGAGATCGCCTGCTTCTTCAAGTTTGGCATCTCTGTCTTTAAGCTAGAAATGATAAATGTAATTAATTAATTTCAATCCACATATAAGGAATATGCCAAATCTTAATATAAACATATTAAATTCTGTTTCCTATCATATGCACATTTAAATAATGAAGATAAATTATAATAATTATACAAAATCATAATCACAAAATCTATATTTAATTCAACTTAAACATGACATCAGCATAATTCAGACATATTTGGTCAAATGGTTTAAACCAGCGGTTCTCAACCTTTTAACTAATGTGTACCAACCAAACAAAAATTGAAAAGCTTTAGTACCACCACTACAATTTACAATGATTATTTTTCAATTTCTCACGGGAAATATAAAAATATATATATTGTCATTTGCACAACCTAATAGCTATTTGTATTAAAATATGCACACATAAAAAAATATTAGATTAAAAATTGGTTACCATTTTGGTTATGAAAATTAAAGTTACAGTACGTTGATTCTAAAATTTATTAATGAAATAAGGGCCTGTTATAAAAGATACATTTCTTTATGTCTGGTCTTATTTTACTTAGCTTTAACCGTAAATTAAGCTCCACTTTTTATTTTGTTCTGTATTTTTCAAATATAACATGGAAGAAAATCCTTATTCACACAAATAGGTTGAGCGAAAAGGCAATACAAATTTAATAGCTTTATTTGAAGTGCCTTTAAATTATCTTTTTTGGTTCGACCAAGAGTTAACAGGTATGTTATTTTTTTAAATCTTCCCTTAGAGATCGATCACAGGAAATTTCTATCAATTGTTCTTTTTCTTCACAAGATTTTTAGATTTAATAGTTTAAAATACTTTGTTTCTTTATGTACCACCTACTTTTCTCTTGCGTACCACCGGCTGAGAATCATTGGTTTACACAAAGAGATTATCTGCCTTAGCAAGGATGCCTTCTAACTGACTGACATTAGTGTTCAACATAGATCACAAACACTTTTGACAGACAGCCAGTTTGGCAGAAACTAAAATCATCTAGACCATTAAGGAAGGACAATTTTTTTGTAAGTATTACGAATAATAATAATATGTTACCAGAATTGATGCTCACGAAAAAGTGATTTTACAGAAAAGCTTTGAATGGCGAGTTTTTAAGGGAAATCATTCATTTAGATAAGAGTTGAACTTTTGCTCTTTTTGCATATTGGAATAGTTACTTTGAAGTCACAATTTTCCTGCAGTTTTAGCTGAGTGCAAAGCCTACATTCAGTGTTGTTGATAAAATTACAACATTTAGGCAAATCTTCCTGTCAGCTTATTTCAACATACAAAAACTGTCAATAAACAATGTGATTTAGTACTATTATAGTTAGGCATGACTTCATAATACATTCATAACCCTTTTGCCTTGGTTTTACATAGCCTGGATAAGCCGGCTTATCTGTTGCTTATCAAACTACCGTAATTTCCGGAAGAAAGGCCGCATCAGCGTAAACGCCGCACTCGAGAAAAATGGCGGGAAAAAAATTAAAATTACACAGAAACGTCGCAATAGATTAAATTGTGCGTGACATCGTCGTGGGCCGTATAGATGCAAAAACTCAACATAAGTCCTGATATATGACATACCAGTTAAGAAAAATGCATGAAATGAAGCCATAACTCAAAAATACCATAAATTAAAAGTAAGAAATGTATAGCTTCTGTGCCGTTTAGAGACATTTTCAAAAATTTCCGCTCCCTAATTAAAAAACTATCCAACAAGTATTGTACCCAAATTGATGGGATCTTTATTTGGCAGAATGCCAAGAAAAAATCCATTCATGCTGAAGGGGAAATAGTCAGAGTTCGTTATTTCGAGGCAGGTGGAGTCGTGTCCGCCTTTGAAAAAAATTGCAGAAAAGGCAAGGGTGGGGAGAGGATGGGTCCTGGAAGATTCATCGAATGGCAGAGGAGAGGAACTATTCAAACTGATGAGAATGTTGATTTGAAAGGGGGAAGGATGTTATTGTTCTGAGATCTCCTTTAGGGTGAATAAGGCATGTAGGTCTGTTCAAGGGAAAGAATGTAAACAAAATTACGTTCGCAAAAAGCAACTGAGTGGTCTTTTGTGTGGGAACAGCACCGGTCTATGCACAATGACAAGGCCTCCAAACGATGTACAATGACCATCATAGGAAATATTTTATTTTTAGTGCACCTAAACGCCGCACCCGCTGAAAATTAAATTTTAAACACGTAAACGCCGCGGCGTTTCTTCCGGAAATTACGGTAAATAAAGAATGATCTACTCCTTCCATACTCCCATCAGAATGAATAAGACTCAATTCACTTAATTTTTTTATACACTATGCACAAAAATTACATCCACTGAGTAACTAACTGACTAAAAGATGATCTGCTCCTTCAAACTTCCATCAGACTGTTTGAAGCAAGTTTTATATTTCTACCAATTTTCACAGCTGATAGGGAAATATGATAAAAATTATAATTTATTAGTTAACAGCTTCAAAAATCTTTGAGATTATTGGAAGTACAACTCCTAGATGCACATACTTAGCTGATTAAATTATACAAATCTTGTAAAAGAGTAAGCATTGAAAGGTTTAGTTTTCGATACTAAAAATGTTAACATATAAAATTTTTTAAAAATAAATAAATAAATTTTAAAAATCAGAATTAAATAGTAAAATAACAATTTCCTAAAATTTAAATCTAATATCTCTGTTTAAAAACTAATATGATACTATATCTACCACATCATTCATATGAATTTCAAATTAAATTTATTGACTTAAAATACATCAAATATTAATGTCCTGAAATTTTCAACTAATACAGCTTCATAAAGAGATCATAAAACAAATTTGATTATCTCCATAAACTGAAATTTACTCAATCATATAATAATTAAAAACGAAAAATTATCACTCACTAGCTGGGTTAGTTGTTCCCATACAGCCTTGATCTGAGTTATTCTTTCACGTATAGCTTCAGCTTCCTGGAAAAAAAAGAAAATGTCAGTTTTTAAAGAGAGGGGGGAAAAGATGAAAATATTTAAATTAAAATCTGCTTCCTAACTATCAGGAAATGTGAATACACACACACTCAGAAACAATAATGATTAAACAAAATGGGGAAACAGGGAAAAGATAAATTTAACATAATGCTTTTCATTTTATATTCCAAATGAAAAATCACATTCAAAAATTGATGGAGGAAAATATAAGAATACTAGTCTTCAAAACAATATGGAAAATTTTAAACATGTGACAAAAATTACAATAAGGAGTTATATATAATATTTATTATATATGTTAAGGAGTTATATATATGTTCTTAAATGGGGATAGCAAGTTGAATAAAGATTGCAGATTAAAAAATTAGTAATTATATGAAAGAACATTAAGTTATGCATCTTATATCAGAAAAGACAAAGAGGTGTGCAGTGGATTAACTCAGCTGATGTTTATGTTTATAGAGTGTTAAGTACTGCCATACTCTTTAATATTTGTTATGCTATTTATCTTTGGGATGCCAACTGAAAAGATATTTAAATTTACTTCAGATATCTTCACCTGTAAAAACTGTCACTGCTTGTAGTTGTAAAAAAAAAAAAAAAAAAAAAAAACCTCAATTTATTTAATTTATTTTTTTGCTTTCCTGACATGTTTATTCACAGAGTTTATATGAACTGTTAATACACAAAAACACTCACTCAGTATTTGAAAATGCTACAATACATTAAAATGTTTAATTATTCTTTGTTTTAAAGCTGAGAATGGCAATGATTTGTAAAGCAATTTAAAATGGAAACCTTGAGAGTCTTATTTTGGGAAACAGGTAAAATATTATTCTTACATATTTAAAATTGCGAGTTTTCTAACTATGCAATCAAAGGATGTTTTAAGTCTTATTATTGACATAATTTTATGATCTGCATTTTGCAAAATATTTTAATGTTAGTTTTAAAATATTATAAAATGAATAAACTTATATGAGACATAAGTTGTCTACTTTAGTTATTATTATTTGCAGCATTAGCATTGACAGCAGAATTTTCAGAGTTTTATGTGTTTGCTTATTTGACTCGTTAATGAATCGGAAATTCTATACTAATCTTTCGGGAATTCTATACTAGTCTTTGTGAGAGAAAAAAAAATTCTTTATGAACTGCTATTTAATTAAAATACAATGCATTTTTTTTATAAAAATGCTGCCATTCTTTAAACATCACAATAAAAATATCTGAAACAAATAACATTATGACACAAGAAACGTTAAAAAGTGGCAGATATTTTATTTAGCAGTGACAGCAGCATTTTTGGAGTTTTATGCGTTTCCTCATTTGATTCGTTGGTGAAGCGAGAATTCTATATAATAGTTTTTTTATCGCTTTCCAATTTCCTTAAGCATTGATTTAAGTTTTTTGTAAAACAGTGGACACCTATACTTCTAAACTAAACCTCATAAAATACTTCAAATATATATTTTAAACCCTCTCCTAAGTAAGATCATGAAAATAAATTTGATTTGTTCCATTTTTAGAACCAGAATTTTTTTCTATTTTATGGTAAACAAGTAAGATATGATACAAGAAAAGTTAAAATGTGGCAGATATTATGTTAATATATCTGGCCACATGAAACTGAATATAAAGCTATTCTATAATTTTAAAACTTTTCAAAGTCAGGAATACTATTCTTCAATATCAGAAATGCTTTATCTATAACAATACTATGCTTCTAAAAATTAATTATAAAAAACTGGTACATCAGGTTTATACCAGCAAAGAAATTGCCCCTCTTCCTAATTTTACATTACTACAAGTTTAAGATAACCATAAGTTATAAATATTAAAGGAAAGTACCCCAGGATGTTCATTTTGTATCTTATCTGCTTCTTTTTCTAGAGAATCGAGCTATAATAAAAAAAGAAGAAAATTAGAAGTCACATAGTCTTATATATATTTTAACTTGCTTACAAATAAATGCAGAGAATATAAAAAAATAAAGTAATTTAAAAAAATATATAAATTGATGATTAACCAATTATAACGCTTTGCTAATGGAAGAAATAGCTACTGTTATGATAAATTTTATTGATAAGAAGTAGCTTACTAATCTTATGTATAAAATCTTCAGGAATAATTATTTTTTTATCATTTAAACAAAATATGTTTAAGTTGATAGTGAAAACAGTTCACTTTAACCATATGAATTCCATTGTTAACAAAAATATTTATTTACCTCTGAATTTTAGAACTTCAGTTCCAAACTTATGGATAGTATATATTATACTGAAAATTGTATTCATACTACTAATTTTAAATAGAAAATAAATAGCTCTGATTATTTCAGATAAGTTATGTTAGTTGGATAAACTATTGGCCCAGTATATTATCAGTTCATGCAAAGAGATCATTACCAAGTTCACATATCGGAGAAATTTATGCACTATTACGAATGATTGATTCCTCAGGTTTCGAAAAAATACAATTTCCAAGTAATGGCTTGCACATGTTCTTGATTGTAACATAAAGGGGAAAAAATATCTAAAATTCCATGCATACAAATTTTCTTGACATACTGAGTTGCATTCTCAAAATGTCTAGTTTACAGAAGAAAGCATTTTATGTCTATCCACTGCTAACATGCAATGTCCTTTTCAAAGGCATCAGGATACAGATCCATCAAGCTATTGTAGCTCACAAAAATCAATAAATAGCCATTAACAACAAATTTGGTATTTCACAGCTAACCATTTGGAAGATTCTGCAATGGTGCTTACAAATGAAACTGTACCACTTGCAAATGCTGCAACATTAACAGCCAGATGATATTAAATGATATGAATTTTATAACTGCATGCTAAAAAAAAGTACTGCATGATGATGAAGTCTGATGCCTGAGTCATGAAATGTTTAAGTTGTGCAAAATGGTATACCGTCACAATGCCCAAATACGAAGCATGGAACTTAATGATGTCATTGAATACAAAGTGATTTCCCTAAAATCAAATATACTTTGTGCCATTTTGCTGTAAAGCAAGTGGGTTTTTTTCTCAATCATTGAGAACACTGTGACAGACACATTGTACCTTGATGTTGCAAGATTGCTACCTACATGAAATGATACGGTAAAAAGATTAGCATTGTTCAGTCAGTCATCAGTATCTCTTAACCTTATACCCAGTGATTTATTATTATTATTATTATTTTACAATAAGCTAAAGACAATTTTTGTGTGTCTTCACTGCCAGCAACATATGAGAAGTTCTGGGATTGCATTGTGACAGCTCTGAGACCATCAGTAATGAAATTTTAAAGCATGTATGGGCAGAAATGGAATACCATTTGGGCATGTATAATAACAAACGAAACATACATCAGAAATATTTATTATGACTAAAATATAAAAGATTTTTACTTCATTTCATATTTTTTGGGGGGAGGACAATATTTTAAAAAAATTATTATTTGGAAGCCTGTTCTCCAAGTCTTCACTTCTATATCCCTCAACTTCTTTCTTACTGTTAATAGATTATTTCAATTGACATCTGATATTTACTTGATTCTATCACCTAAAGCAGAGAAGTTTCAGTTTTATTTGTGCTGATATCTACTTTTTTATTTATTCATCCATTTATTTTATTTCAGACTCTATTTTTATTAACTCTTTGCACAAGAGGCCTTTTCTGGTCGGGCTGAACCAGCAACTCGAAACGATTTTGGCCATATTAAGGAAGTATTTTACAGGTACTTAAGACAATTTTATACTCAAACAAACGTATTCAAATAATAAAATTTTACCACTTGAGTTGATCTGATCTTGATCTATATTTTTAGGGCTTGAAAACTCTTCAACTGGTAGACTCACTGCCAAGACTATTTCAAACGAATGCTGTGGTGAGACTAACTGAACATCATAAATAAACAGGAAATGCCTCAGCACCAGTACATTGCACATCAAGTGGATGTATCAAACCTCCTAGGTGCGGTAGCGACACTGCTTGAGTGCAAAGGGTTAAGCATGTTCCGGTTTTGCATAACATTGCAGTTCAACAGTTACACAACTTCCCATACATCTTTCTTGGCTTGGTGTTCTGCCTTAATATCTTGTGAAATATAAATTATACTGTATTGCAATCATTAATGGCCATCTTCCCAAAACCAATGCTCAAAGGCCAATAGTGTCAAAAGTATTCATGTACATTATGCCTAAAAAATGTTTTACTTTCCTGTATGTATCTGCTACCTCTGCACCATCTTTCAAAATTTATATTTCTAATTCTTATAAAATAGTAAACTATTGTTGCAACACAATGTCATTTTACATAAAGTCGAAAAAATGCTAAAAACGACAGCATGTTCTTCAGTGCTTAAATGCACACATGCAAAAGATTAAAATTTACACTGCAAATAGTATTAATAATTAAGATATAAGATTAATATAATAAGATTTAAAAGATTTAGTCCCAGTTACATGCATCTGAATCTGATACCATTTTATAATAAATGCAAGTACAAAAACACTCACATAACACAATTGTTGACCAATTTGTTGCTAAACAACTCAAGCCATTTGATATGGCAGTGAAAATCTACTTTATGACTATTATCTACTTTTCTACTTTATGAGAAAGAACTGACATGCCATTCTAGATAAATTGTTTAAGGAAAGACATATAAAAGCAGTTTGCTTTGGGCACTTTCTGAGAAAGATTAACAGATACCGACTCAAAATTATAATGCACACAAAGAAACTTATATCAGCATACAGAACCTTATTCTTCTAGATATAGAACCGAGCATAAATTTATCGGTATTCAGCATTTTTCCATCATGAAGCCATCAGTAATTTCAGAAATGGATAATATTAATTATATTACAAAAATAATTATGTTCCTCATTTAAACATATAGAATTTGTATTGGCTCAATTTTACCTTAGCTTGAATAGCTGCCAAATCTCGCTCCATACCACTTAAACGTCTCTGTAGTGTCATGATGCCAGTCAAATCATTGCCAAGTTCTTCAGTAGCTTGCAGAAGCCTAGTCTTTTCTTCAATCCATGTCTATTTTAAATAAAATATATAAAATAAGTTCTCTGAATTGAACTTAGTAAGGTATATTTTCATAAATCACTGCATTAAAAATTTACTGAAATCTGAATTTACATTTGGATAAAAAAAATAAAACACGATCTCAAAAATTATGAAGCCATAGCCCGCCATAACTTAAAACATGAAAAATTAGGTGATTTTTGCTCTACGCAGCAGTGTTATTTCAAAAAAACTCCATTATGACTATTTTGATGATTTAGTCAATTTATATAGCATAATTTAGGTCATTAAACTAATTACATGATTTTATAAAAAATATATTAATTTATTATAAATTTAGATTAATTACTCCCCCCCCATTGAATCTGGTTTTATATTGATGATAAATTCAATAGCAAAAAAAGCTTTTAATTACAAAACACTTAATGCAATGAAAATAAAATTAATAATAAATTCAAAATGACAAAGATAAACTTAATAATGTACCATTTATAAATGTAAAGCAGATTCAAACTCAAATATCTACATGTTAAACATTAGGTGTCTTCAAAAAATGCTCTAAAAATGTATATCTATAATGGATTAAAATATTTTAGATTGAATGAAAATCAATCTGAAAATTACGCTAAAAATTAACTTGGGGGAAAAATGAATTTGAGTCATTTATGGATATCAATGTTACTGTATATAATACCTTGTTTTAAGAATTTATTAAAATTCTTTTCGCAGACCTTTTTTTTCCCCCGTTTCTTTCAAAAGTTAATGAACAAAAGTTCTACAAGAACTGAATTTGAAAGAGATGATCTAATGTCAGATAAATTAAAAACCACATATTTACTAAGAGACCAGAAGATGTGCTGAAATTTAGAAATCTCATGGTTTTTATAGAGGACTGGCAGTTCTGTAAAGCACTTAGTAAAATAATTTTGAATAAAAAATACAGAATAAATTTACAATAGTAAGCTATATAATATAGCCAAAAATTATTGGACACATTGGATTTTAGATATTTTTTTAGATTTCTAGAGAAATGTTCAATGACTTATTCCGTAACAGCAGACATATAAATAACACATTTGAACTCACAATTTCCAGTGAAAATTTTATCATGAGTACATTTAGAATATTTAAAAAAAAAAAAAAAAAAAAAAAAATCTAACTTTTGAAATAAAAACAATATTTAACCTGCATTTACAGAATATAATATGCACAAAAATAATTTTTCTTTTGTAATTTTGTAGCCAAGTAGGAGGGAAACTGAGCCACAAGTATAAGGGTTTGTAGCCAAGTATAAAAACGGTGAATTGTGTTACAGTTTACTTTCTCGAACTAACCGGATGATAAGAGATTTTCCACAAGTTAATGTATTCACTGGAAGTATATCTAGTACAAGACTATCAAATAAGATTTACTTAAGCCAACTTCCATCACTATAAAAAATTAGGTTTCTACTCAAACAGAAGAATGAACTTTTCCAAGTGTATTTTAAGAAAATTCCAGTCTATCCGCGTAATGCATGTTGGCTGTGCTCAGAGGTAAATTAATTATGATATTACTTGAAAACACAAAAATTTGTCAATTACATATGACTTATATATATATATATAATTCCCAAAGCATTACTATTTTAACTATAATAGGAATTGTTTTCGCCACTGAAGATTGGGATTAGAAGCTGCCCAATCTGGATGAAAAAATTTCCTTTTTTTTTTCAGATATTTTGCAGCGAAACTAAAGAAGAAATATATTTAATGACATTTTTAAATAAATTCATCAGCAGCATACATAAGCAAAAAATATGTACATTAAATTTCGTGATGTCATCATACTGCTAGAATTAATTTCAGGATTATGCCAGAGAAAATTTCCTAAAATTTGAAAGTATTATTTATTAGTAATAAACAAATTTAGAGGGAAGAAGCAACATTAAATGATATGAATAACATAAAAATAATTACTTAAAGATTGAATTAGAATAATCAACGATATTTTAGCAATTATAGTTATATTTAATGGTTAGCCCAGATGACTGAATACTATTTTTTTATTTTATTGCAAAATGACAAATAAAGCATTTAGTAAAAAGAAAAAAAAAAAAAAAAAAAAAAAAAAGAGGTTTAAGAGATTTTGTGGTAAAATCTTAGTATACGGTTAAGGCCTTGGCACGATTTTGAAAATTGTCGCCAACACCAAAATGACCCGTTTACTGCTAATCATAACGTCGTCAAATCCCATGTGTACCATACATTTAAAAAAAAAAAAAAAAAAAAAAAAAGGTTTAAAAGATTTTGCGATAAAATCCTAGTATATGCTAAGGTCCGTCACCAAATCCCGTGTGTATCGTACATGGAGGTTATTCTAACCAAAGAGCGTAAAGAAGGAAAGGTTCCATAGACGTAATGCTATTATGCCGCTAGAAAGCGGAGGAAAAATTCATTAAGGAATTTGGTGACGGAACCTGGCGGCCAGAATTTACCTCTTAACGACGAGTACAGGAAATTGAGGAACATGTGTTAAGAAGAAATATTCTTTGACAAAACGTTTCTTCTTTGATATTTTACAATAATTTAAACACGGATTTTTATAGTTTTTCCCCTCAAAATAGCTAATTCAATTTACTTGCATGAAAAAATATTTTCTTTTGTTTTGAAGTTTAAAGAAATTTTAAATGATATTCATTTTATGAACTCTTGATAACGTGACTTCTAACTTCGACACCAGATTCAAGCTTTCGCGACAGATATTTCGCGCATGCGCAGCTCCGATATTCGAACGAAGCCACTCCTGTTGCAGAGAAGTTTTCCTTCTTAACAATATATATTCTTTGATTCTAACTTCCATGGTACCGTATACTAGGATTACACCAATCTTGTTTTATACGAGAATAAGCATTTTGTTTAGTTCAACATGCACTGTACATGTGCATGCGATTCTCGAGGTTACTGGAAACTTGCTTTGCCTTTCTAAAAGACAAATCTAATTGGAGCTGTGAAAATTGGCTCTATGCCAGCTGCCTGAAACGACGCTCACGAGATACACGATTCGCCAATAAAGTGATCGCTTCCAACGTTGGAGCAAAACTCGCTTTTTTGGGGGAGGGGAATCACGGTATGAAATTCCCTGAAGTTTCCAAATTTTGACTAAAATATTTAAAGTCCCTGACTTTTTCCGGTTTTCCAAGTAGCGTGGCAACTTCTACAAGACATAACACATAAATCACTAAATATGATAAGATTTGCAATTGTTTCACATAAAAAATTTATATTATTGGTATATACAATTCTAATTTTCAAGGACCACAAAAAGATAACATATACAATTAAAATGTATTTTGTTACGTGAAAAGTGAAAAAGATACAGTACATATACTAGAAAATTTCCAAAATTCACTTACGATAGTTTCTTTACATTCAATGTGGAATGTCTGAACTCCATGAGCTGAATTAATTTCTTCTTTCTTTTGTTCAGCAGTTTCCCGAAGAGATGACCATCTATGAGAAGAAAACAAACTTAGAATGATCTCGCACAAATACAGATTCTTTGATCTATAAATATTTTATGATTCAAAATACAAAGAATATAATATATAATTCAAAAAGAAAAATAATTACATAAAATTAATCCTCTAGATCAGTCTGCTCAACTATATAAGAAAAATAAACTAATAATGAAAGCAAACTTGGGCAATCTAAAATTTGCTGATAAGCTTTTCCAGTTAATTCTATTACCTTATCTGAACAAATGAAAGAACAGTACGTAACAGCTTATAAAGGTGATAATGCAATTAAAGTCATAGTAAACTGCTACTAATAATAATCCAGCACAGCCATAGACTGCACAGTAAGTGCCAATGCTGACCTCAGTTCACAACTGAAAGCAACGGAAACAAACATCAAAACAGCTTTTCAATGACTGAAAGTTCGTCTCATCTAGATTTTCTACTGCAACATATGGAAGGCAGTTGTGCTGATTATTCAAACATAAAAGTTCTAGCAAAATGAAATACAGAGGGCAAAAACATGCGAGGAATTTAAAAATTTAAAAGGAATATCCCACTGAAAAATCCCAGATCTAGTTATTCATGTATGAAAACCTAGCACCTTTCTATTAAGGGGTATCATACATATTAAATACAGTAAAACAATTTACATTAGCCTTATAATCTTAATGCTGAAAAACTTAGTGACATGCACATTACCTTTGATTCAATTGGTTCTGTCGATTCAAGATTTCTTCAGAGTTTGGATGCTCCACATGCAACAGTTGGCGAGCTAATTGATTAACAACAGCCATTCTATTCGCATTTGCATTCATTTCTTGTTCAAACCCTTCAAATCTGTGTCGCATAACTTCAATATCTTCCATGTCACGGCTCATAACCATGCTCTTGATCATTTTTTCCTGAAGGAGCAGAAGTTTCAATAATATATGTAATTTAGATTGAAATATTTTTTTTTTTATAAATATAGGAAAATTGTGACACTAGTCCCAATAACTGAAAAATTTTTAATACAGATAATAGTTTTATAGATCTGGTTGATGCATTTAATTAAATAACAATTCAAACACTTAATGTTTGAAAATTGTATCTTCAAATATGTAGAACGAAACACAGAACAGAATATTACATTAATACAGTGTTATCTACCAATTCACAGTTATTTCTACAGACAGGAAAGTTGGTAGAGAAACAATGCAGCTTATCTTTAAAAATATATTACCTTAACTTCAAACCATATTTAACAATTATTTTTCAATAATGACCTTAAATCACTGTAACCTATTAACAGCATCTCAAAATAATAAAAAATTGATAATTCTCCAAACAAACACTTAAAAAAGAAAGAGGGAAACAAAGAATTTAGGACTCATAAATAAAATGAACATTAGTTTTTAGGAAAGATAAGCTATAAGTAAATACATGGTTAAAAACAGATTCTTTATCATTATAAAATAGACATAATGGGCTACAGATACTTTAGAGGATTCTGAATCTCTCCATAAAAAATGTCGCAAAATGAATAAAATACTACTTTTTTATAAGTATTATAATACACTATTTTTAAGAGAAAAGCTTTGAAGTTTTATTTATTTCACTGATGTTCAAAGTAAGCTCTCTCTATGATGTAATAGATATTCAATCTACAATTAGCTCATCCTATAAAAAATCAATAATTTCCCCTTACAAATGCATTCTTATGTTTCAAAGATATGAAACTCCTTTTAAATTAATGCATTTAGGGCAGATACTTGTAGAACATTTTTAGCATGCTTCAAAAGCATTTCAGGATGATTGATGACTTTGCTTTTATATATTACAGAATTTTTTTTTTTTTTTTTTATTTTTTTCCTATGGGTGATACTTTTTGAAAGCTGGGAAAAAACTTCACCAGTTCCTTAAATAAAATATAAAGAAATATTTTTCTAATATGCAGTTATTTATATATTAATCTATTTCCTTATATTTAATGAAAGAAAGAGAAACCTGTCATTTTAAATATTAATAAATGTGGCTTTGTGAAGTTTTGCCTGACACTTTTAACGAATTCAGGTTATAAGTATAGGTTACAAGCATTAATTTTGCTACTAATCAAAAGAAATGCCAACCTTTGTAGTATGAATTTCAAGTTTTTCAGTTGATTTATTGAGGAATTACAGCCAAAATTGTTGTTTAAGTGTTGCACACTAGTGTATTTAAAAAAAAAAAAAAAAACTTAGGCAATATTAAAGAGCTAAATTATTACTTTTTCTTCAATCCATTGTTCTACACCATCAGCTTCATTAAAGAGTTTATACAGAGAAAGCGCATCCAACAGCCTCTGCTTACGTAATTTTGCCAATTCTACAAGGTCTTTGTAACGACGATCTATGCTCTGCAAACGTTCCAGTACTTCTGGTGCCTCTCGGTCCTATAAATATAATTAATACAATAATAAATACATTTAATAAAAGGGATTAAATGATACTTAAATATATCAGGCACACAAATTTTTAAATATATATAGTATTTGTACTTTAAGAACTAAATATTTAAGTCGTATTTCACATAAAAAAAAAAAAAAAAGCCTTAAAAACAGCCAATTAACATACCTTCTCACCCAGACCTGCAGCTTGGGCATGAAGAGCATCAATAGTATTGGCATAATTCTTCAGCTCATCAGTGACATCCTTAAACAAACATAGTTTATAGTAAATAAAAAGATTCTATATTAACATGAAGCATCACATAATACTAATTCATGTAAACATGGAAGTCCTACTTAATATGATTTCAATCTGTATTAATTAATGAAACTGAATGGAATGATACACTATTTCTCAGTTCACTCAACTGATTAAACAATTACCCCAAATTTTTTTCATTAAGTAAAAATTTTTTGCTGTTAATTTGGATTCATAAATTTGTTTAATGCCTGTTGCAATATTGTTAAAACAGGTAAAGAAGATAGCCATTGCATTTAAGAAAGATTGTGTAGATGCAGATTACAATATATAGTTGGGACTTTGTAACAAAAGGTTTATAACTACTCAATTTTAATTACAGTTTAGTTTTATGGATTAATGTAGTTTATCAGTAAAATATTTACTAAACACAAGAGATTTCAATCAAGGGTGAAATTTTATTTGTTATGATGGAGAATGAATTCTATAAGCTTTCAGTTATTTCTTAAATGGAATCATTAAAATGATATTTTTACATATGAAAATAAATATAAATACTAATACAAAAAGAAAAATGGTTTCATTAATTACTAATCTAGTAAATTTTTAATTTCATTAAATTTATATTTCTTCCAATTTTCTAAAAGCAGGAACGGCCCTTAAAAAGATCATTTTTATAAGTTGTTCAGCCATATACACTATAAATGTTGTGCAGTATGGCAAACAAAAAATAAATAAATCACTTATATTAACAGATATTCACTATGCTTCCACAAGATTAAATGAAAACCTTTTCGGTATGGTACTCCATATGTTTTGTGGATCTTTAGCTTCAAAATCCCTTCAGCACCAATGAATTGTTTGAGTATTAGTACTGCCTCCAGGATTAGCAAAGTTTTTTGGTGGTTTATGGCTAACTGTAACTCAGAAGGCTAAGGCTAACTCCATGATAATTAATCTAAGTATCACTTCCCGCTGGATTACGGGTAGTAATTTTACGGTTTCTCCTCAATGAACAATGGAAGTGTGTTTTGAGTTTTTCAGTTCGACTTGCTATCGTACAGGGTCCTCCCATTCGTTTAGCATGGTTCCTTTGGTTCATGATGTTTTCTGCATCAGAATGATGCAAAGACAACTCCTCCCTTCACTCATTTCCAAACAGCAAGCGGGAGATCGCATATGACATCACTTTCAATCAACATATTATAAAATACAGGGTTTCTTTTTCATTAGCAGAAGAATTCTCATTTAGACTAAGTGATCTACTTTTAAAATGAAGCTAGAAGCTAATTAAAAAATTAACTTTAGTTTTCAATGACTTTCAGCATGCTGAATAAATTTTACTTCATGTTGATTGATACTGACAAAAACCTTGAAATCCACAAATATATTGATAAAACAGCTGTCAATCATCAAAGACTCCAAAATATGTACATACAGTACACACAGCTTAATGTGACTACATTTGTTCACAGCTATTTTGATAACATTAAACAATGAGGAAGAGAATCCATCAAAACAGCAACATAACTTATTACCAATTTAATATAAGCGCAATAAGAAACACAATACTTTCATAGAATTTTTTTTAGGAAAATGCAAAAATTTGTTAATTAAAGGTCTTTGAATACAAAAATTTAATTTGTTTAATACAAATGGGCGGGAATTCAACTATTTGATAATAATATCTGAATGATAACATTCAGCAGTGTTAATTTTACGTTACAAAGTTTCATTAAGTTCCAATTCTCAAATATTAAAATCAGACTTTTAAATTATAAAGCTACTTGGTTTGAATTTTCTAGATCATGTTGAAAAACATAGCAACAAACATTTTGACATAGAATGGCATCTATTTAAGACTACAGAAGACATTAAAAATGGGTAATTTCTTATCTTACTGGGAAAAAATGTTTTAAAATAAAAAGTAATACAAGAGAACAAATGCTTCCTAATTTAATAACAGAAGTTAAAACTTGGGCCTCTTCCATCTGTTAGCAAATATTTTCTACAAATCAAGTACATTTTTCTTAGATTAAGTTAGTTTCTTAATAAGTTATTTTTGCCAGTTTTTTACCTTGGCTAGGAGTTAAAATTACTAGCAAAGAGTTGAATACATATGGTAAATACCAAGAAAAAAAAAAAAAAGATTCAAGTATCTTTTATTCAAAAGCATAAAACTTCTGTCACCTCTTATTTATTCTGAATTATATAAAATTTATAATTTCAATATTAACTGCAAATGAACTCTTTAAAATTTTAATTCCACAAATATACCTTTCTGTAAAGCAAAAGCCTTAATTAACAGATTGTAGTTGGGACATGTAAAATTACGTCAACTGTGCAAAGAGGGCGGATCACGTAAGTAAAACGTTTTTTTATGGACTGGTGGTAGAACGCGAAAAACGTAGCTAATGTAAGTTACTACATGTATGTTTGTTATGCCGCTTATTTATACACAGTACTATGCAGGTATAACCATTCCTACAATAGATTTGGTATGGAACGGTAAGGTCATAAATAATAGCGATAAATGAGCTCATCACAACACATTATACCTGCAAGTTTACAAATTTTGAATTGTTTTATTTTTAGCGAATTTGGTTAGGTTGTTATAATCAATCAATGCTTTTGGTTGCAATTGCTTGCAATTTGCGCAGTTATTGGTGTTTAGACGTCTCCTTAGGAAGAATAGTATTTTCCACATTGCAAACCTACATTAGTTCCAAAAATTGCAAGTTTTTTAGTGATATTTTGTATTTTTTATATTTATCGTGAGTCGAATTTGTTATCAAACTCTTTTAATCATTGTTTTTCCTGTGGAATTGGTATACTTATTTTTTAAACATAAGTACTTTAAGTACTGATGAAATGAGATACAGTGACAATGAAAGCGACCAGGAAATTTGTGCAGACAATTTGTCAGATTATTTATGTGATAGTGATATTGATAGGCAGAGTGAGGAGGAGAGTGACGTTGAAGACATTATTCCACGACCTCGAAGATTTATCTGTTGAACTATTCCATCTGAGTCTGAATCAAGTTCTGACCAACATGAAGAAAAATGATCATGGACTGATAATCCACTGATCTTAGATTAAGTTTTTAGGTCGCCCTGGGATAAACGTTGATACTGTTACCGAATCCATAACCGATGCGTTGAACTTGTTTATTGGAGATGACTTGTTCACATATTTTGTAGAAGAATTGAATAGGTATTATTACCAAAATATAAATAATTTCAAAATATCTCAAAAATGTGTGAAATGGAAGGATATCACGATATCGGGAAAGAAGAAATTTTGGGGACTAATTATTTTCATGGTGGCAAGTTCGAAAAAATAGAATAGACGAGTACTGGAACACAGATCCTTGCACAGAAACGCCATTCTTTACAAAAACAATGTCTAGAGATAGATTTCGGCAAATATGGAAGGCTTGGCATTACAACAATAACGAGAATATCGACAATGAATCAGACCAATTGACCAAAGTCAGGCCCATAATTGATTATTTTCTACTGAAATTTATAAACATATTTGCGAATAAACCTAAACAGTAAGTATCCTTGGATGAAGGCATTATACCTTGGAGAGGACGGTTATTTTTCAGAGTTTATAATGCAGGAAAACTCGTAAAATACAGCATACTAGTGAGAATGTTATGTGAGGGAGATATAGGATACATCTGTAATTTTGCAATTTATTCTGGTCAGGGGTCACGGCTGATAGAGACAATACAGACAGTTGTATCTCCATATACAAATGTCTGGCACCATCTGTATATAGATAATTATTATAACAGTATTGATAATACTCAAGCCCTTTTGCAAACAAAAAAAAAAAAAAAATTGGGGAATGTGGAACCATGAGAAAAAAATAGAGGTAAAAAAGACAAATCTCAGAAAAGGACAGACAAACTTTCGCCATATATGGGGATGTTTTACTTCAAATATGGCAATCAAAGAAAGAAGTGGGCCTTATTTTGTCTATACATTCGGCAGAAATTAAAGTCACAATACTGACAGAACAACATGCCAAAAAATATTTAAACCAAAAGCATTGATTGATTATAACAACTTTATGAAAGGTGTCGACCATGTGCAGATTAGTATTTGTCTTACTATTCAATACTACGGAATCAATAAAAATGAGTAACAATGTACATGATAAATTGTGCATTGTTCAACTCCTTTGTTGTCTAAAACTCAACAAAAAGCAAAAAATATAAGAAATTTTTATATGAAGTAGCTTTGCATTGGGTTACTGATTCAGTACGAACCTAAGATAACAATCAAGAGCAAAGACCATCCACTTTCAGGAAAAGGGCACCTAAAGATCCATTGTCAATGGAGACAATGTCGAGTGTGTGCGAAGTGAAACTTATTTTATGCGTAAATTTTGCGGCGTACCTCTTCACAGAGTTAAATGTTTTGAGTGTTATCACACTATAAAACATTATTAGTGCTCATTATTTACTTCATTAAGTTATCTGTTTATTGAAAAATTTTGGTAATGAATAATATCGACGAAAATTAAAAATTTTCCCTTTTTTTGTACTTCTGTACTGTATATTCTATATTTATTTATACAAAAAGTGCCTATCTTTCATAATAACGATTCTAAGTTGAGAAAATCAGTTTCACAAAAAAATTCAAAGTAGTTTTTAATTTATAATGATTTTACATAACGACAAAATTCGCAAGGTTTTTTTCAAAAAATCGCCTGCTCCCACCATGATGCACCGATGCAAAGCACCCAACAACGTGTTAACGTTATGTCTAATCTAATATTTATCTAAGTACAGTAATTTCATTTCCTATGATGGTCATTGTACATAGTTTGGATGGCCTTGTCATTGTACATAGACTGGTGCTGTTCCCACACAAAAGACCACTCAGTTGCTTTTTGCGAACGTTATTTTGTTTACATTCTTTCCCTTGAACAGACCTACATGCCTTATTCACCCTAAACGAGATCTCAGAACAATAACATCCTTCCCCCTTTCAAATCAACATTCTCATCAGTTTGAATAGTTTCTCTCCTCTGCCATTTGATGAATCTTCCAGGACCTATCCTCTCCCCACCCTGCCTTTTCTGCAATTTTTTTCAAAGGCGGACACGACTCCACCTGCCTCGAAATAACGAACTCTGACGTATTTCCCCTTTAGCATGAATGGATTTTTCTTGGCATTCTGCCAAATAAAAGATCCCATCAATTTGGGTACAAGTACTTGTTGGATAGTTTTTAATTAGGGAGCGGAAAATTTTTGAAAATGTCTCTAAACGGCACAGAAGCTATACATTTCTTACCTTTAATTTATTTTTGAGTTATGGTTTCATTTCATGCATTTTCTTAACTGGTATGTCATATATCAGGACTTAGGTTGAGTTTTTGCATCTATACGGCCCACGACGCTGTCACGCGCAATTTAATCTATTGCGACGTTTCTGTGTAATTTTAATTTTTTTCCCGCCATTTTTCTCGAGTGCGCCGTTTATGCTGATGCGGCCTTTCTTCCGGAAATTACGGTATATATATTATGCATAAATTTCTGGTGCATAAGAATCAAAGAAATATTCACCTTATGCTTCTTGAGCAAAGACTGGACATTAGCTTCATCCCTACCAACATCCTCACTCGAAACCAATCTAAGAGCATCAAGCATCCAAGTATCAACATCATCAGCATCTGCAAAGAACTGAAAGGAGAAAATACGAAATAAATCATAATTACAATATCTTAATCAATTGCAATGTTACACTGTTATAAAATAAATATTTCACCTGATGATAATCAACAGCATCATAAAGCCTCTGTTTACGAAGTGACTGCAATTGCTTCAGATTTTCCCACATGGTGTTAACTTCTCCTATTCTGTCTCTGATACGATCAGAACCGAAATGATTTGCAGCAATAAGATCTTCCCCAACTTGAACAACATCTTGTAACTGTTGCTCATGAGAAGCAATTTCATCTTCCATTGCCTGCACAACAAATGAAAAAATTACGTTTATAGCAGGATTAAAAGTTATTCCTTCCCTATATATATATTCATATAATTTCCTCTTACCTTATTCTTACTAATAAGAAGATGGACAGTTGTCAAATCATGACCGATTTCTTCGGAAGACAAAATTTGTTCTTTTTCTTTGATCCATGTTTCTTCTTCAGTCATATCCCAATAAAATTGCCATAACTTTCGAGATTCGTCAAGTCTGTTTCGTCTTTCAAGAGCCAAGTGAACCAGTTCAGAGTAAGCTGCTTCCAATTGATTTAGTCTTTCAGTTACTATCTTAGGATCACATGGCCGATAACCTACAATTGCAAGTTTAAATACTAATTCAATACTCTGATGAGGAGAAAAATTAAAAGAATATTTAACTGACAATGAACAGTTAAAAAATAATACTTCCTTCACACAGAATTAATACTACAACAAGTTACTTCACTTAATATACTTTGTTAGTTACAAAGATACAATACAGTGACTCTCACTAATTCATAGACGATTATATTTGCAATCTTGATTATTTTCAAAATTAAAATCATAAAATCTAGTTAAAATCACGTCAGAACATGGAAATTTCTTTTACCATATTTCTGAATATGGAATTATATTTTTAAATTACCAGGAGCCATTATTTTTCTGAAAGCAATCTTCATACTTAACTTATAATCAAATTTTTGTTATAAATGTAGACTGTATATAAACATTTCTGAGAAAATAGAAAAGTTATAATTACCATGTTCTTGTTCGGAAATGAATTTCTGTGAATGCTGAACAACAGCTTTCACTCTTTCACCCAAAACATTGATGTCTGCTTCAACTAAGCTATGTTTCTGTAGCAAATCTTCAACACCCATCAAGTGTTTGCCATAATCTTCAGACAATAACCTTGCCTAAAAAATAAATAAAAATACACTTGCATTTCAAGTTTCAAATGCCAAAAAAATTATCCAATTACTGTGCATCTACAGCTTCATATGATAATAATCTATTAGCTTAAAAAAAGGGAATTAATTTCTTTTGAGAAGTAAAGTTTTGACTACAGACCTTTATTTCCTCCATAGAATCGAGAATAAATATCATCTCTTGGAATGTTTGTTGCAAAGCAATAGACTTTTCAAGACGAGATCGGCGAGCCCGAAGAAGTTCTAATAAGTAGTTCCACAGACGTAATACATTATCTTTCCTGCAAAAAAAAAAAAAAACCTATTAAAGGGAAGTTTTACAACCTGTAAGATGGAGAGGGTGTAAATAACTTTTGTTATAGATTATACACAAAAGAACTTCAAACTCTGAATGCAGAACTGGTATGAAAAACATAGCTGATTCTATATATTCAAAGAGAAAAATTTCTGTTATTAATAATACACGATCTCTAAAAACAAATTGACAAAATTTAGCAAGCTTTGGACTGCCTGTTCTTCAGTGATAAAATTTCAACAATTCATCAAATTTATAATCATTTCGATTGCATTTATATGTTAACAAGTGCATATGTATGCTTAACAGCTGAAGTCGTATACCATATTGCAGTTCTATAAATGATGCACAAGCTTTTGACTCAGTTTGGTACAGGTATATGAATGCAAGAAACTTTTTTTTTGGGGGGGGGAAGGGCACTCTTGGATCCCTAGTATGTATTAATCTGTAATGAGTATATTGACTGTCATATGAAATGTGCATTTGTTTGCACAATGGTAACATAGCAGCAATATGAAGAATCTTTCTACTGAAACATTCTCTTATAATTCTTTGCATCCTGACCACATTTTATCTATAATTAGTCTTTTATACTACTAATCAAGTTAATTTGCATTGGAAGTTATTTTTTTAAATCTGCTTTTATTATAACTGAGAAAACACTGACAAAAATATTTTGATAACCTGAAGTAATAAATATAACATGAAGCCTGTAAATAAACAGACACCTACAAACTTAAACTTTATGTGTAAATTGTTCTTTTTTTATCTTTCTTTCAAGATTCAGGAAGCATGAAAACAGCAATTTGAAAAATCAAAGAATGTGGCTGCATATCTAGTTATTATGTTTTAACATTTTTAAGAGGCTATCTACATCAATTTATCAATTATGTTTTTACAGTTATGCATTTCTAGAGGAGCAGCTCAAAGATTTTCTTCCCATAAACACTGAACATTCAAAATTAGAAACTTAGAAGAATTTCTTTTAAATACACCAATTCTTATTAAAATTTATACTTAACCGCTAGTTGTATTAAAAAACTATGCATAATTTTTATTAAATACAATTTTTTACATAGACTTTCAATTAAATTTCAATTTCTACTAAACTCTTAACTTTTCAGTTACACACTGACTTTCAATTTAGAATACTTTTCATAAATTCACAGTAAATTAACATCTCCTTTCTTATTAACTCTTATTAATAGACTATTCAGAAACCATAATTCGGCTAATGTCATGTTTTATTATATTTATGTCCAAATATTACTTTAATATAAATACAAATAGCAATTACATTAACTCATTCACAGCATTAATTTTCAATTTCATTAATAATTTTACTTAAATTATAGGAATATTACACTCAAACGGTCATCTTTTAAGTAACAAATTTTATACGTTAAGTATTAAAATCCAGTACATGCATATTATGCAACCGCTTTAGTAAAAGTCACTTAATTTTCAAAATGTGCCAAACTTTGGAAATACAGAAAAAATTTCAGTTTTAACAAAGCAACATTGCCACTTTCAAATATGTTCTTTTTGTTGTGTTTAAAGTTCTCATGATTTATATAAAGAAACCATACTTAATACTTGATTCAGACTCAGTTTTAAAGTAAGCATTTATGGAATTTGTTTGCAGGGAAAAAAACGAGTAGATTTCCGCAGAAATACAGTTATTTTGCCATAAAATTGAAAAATGAACAACTGCTTCAAATCTATTCTTGAAGTGATTGGCATAAAATTTCTCCCAGAATCATTAAAAAAAAAAAAAACTTAGGATAATTTATAGATTTGGGAGATATATACCTAATTGAAACTCAAAATATGTTAATACAGTAAAAAATTATTTTTTGCAATTAATAGTCATCAGACTTTCTTCTATAAAAAATTGCGAAACTATACAAAGGTGGTTACACTTATATGCAGGTACCAAAAAAAAAAAAAAAAAAAAAAAAAAAAAAAAAAAAAAAAAAGAGATACAGTTTACAGTATTAGCCTGAAAAATATAATTAAATGAATTTAAAATGCATATAACCCATTTGAAAATGTATAATGTAACCCAAATTTTAATATTAACCCTTTGATGCACACAATATTATTTTTATAATTTTTTTAACTAAATACTGTAGAAATTGAATATTATGAGCCTACAGACAAGTAATATACGAATTTTAAAAAAATCTACTCTTGCCCATTGTTCTGTGGTTGGTGGTCGCACTGTTAAACCAGCGCGCATCTAGGATTTTAAAACTTACTGAGGTAGTAGGAAAGAAAAACTTGCCTTTTTCCGTGCGTGTTTCCAATAAATGCCGAAATTTGCAAATTTAAAAAAAAAAAAAAAAATGTATGTAAGAATTGCATTAAATGTAAACTTTTTACAAAGTAAAACATCAGAAAAAATTTAAAAATAAACATTTACGTAATTTTTCTATAGCAGTGAAATAATAAGTACCTACATGAAAAAGACGTTTAAAAAAATGGATAAAAACTCAGTATTATTTTTATTTTAAAGAACAAATTTTCTTCTAACGCTGTTCAAAGCATGTTTTGTCTTTTTGGTACATGCACAGGCCCACATTGCACATTTTGCACACGTATCTTGTTCTATGAGGTTTCTCCCTTGTGCTATTTAGTTTCTTTTCATCTGGCACATGAAATTTGTGGTTTTTTATGTTAATGAAGGCGGCTTGGTCTTTTTAGCTTTGGTAAGGATAATTTATTTCCCATATTTATTTTATTCACATTTCATCCCAAAATATTTAGAAAATATTTTCAATTTAAATAAAACTTTTACGCGATTTCTATTTTTAACCTTTAAGAGACTGAACAGTTTGGAAAAGTTGCACTTAAAAAGACGGGAAATTCAAATGCATTTTCACCCCCTTTTAGCTGCCATTGTAAAGGGAAACTACCACTCTTTTGAAACCTTTCCCTTAAGGTCGCCTTTGTTAATTTTCAGATAAGAGACAAGGGAATAAATATAAAGGAATTTCTTCCCTTTTCTGCTGCTTCTTTTCCCTAAACTAGGCAAACATATGATGGTGAGATTTCATAGCTATATATTGTTGTATGTTGGAATATTAACTTTTGACATTGCATCATAATAAAAATAGGCCTTAGCAGCATATACCTCCTACGTACGCCTAAAATCAGTACATAGTCTAATAAGTTTTTATTTGTTTTCAAACTGAATTTAGTTTAGAATTAATGTACTAATTAACATTTTTAATTTACAAGGGCGAGTCAAATGAAAGTGAGCCAATGCGAATATATGACAAACAGAGTACTTTATTTAAAGGTAGTCTCCACGAACACTGAGACATTTATCCCATTGACAAATGAGCCGCGTGATCCCCGTCTCATAAAACTCCTTCGGCTGTCAATTCAAAAAGTCTGTAACCGACTCCTTCACGGCGGCGTCCGACACGAATCTGGTACCCTTGAGATGTATTTTCAGTTTCCCGAAAATGTGAAAGTCGCATGGCGACAAATCTGGGCTGTATGGAGGATGTTGCAGCGTGTCCTACTTTAACTTTGCCAGTTGTGTCTTAACCACATCAGCGACGTGGGGACGAGCATTGTCGTGTAGCAAGATCACACCATTCGTCAATCTTCCAGGTCGTTTGTTCTTGATTGCGACACGCAGCCGATCCAGCGTTGCACAATATCGCAAACTATTGATAGTCTCTCCACGTTTAGCAAATTCAATCAGTAATGGCCCCTGACGATCAAAAAAAAAAAAAAAAAAAAAAAAAAAAAAAAAAAAAAGTCAATAGCACCTTTCCCGAGGAAAGGATGACAGCCTTTGCTTTCTTCGCGCGGGGGGGGGGGGGGGGGGGTGAAATGAAATCAAATGTTTCCACTGTAAGCTTTGCCGGCGTGTTTCAGGTTCGTAGTGGTGGCACCATGATTCGTCTCCGGTCACAATTGCAGACAAGAAGTCGTCACCCTCATTGTGATACCGGATGAGATGAGTCAAAGCAGCGCCGAACCTCTCCGTCTTCTGGCGGTCGTTCAAAAATCTTGGGCATCCACTGAGCACACAAAAGCCGATAACCGAGATGATCATGAATTATGGTGTGTGAACCGAACCGTGACTGATGTTCACACGCTCTGCCAGTTCATCGATGCTTATCCTCCGTTTCTTGTCTAATCAGCTCATCAACCTGTGCAATTGTGTCGGGGGTGATTGCAAGGTGGCTTTGGCCCGGTCTTGGATCGTCTTTGCAACTTTCACGTCCTTCTCTGAACCGTTTGCTCCAATGCTTCACAGTGGCCAATGCGATGCAATGTTCACCATACACAGCAGTCATACGGCGACTAATTTCATGTTGGGAAACACCTTCAGCTGTCAAAAACCTGACCACACCACGCTGTTCCTCTTTTGGAGCATCCATTATGTCACGCTACTGTCTTCAACCCAGTGTAAGAGCGCCTTAAAGAACTTTAACCTCACACTTTCGCGCCACTTTTGTAAATGAAGGCTGTCTCTGTGCTACGCGCATGCGCCGCAGATGATGGACCGAACCATTCTTGCTGAGGCTCACTTTCATTTGACTCGCCCTTATATATTCGAAAATGATGTTTAAATATTTGTTTCTCATATAAATCGGCAGTTCTCTTTCATTTGTTTCCAAGCATTGTGTAACAGCTTATATTTATATATTAAACAAATCACATTGTATTTTTGTTATATTAGTTTCATTTACCTTTTTCAATAGTATTCTTATTGTTTCTTTTTATAATTTATTGATTTTTTCAGGTCATTTTATCATAAGTATTTCGTCTTTCAACTATATTATTGTTCATTGTTCTTTCTTGCAGTTTTCTGATAAAAGCTTTTTTCCCCCTTTAGAGTGTTTTTTTAAAAATATTCTCCTTTACCATAAAAACACATTTTATTGATTATATTTTCATTGCATTTTGCATGTTTCAAACAACATTATTAAATACAAAAATTACAATAAAAAGGGGAATATAAAGGGAAAAAAAACATTTTTAATGACACAAAAAATTGGTAAAATTAATACTAATGTAAAATTTCAAGTGAATTTATAAACTTTATTTATTTATTTATACAGACCTATTAGAGGTCGAGCAGAAAATTCAATGAACACTGAGAGTTGGGTTCGGTTCATTTGGTGAACTAGCTGGCTGAATGTGTAAAAATGAGTACCAACCAATTTCCCTTAAAAAGCCTTCCATGAAACCCCTTCTTCCTTTGGGCAGATGTGCTTTCTTTGTGCCTTGGTCGTAATCCAAATATTCCCACTTTTATTGATATATGCAAATAAAGACTAAGTGTTATAAACAGAAAATGATCTTGCCAAAATATTGATGTTGTTATGCAGGTCCCCTCTGCAGAAATTTAGCTCTTATTAACATTATTAAAATAGCATTTCTTGCTATTACTTTACCATAGTGATGACAATTTCATTTTTAAATTTAAAAAAAAAAAAAAAAAAAAACATGCCGAAAATTAATTTAGACTCTCAGTAAAATATTAGGCACTACACCGAAAGGGAGGGATGCTTGAATGAAAGATGTTTTAAAGGGAACTGGCTGGTATGCACGTTACATAAGAGGAAAACCTCAAAAATGTCAATTGTCTCTTTGGAAACTAATTTTAAAAGGCAAACGATTTGAAGCACTAAGACCTAAAACATGTAAGATTTTGCAGTCATTCTGTGTTATTTATAGGTGAAAGATAAGTAATAAATTGATTTTCACTAAAAAATTTTGGAAAGAAGAGAAAAAAATTTGAAAATTAGTGGTTTCAGAGAGCAAACCCTGCACATCAAAGGGTTAAACATTTACTTTAAATTAACATTTTAAGGTAGGTTATGTAAATTCTATTTCAAACATACCTGGCATTAATTCTGTCAATATCATGGTAATTTTCTGTTTCTAGTTCTTGAGCTACAGCAACAACAGCTTGAACTCTTTCTTCATAAGCATAGATATCTGTTTCAATGGCTTCATGCTTCTTCGCAGCAGCTTCAACTGATGCAAGGTCAAATCCAAAATTATCTTGAGACACCAATCGCTGATTTTCACTCAACCATGTTTCTCTCATGCCAGCTTTACGATCAAATCTTGCAGCCAACTGCTCCAATTTCTCCTGCCTTAAAAAAAAAAAAAAGAAAGAAATATACTACTGTACAAAATTCAAAGTGTCACTGGATTTTATTTCAATTAAATGCTCCATCAAATATTATTATTATTAACTTATCAAAAAGGAATTTAAAAGTGTATATGAATACCTAATTAGTTCTTCTCTTAATGCCAGTTCTCTTTCATGTTCAGATTTTTCTAAGCGCTCCCAAGCTTTGTTGATATCTGATATCATTTGACCTTCTTTTGGAAAATAAGGTTTTTGATTATTGGCACGCATCTTGCTCTGCAAGGTAAATAGGAGGACCTCCAGGTTGCCTTTTTCACAGAATCTAGTCAGACAAGGGAAAACTAATTATTACATGCATAAAAATGTCATTTCTTTAACTATGACACTTACAGAAGTAACAAATTTAAATAACAAAACCACCATTCTTACTTTGGAGGCTTTTCTGCAGTTCTGTAATTGTTAAATGCTGATAACTGTTGCTGAACACCAGTCAAAGAATTGGCAAATTTTCTGTCAGATAATGCCAAAATCGTTTGCTCAATCCATTGAAGTAAATCAGAAGTCAGAGTTTCGTATTCTTCAACAAGATGATCATTCTCCATAGCTAACCCAACTACCTAAATTTTCATAAAAAATGTAATAAAAGTTATGAGCTGAATATTTATGTGGCAAAAACTGAAAGTGTTATTGGAAATATTTAAATAACTTTTGCAATCCCTTTCACTAAAAGAAGTAAATATTTTTATCTTACATATATAGATATGCAAAGCAAACTTCTAATTTTAATTTGCAATAGCCACTTTTATTCTTCAGTTCAACTTAGATAGTCGCCTTTCTATCCAAGAATAATAACTACAGTACAAAGTCCGTAATCCAGACGTCCATTATGCGGAATAATCTATAATCCGGACCTCAAAACCACAAACTTTTTGTTTTGTATGTTTTACACATGCGCGTTGGGAGGATGTGTTTTCAGATATGTTAAAAAATGCTTGGCATAATTTATGAACAGCTACCATATTTCATCGTGAGGACGATGAAGATGATAGCTGCGAATTTGAAGGTTTTCGGACATTGCAAACTAAAGGTGAAATTTTCCAGTTAATGGATTTTGTAAAGAAATTTAGAGAAGCGGTAATAAATGAAGATGATATAGCAGAAGTTTTTCATTACGACGACAATGCCCCAATCATTAATCGGTTAACGGACAGCGAAATCTGTAGTATGGTTCTAGATCCAGAAAATAGCACTTCCAATAGTGAAGAAAGTGACAGAGAGGTTATTGAAAATGAAAAAATTTCGATTGACAAATTAGTCGGTGTTCTCAACACAGCAATTACAGGACTTGAACAGTGGAACTTTGTAACTGAACAAGAAATTATGTCTGTTTATAGAATTAAAGAGAAAATATTAGCACAAAAAATGAAGCAACTTAAACAACTTACATTGAAAGATATGTTTAATAAAGTACAAAAATAAATATTAAGTTTTTTTTTTTTTTTTTGTAAATTTTGATGCTCTTTACATCATAATTGCTCTTTATTTCATAAATTATGGTTTCATATTTTTAACTGTATAATTTCTGCATGCCATCTTACTAGATTTAAATTCATGATCTATAATCTGGAAAAATCCCTACTGAAGTGCTGACGAGTCCAGATTATGGACTTTGTACTGTATTTGTAATGTGTCAATCTAATAGAAATTAATTTCAAATTATTCTGTATCACATAATCTTACAAAATGCTGCAATGCAGATGCTTCAACCAATCAGTAAATAATATTTCAATTGTAGTAATATAATATTTCAATCAAAACTTTTGATACTTTTCCATCCTTTCTTCTGAATGTTTTGCACTTTCCCACTTGCTTGCTTCAAACCAAAATGTCCTGGCTCACTTCTCTGTGATCATCACTTACATCATCTGTTGTCATAAGATGTAAACTTTAAAAAATGTTAGGTGCAGATGACGTCCATGTTAAATCAGAATGTGCGTCTCTAATGTTTTATCCAATAATAAAATGTGTTGAACCTACAGCTATGTTCGTCTCTCATTCTATCTATGCAATAAACTTCTCCAATCTATTATAAATTAATATGATTTTCACCTGTCTCGTGAAACAGTGGAAAATTCATTCATGGAGAATGACCCTTACTTAACTGAAAAGTTTTATCTACAAAATTGTGTTTATTCATCTGCAAGTTCAAAAATCCAGTGAAATAAAATGTGGCATTTATTACTACTAGAAATTATAAAAGCATAATTCAGTATTTCCTTTGAATGGTTTTGAATTTATAAATTTTTGTGAGTATTTTTAATGTTATTTCATTACATATTTTAATTGCTTTTTAATGTTAGTATCATAGTGTGAACTAAAAATTTTCATGGGCCGAAAGAGACAATTTGATCACAGTATAACTAATAATGTTTTGTAGAACACAGAATAGGTAATAATTTATTATTTTTAAATATGAACACATAACGCTGCTTTCCAACTATACTGAATATTAAAACTAAAACACTGTTTTATAAGAATGATAGATTAAAATTCTATGGTATTACAAATTAGAGTTTTAAAAAATCATGTTTAATAAATTAATAAACAAAATTTAAGGTTTTTAAATTAATTTAATTTAAGGAAGGTTACTGAAATTTTTACTGTGATTAATAATTATATTTCTGATTTATTTTAAATCCTTTTTGACTTAATTTTAAGAATTTACTTAAATAAAATTAATACTTTGGAATTATGGTAAATGAATATTATAATTAATCAATAACTGTAAGGTACATAGTATGTTTACGAAATACTGGCTCAGAAGATGGGCCTATTCTTACTGCTGTACAAAAACTCCTTTTACCTCTTCATACATAAAAAGAATTAAAAGCTCTCATTTTATGATTGAGAGAAATTTTTTTTAATATTGAATTTTTTTTTTCATATATAATGGTAGGTTTTAGTACATATCTTAAAAGCAAGTAACCTTAGGTAAGGAAGTGAGCACCCTTTAACCACTGTTCATTCAATAAATAAATAGTCAATTAAAGCAGCTATGCCCAATTAGATGGAAATGTTTATTCTTAAGTACTATAGGGCCTTCCACTTTTGTGCAAAGTAAGGAAGTTAGAAATGAAGTAATAACAAATGAAAGCATAATTTCATTAAGAATGTTACTATATTTATGATAAAATGTATTTTATAAATATGAAAATTAGTGTTCTAAAATTTTAAGATTTGTTATTTAAAATAAGTAATGGGTGTATTAACCTCTTTTGTTCATTTGACGTCATTCACTTCCCCCCCCAGGAGCGGATGACGTGTCTAAGACGTCAAACCCAAAATGAAACTCTTGGGTACATTTGACGTCTGAGAGACGTCTTTCACTTGTTTTCCCTAGGAGCAGATGACGTGTCTAAAACGTTACTTGAGGTTAGGCACAATTCTGTTCATTTCATTGTAGCTTGTATCAGTCATAATACAAGAGGCAATTACAGTATTTCGGTAAACATTATTTGCGATACACTGCCCCATTATGTCAAAAACAAGGAATATATTTTATGATAGTGATAGCGAAAGTGACTTTGAGAAATCTAAAGTATTGTTTAGTGATCCTGAAATTGACAATTACAATGAAATACAAAGCAAAGGTGATGAAGACAATATTGAACCAGAAAATGATGACAATTGTAATATAATATCAAGGTTTCGAAGATGCACAAGACAGCAGTGATAGTGAATCTTCTAGTGAACCAGAAAATGATGACACAATTGCAATATAAAAACAAGCTTTTGAAGACACACAAGACGTCTATCGAGCAGTGATAATGAATCTTCTCGTGAACCAGTAACAGAGGAATGGTTTTGGGAAGAAGCAAATGTAGTCGATATAAAAAATTTATCTGGAATTAATCCTTTGAGCATGTGTAGACTAGGTGATAATCCTACGCCTTTAGATGTTTTGAAATGCAACTAACAAGTCTTGAATGAAGATTTTTGGAACACTATAGTAGAAGAGACGAATAGATATGTCAGACAAGTGATAGAAAAAGAAGGTCGGGTAACAACAACAACAACAAAAAAAAAAAAAAAAAGATGGTTTCCTGTAAGTTCTGATAAAATAAAGGCCTATATTCTATTATGCATCTTGATGTCGCAAATGAAGAAGTCAAAAATGCATATGTATCGGTCAAAAAGATATTCAATAAGTACTCCAATTTTTGCCAGCACTATGCCACGCGATAGGTTTTTTGATATTTCAAGCTTTCTACATTTTACGGATAATGAAAAGGAAAATAAAGATGACAAAATAAGAAAGATTAGAAATATAGTGGATTACCTAAATAATAAATTTTGTTACCTTTATACTCCTGATAGTGAAGTAACTATTGATGAATCGCAACCAAAAATTATATCAGTTTCACATGCAAATATTTTCTCAAATAAATCCTTACCCAAGGGGTTAAATTTTTATATTTGTGATATTTTGCAAAAACTATTTTGAAAACCTTCCAAGAATAATCATGATCATGTAGACTTTCCAAAATCAAGGACTTCTTAAAATTAAAAAACTACTTTAAAATGGGACTCTGAAACTTATTCTCAAAAATACATTTATTTTCATTATTCTCTCATTTATTCTAAAAAATATAGGGCTCAAGATTTACATTCTATATAATTTAAAAATTTAATCCAAAATTTCATGACTTATATTTTCCACATTATATTTCTCTTATTTTGCTGCGATACTGCTTTTTCTCTCAAAAAGACTTCGTCACTAAGCAATTTTCTCTTTGAAGTGCAAATATGTTGAGCAAAATTCTGGTTACAATTTGCAACAGCATTTTCTTAATTTAAATTTCAGTATCTTCCCTTTCTATCCTAAAAATAGTAATTATTTATAATATATCAATCTAAATTGCAACATTTCAAATTAACCTATCATATAATCTTAAATTAATCTGCATCAAATGCTGCAATGCACATATGTTAGCCAATCAGTGAATAATATTTTAATTAAAATTGAAGTTTTTTCAAAACCAAAACTTTTTTGATACTTTCCCAGGCTTTTTTCTGAATGTGTTGCATATTTCCCATTTGCTTGTTTGCAACTAACATGTTGCAGCTCACATCTCTGTATCATCCATTGTCTGAAGATATAAACTTACAAAGCCCATGTTGATATGTGGATCAGAATATGTATCTCAAGAACTGCTTCATACAATAACAAAACAAGGTGAACCTACTGTTATGTTTGTCTCCAAGTTTCACTATTCTATCTATGCAACAAGCCTCTCCAATACTTATATACCTCTCCACACAAAAATACCTTAAATAAACTTATTTAAAAACTATAAATTTCATAAATATATATTCTTTCCTGATTGCACAAGTAATACTATAAACTCCTCCACAGCAAATTTTACTGTAGTTAATTCTAAAATTATAAACAAACATCCATTACTTTATTCAAATATGCTGCTTTATGATATAATGCTTATTTTCTTTCAAAATTTAAATACTCACAATCCCATAAACTTAAAAAAAAAAAAAAGGTAAAGAAAATTATATTATGAAACAATAAAAAGTTTTAAAAATTATGCAATAGCAAGTTACATATACTGCATAGGCATAAACAGTTTTTTTAAATGCTTCAATAAAGAATTAAAAATTGCATTACTACTTATACAAAAGTACAAACCTTTCCAATTCTTCTACCCTGAACAGTCTCTGCTTTCATCTTGGAGAAATAATGATAGTATGTGACAACATAGGTTATTATAGACTTTTCATCCGGGCTTTCAACATAAACATCTGAAAGTTACATAAATCAAAAAGATCAGCAATGAAATTAAAAATTCAGTAAATTTAACAGAAGCACAACTGCAAAATTAAACAATTTGTAGTTTTATTTTAGAAATTTGTTTCATAATAATAGAAAATATTAAGTCTGATCTGGAATTTTCAGGACTTTGATAATGCCAGACAATTCTGGAAATTTTCAGATTTTATATCATTCATTTAAATCTAGTAATATGAACTGTAGAACTTTGAGATTAAAAATATGAAATGGGTGTTTGTAATATAAGCACTTATGATTTTAAGAAACACAAAAATCACACACACACAAAAAAAAAAAAAGAGCTCACTACTAACGTTTATTTCATTTAAACATTATTTTCAACTTAAGCTGTTGAAGCAATTTCATTGTGTTACCTTTAATTTTATTGAGATTGATAATTTCTTGTTCAGTTACAAAGTTTCACTGTTCGAGTCCTGTAACTGCCTAGTTCAGAATTTGTACTAAATATTCTACTTTTCATTTTCAATCACCTATTTATCATTTTCTTCACTAAGGTTCTGTATTTGCTGAATTAAAAAATGTACTATCGATTTTGCCAATTGTTGACTGTTAATTGGGACACTGCCCCAACAGTTAAAGAATTCAGTTACATCATTCTTCACATATTCCATTAACTAGATTTCCCCCTCCCTGTGGAAGCCACACTACACCCTTTTTGTGTAGTGTTTCCTTTTTACTAGGCATCAAAAATTACATTTGGCTTCTGTTCTGACACAATTACATTTTCATTAAAATTTCTTTTTTAAATATAATTTTACATTTTGGGATTAAAACAGCCATTCTATTTTTCATGAAAGATATTTTAATAAAATAAAGACTGTGGTTAAATAATTACCTTATTAAACTGTTACCCAAAGCCAAAATGGTGATAATTTCTGCCATTTCGACCTACTATAGATTTTACCATCAAATATCTGATTGATGATTACAGCACTGTCATCACAATGGCAGATAGTTATATCATCTTCAATTAGCATTTTTTCACACACTCTACTAATCAGAAAAATTCACTTTTTAGTTCATAGTACTTGAAAACCTTCAAATTCACAGTTATCGTCATCATAAATATGATAGCTGGCTCTAAATCATGCCAAGCATTTTTAAAAGTATTTGCAGTTCTTTCCTCTTGCAAATTTAAAATTTGCACACAAGAAATATCGTATTAAAATATTTGAAGATTTTTTGGATGGTCTTACTGCTGCACTTATTGTAAAAAAGATAACTTTGTATGTATATTTTAAGGCACACCAAATCCTGATATGTACTGGCTGATTGAACAGAATCAAAAATCAAAAATTGAATGAAGCTGCATGGAATCAAAAATTGAATGAAAATCATAATTTGCTGAGCTAATTGAAAAAGTAAAACTGGAACTTAATTCTTTCTCCTTTCTTCTGTTACACATAAAGAAGAAAAGCAAATGCTACATTCCACACCAAACAAAAGTTAGTCTTCAGGTTTCATTTATGATGTGCTACTATATAAGAAAGAAAAATCTTTCCTTCCTCCCACTACCTCTTGAGGGCTGAAAATGAGGTTATCCTCTTTCTATTTATTCCTGGCCCTGCTTATGCTTTTCCCTCCTGCTAGCGTGCATATACCATTTGTTTTTGTTTATATTTATACTGTATTTCAACAGGATTGAAAGTAAACTGGAAGTTTAATGGCTATATATTTGATTTATTCTTAAGATTGAGCAATTTAATTCTGACAATGATTTATTAGTACTACATTCTGGATTAAGCACAAATAAACTACCTACTGTTCTAGGTGGCAATATGGTTGACTATCAATTAACTGGGCAAAACACCAATGGTTAACACCAAATCATACAATAATCCAATAGCAGTTAAAAAAGACACAGAAAGAGAAATAACCTATAATATTGTTGCGTTCTGCGTGTTTGTGAATTTGGAGTGATTGACAACAACATTTGATGAAGCATCACAACTCAATTTATTTGCCAATATTACTTAGGACAGTTCCCCAAAACATGTTTACAGAACATGTTTGTTACATGTTTACAGAACATGTTACAGTTAAAAAACTGACAATGCTGAAACAACCAGCAACACAGCCTTCAAGCTATAATGGTGAAGACACCTTCACAGCAAAGCACTACAGTACAGCTCCCAACTCGGTTTTTTCGTTCTCGAAACTCAACGCTAGACTGACCTCCTAGTACAAGGAGAGTTTACATAACTTTTGACCTGAATTCGAGAACATTCTGGGTCAAAGCGGTAAGATTTTGTTGTATCCATCTATGGTATATCTAGCAACCCTGCCACTCCGCGCAATTTTATGACAACCTAAACCTGACTTGCGGCATTTCGTAACAATATAATTAACAAAAAATGCTTTTACCAATTTACTTGCATTCTTTGGGAGCCTTAATATTGAGAATAGTTATATTGGGTAAATTAAATAAGCATTCAAAACCAAGAACACAATTTAAAGTGGTAGCGAGGAGGAAATAAAAGTTTATGTTTATATTAATCTTATATTTCGATAGGAGTCGATGGGAAACAGAAGATTAATAGCTGTACGCTTAATTTTTACGATTTAGCAAGTTAACTTTTATAGATGATTTGGCCTTACTTATTTCAATAATAATTCCATAGCAATATTTAAAAATTTGATTACATATAATTAAAGTGCATACTGTTGTGAATAAAAACAATTTTTGAATTATGCGGCATCATTTGCTATTATCTTCTCCTTTGCATTTCTCACAGAAAATCTGCTTTATCTAAAGGTTTGTAATCATAATTTTTTCATCATTCTATAATAAACTTTTTAAACATGACTGATAATCCCCCTTTTCATTTGCACAATCACCAACTCACCATTACCACCAACAAATTTCTACCACACTAAATTTCAGACTCCTAAAATCTGCATTTTGTCTAATTTATGCATGCAATTTATATCTGATTACTAAGAAACATTTTAGCTCAAACAGAAATAACTTAAATTCATATAAAAACCCAAACCAAATAATATTTTTAACAAAGTGACAAATTATTTAAGCATATATAAAAATTCAAGTATGTCCGAGACATATGCAACCACAAGATATTTCTGCATTATTATGTACAAGATAGCATTACCAAAATGATTTTAAATCATAATACAAACCTTCAGCATCCAGTAACCTTGTAATTCCAAGGTTCTGCTCAGCAGTACTGAAGGCATTGTTCAAGTTGTAAATAGCATTTGATTTTGATAATTTGTCATACTGTATTAAGTCAGGCCTGTTAGAAGAAAATAAATATATAAATAATTCAATACAAAAACTTTTTATTGAAATAAGTACTAGAATACTAAATATAGTGTACTCTCAATTATCGATGTACGGATTATCAGTGTGCAACAATGTCCAGAAACACAGCACTACGCACGTTGACACAAGAATATGTTCCAAAACATACAAATCTGTGCATGCTCTAAAAACTGCTGAATTTTATCTTTAGGTTTACTTTTAATGATTACCTCACTTAATTTGTTCTGCATGGACTTTGATAACATACACAGGGAAAACACATAACATACACAGGGAATTTGATAACATACACAGGGTAGCAGATGCTTAGTCGAAAGTAAAACAAAAACTGGTTTGTTCATGGAGAAAGATTCTTCCCAATATAGAAATTGGAGATTTATCTAACTGTGAAGAACATAATTTATTTGCCTCATGACATAGTGCATATACCATAGCTAGGAAATCATCAAGGTTCAATGGCAATTTGGCTGGGCCAGGCTTTCAATGCTTGAATGACGAAGATATCATTTCAAATGTCTCAAGAACAGAAGAGACGAAGTAAAATGCAAGTAAAGAAGATACTGACAATTACATTAGTTCGAAGATAGCAATGACGTCTGCTGAAACACCGCTGGACTTCATTGATCAAAAGCAATTATAATGGAATGACAAAAAAGAACTTCAAAAAATATGCAACGAAATTTGACAAACGTTGAAATGTTCTGAAAAACCGATAAAGTAAAATGACTGATTTTTTAAGACATAAACACATATAATATGCATGAAAATTGATAGTTTGGATATCTGTAACCTGCTTTCCTGGCATTAGCTCAGATAATGAGAGTGCACTGTACAAAATACGACAATACTAAAACTTAATTGTGCATTAAAACATTTACCTGTGCTTATGGATAATGGCATTAAAAGCTAAGCCATCTCTCCAGCTAGTTGTGAAATTTCGAATATTAACATTTGGATAGCCAGCAGTCTTCATTTGACACCACAGTAGCAATGCATCTTTCGCAGACTTTGTTTCTTGGTTATCAACTTCTTCAATGGTGATATCTTGAATCTACAAAATAAAGAAATGAATAACATATTCCAAAATAAAGAAAGAAACATAATAAATTTCAATACTGTGAAAACTTGCCAACAAAAGCAATTACCAAAACACACATATATTTGACATAACCTGTTTCCACGAAGACCCAAACAGACTTACAAAGGAATACTAAAAATATAATTCCTAAAATCTATCTAAAACTACATGAATCCCCAAATGGGTAGTTTTGGAATTTTTCATGACTGCAGAGGATAAGTAGCAATATATTCTTTTGTGAACAATCTGAAATATATATCCAATTAACATAACAGGGAGTTAAAATTTTACTAAAACAATGAATCTGCATAAAAAAGGGCACTATATTTCAACTAGTGTAATGTCGAACATATTTTTGACTTTCACTCAATTTTTACAAACTACACCTTCATATTTTTTTTGGGGGGGGGGGCGAAGTCAAGTTTAAATACTCAAAAACATTTCTTCATAGATATACTTTCAAAATCGCAATGAAACTCTTAAGTATATAATCAAGCATGAATTCAAGTAGGCAATGTCCATAGCAACAAATTTTTGAATAAAATCTCAAAAAAAGAAACTAAATGCTTTAACTCAAGTTGCAATTAAGTACCAAAAATGTTAAACTTTGCAAACTACATTCATAAAGACGTATGATTTAAAGATGAAACAAAGCTACAAACACTGTATGACTATAAACGAGACTATATCTGGTTTAGGATACATTTTTACTTTTTACCCAAACAGTGCAAGAACAGTGTCCATTGTAAAAGCTAATAATTTGTACACAAGCTAGAGCAGCTTCACTTAGAAAAAAATTGATTTAAAAGAGGTAATGATGCATTTGATCAAAAAGACTAAGATTTTTAAAAGGCTCTTCATATTTAATTTTTAGAACAAATGAAAAATGGATATCTACTTTCTAAGATTATTACGTAATATATATTTGTTTCAGAAAATGTTTAAAACTATCTGAAACAAATTAGAAAGCTAGAAACATCTCTTATAAATCAAATAACCTAGATTTCGTTGCTGCGTAGTCGATGAAAACCGATACTGAGCAACTCCAAAAACTGATAGTGTTTATATAAAAAAATTACACAATTTTCTTGCATTGCTCAAGAAAATACTTTGCCACACATTTTTTGCAAGTTTAATCAGATTTTTAATAATTTTAATATTTAAAAGCTTACCTGAAATCTTAAAATGATAGTCCATATAAGTCCTAGAGTAAGACGAGGATTTCCATCCACAATATCATGGGAACCCAGATTTTCTAAATGAACTCTTTGATCTTTAAGGAACTGAAGAGCTTTATCAACATTTTCTAAACAGTGAATTCTCATTTTTCCTTTTGTTGGTTTTGGCTGAAAATATATACATTAATTAGCAATGCTTACGAAATGATAAAGAAATAAAAAAAAAAACTTGTCATGCAAAACCTCTTAAATAGACAATTAAGAAACAACAAAAATTTGACTTCAAATGAAATCAATTCAGAAAAATTAAAAGCAATATTTATGAAAGAAGAATGTAAAGTTACAACTTATTAATGAAATCTGCTAAAAGAAATTCAACGAGATATTTCAAATAACTGCTTCAATCATCACCATGCTTTGAAAAATACAAACTTTTTTATTAAAAACATTCATCAATTTCATGATATTTTTAGCTCTGAAGCAAATGCTTATGTAAAAGTCTTTTTAAAAAATAAGCTAAACATTTCCTCACTGAAACACATCTTACAGTAAAATTACATAAAAGGAAAATAAATCCGATTATTTCTCAATAAATGCCAATACTTTTAACTCCAAAAACTAAATTAAGGAAGATTTTCTGCACATTATGCAATAATAGTAATTTTTTAATATTTTGCTTTTAAATAGCTTAATAATAATTTTGCACTTCTATAAATTATTGCAATGCAAATTATTACAACAATTGCACCTTACAGTAACAGCTTGGTTAAGCTATTAACTTCAGTTAATTATGCTGACTAAAATGCTTAAAAGCAAATTTGGATATTTTTCTGTCAACACAGCCCTGCAGCGCCAAATATGAACGCTGGCGAGAAATCTAACTAGATGGCAGCAACCCTTATGATTAGTCAACTTTCATGAAAAAATTAACTTGCAATAACGGTAATATCATATAATATATATTGTTTCATATACACAACGATCTATTTCTGGTTAAAAACAACTAAAGAACTGCACAAATTTTGGATTGCACACAAGTCTTGGCATTGTGCATTAGACATGACAAAGCTATTCATGGCACAACACAAAATAGGTTACAGAGTTTGGACACTAGCACCCAATTTCAACAGAAGTACCCAAATTTGTTTTACACTGTTCTTAATTACAGACATTAAAAAGAAATGTAACTATATGAAATTAGTAAACTATGTAGGACTTCATTCAATAGAAGAATTGTTACAGTAAATGAAACTGACGCAGTTATTTTAATTCCCTTGATAATATACTAAAAAACATATTTCACTCTCAAATCAGGGAATCATTTTAATAAAATTATCAATTAATGTATTTAAGTATACATCCAATCATATGACATGCATTTAATGATTAAATACATTCTCCTTGCTGAAACATGATTTCATGAATTCAAAGCATCCTTCCACAAAAATTTTCAAATATTCCTTATTGCTATGTCCCGTTTTTTCTAAAACACAAATGCAAAATACAAATTTAATATAATTATTTCTAAAACATATTATAATTTACTTTACTTCCAAGCAATGGGAAACTAAAACTAACATTTAACAAACATTGCAATATCTATTATAAATACGAAATTAACCAGTTTTCAGATATACTATAAACCAAATTATGATACAATTTATTATTCTGATTAATAGATTACCATCATATCTGTTATTGGTAGGATACTTATATAGGGTTATAGGTTGTACCTGTGCTATGATGCTTATTTCCAACAGCTAAAAATAGCTTGTCATTCTGCCCTTCAGCAACTGGTACATTCGGCTTCTGTTGAACCTTGACAACAGATTTCAACAAGGTAACCCACAAAACTATCATTTTCTTTTGTGACAAAGCCATGACAGACTCGGATGTAACTACTAACGGTTTGCAACTACCGTATTTGACGGTATATAAGACGCACCCTTATTTAAAATGTCCACAATAACTTAAAAGGTGATTTCTTTTAGTTCTTACGTTTCGTAAAAGCCAAATAAACAATCATTGAATGCAATTACCAAACATATTTTTATTAAGGAAAATTAACAAACGGCAAGCTATTTTGAACATGATATGTAAATTTCAATAATGCATAAATGAATGAACGGCAAGCAATCAAACATAATACAAAATAAAGTAGAAACAACAAAAAACACAGATTCAAGAAAAATGGCAAAAAATTACAATCAAAAATGTTGCTCATTTTCAAACCAGACTTGAACATATAAATGATCATGAAATTAGACATCCACTTTCAAAACCATAAAAATCCTTTTCACTTATCATCATCGAAAATGAGAATATCATCATCACACTACTCTTTCCGTCATCGCTAGTATCACCTTCTTCGAATAATGGTTGGATGGTATATCAAATGCGAGTGGAATTTCCTCCATATTTCCTATTTGACCGAGCTCAAAAGAAGTTTTCTTGCGTACATTTATAACAAACATATGAAATACTAGTATTTTTTCATCATAATCTGCTGGCATTTTCTGTTCAATAGTTGTTTTTGTGCTCATTGATAAGCCTTGTCTTTTCATGAACCTGTAGCACCAGCCCTGAGATCCTGAAAAGTTCTGATTCTCATGTTTTTCTGCAAATCCTTTGGCCTCATTGATTATCATTTTGGTTGAAACACTTATCCCAGATTTCCTCTTATCTATTACCCACATTTTTACGGAATTTTCAAGTTCAGGCTAAGATGGAGCTGGGCATCGAAGGTTATGTTTTTGTTTTTTAGCAGTCTTCAGTCGATCTTCCTTCAGTCGCCAAGTATGTAACATTTTTTCGGTAGGTGGTGGACCGAAATGCCTTGCTGCTGTTGTTTCCATGCACTTTGGCGTAGTTTAACACTCCTAGTTTATACTGAATTGTATAGCTTAATCTCTTGTTTCTTTTTTAAAACAAATAGTTTTAAGCGCCAATACCGACATGTTTATACAGAGTAGCACCAATACCGACACTTATGTCGGCTGAGTCAAAGAAAGTCTATGTAAAGAAGGAAAGGCTCCATAGACATAATGTGACCATCGAACCAGTTCGAACTTCGACATCAGCTTCGAGCTTTGCCGCTTTTTGGCAACAGATATTTCACACGTTCGAAAAATAATTATGGCAGATGTAGAAAAAGTTATATGTGTCTAGACCTTTATCCGGGCTAAAAACAGCATTCAGTATTGAAAGTTAACCTGTGTCCTTCACGTATAAGACGCAGGTAACTTTTTTGAGACCAAATTTAGGAAAAAAAAGTGCGTCTTATACGCTGTCAAATACAGTACTCAATAAACATGAACTGCAGCATTATAAACTTAAATTTTCATTCAATGTTACATCTTAAACCATTAATTTATCACACACAAAGAAATCTATTTCATTAAACACATTGTGCAATTTTAACATTTTACACAATTTTTCCTTCTTTAAGTCAAAATATTTTAACATCCACTTGGTCACTTCAAATTCCAGGCTAATCATTTTCAAGGAATGTGCTTTAATACATTTGTTTTGCCATTTCATTTTTATATATCATGTATATATTTCATATTTAATTATTATTCTGAGGCAGTGGCCTCTTTACTGCCTTCTTCAGCATCATCTCTCCTGCCCTTGAGTAATCTCTTAAGTAGTACGCTCCTCGGCCAAGGCGATACACGACCTTAGGCCGAAAGAGTTTTACATCCAATACTACTAAGTAGAAGCAAGCTCCTTTAACAGCTATAAAGTGTTTTTTCCCTCCCTTCGACATGCCTTTGTGATGTATCAGCAGCACACTCGCATATTTCGAGGGGTTCAGGTTCGAATCCAGACAAGGGCACTGCATATTTTTCATATCTCCTGCTTCAAAAAACCTAATGACTCTATAGAGGTACTTAAAAGGTGGTGGACAATAATTTGTCACCAACAGGATTTAGTGACCGAGTCCCCTAATCCCGATACCCTTTAAGTATATAAAGGGAGTCCTGAGGGAATATATAAGATATATTTTCTCCCTCCTTTTCGCATGCCTTCATGGCATAATGGAAGCACACGAATTCTGTATTCAAGAGGTCCAGATTCGAGTCCCAGTGAGAACACTGCACATTTTTGCATGACTCTGCTTCCCAAAATCTATTGACTGTACACAGTACAAATGTTTAAGCAACTGAGAGGAAAATCCACCAATAAATGTAAGAAAATTCCCTTGTTTCCTGTATCAAATTAAATGTAATATTTTGTTACAAAAACGCAAAAAATTTTCTTTATAAAGTTAATAAAGTGTCAGTTATTCAAAGATTAATCACACTCTACTGAACACTTCAAATAGGAAATTTAGGTTATTTAGGGATAAAGGAGGTCATCTAAATACTCAGTATAAACTCTCAATCAAAAAACAGCCTTCAAAATGCAAGTGAAGGCATTATAGACACTCCATGCCAGTGAATGCATAATTACTTACTCAGAATATATATCAGAGTATGTAGCAGATTTTGATTTCCTGCAGAAATATATAAAATGCACAAAATATTTATCAACAATATTTAAATATACTAATATGGAATTAGAAAACAAAATAAATGCTGTAAATAACAGAATAAATCTTCAAAGAGATGCTAAGAAAATATAAAAAAAATACATATTATTGATAAAAATTCAAACTTTTTTTCATATCAATTTCAATGAAAATGAAGTTGAAGGACGAGCGATACAGTTTCCTTTCCTCAAAATATATGTATAAAAACTGATTTATAAATCAGCTTTTACTTTTTATGTAAGACAAATGTAAAAATGTATCATATAAACATAAAATTAAATTCATCAAAAAACTAACAAATTACACCCGAGTCAACTCTCGTACGTTTTATTTTCAGTGCATGTTTATCACTAGCCTGAGGGATGAAAGTAACCAAAAAAAAGTAATAAATTATGCAAGTAACATGGTGATTATGATAATAATAATAGTGACCAGTGTAATCAAAGTTACATCCTTTAAAATGAAATTCTTTTCCAAAACTCTAATTTAAAAATTAGCACAATAAAAAGAACTTAAAATTTATCATAATGTAATATAAGTAGCAAATTTAAGGCAGCAAAATTAGCATTCCTTTCTTGATATGGCAAGAGCATTCTTATTCACTGAATTTTAACTTGCTGAATATCTTTAACAATTCAACTAAGGCTTTATAGAACTGCTCCTCCACATCATGTGATGGCATATTTATATTAACAGTAAATCACGCCCTTCTGCAGAATTTGTTGCAACACCAGATAAAAGATACTTAAAAAAAATTCCATCCAATTCTGAAGTAAAAGCAGTCCTCACATTTAATTAGGAAATGGGGGGAGGCGACATGTACATGTGAAGAAACAACTATTATTCTGGAAATATCCACTCTTTTATAACATCTGCTCTATGTGGAACATCAGATATTAGATGTCCGGATTCCTTAACTTTGTACTGTATATGCATACAATAGACATCATCAAAAAATTTTTTTTTAAACTTCAAACATTATTTTTAAAGAAATTTTATTACTGAATATTTTATTTTTCTGCTTAGTCGATCATTTAAGTATCATTAAAAATAATTTTTGCACTTTTTTAAATGGTAAAGTAAGTTTTTACACGGTGGTCAAAATAACTACAGCTGCAATTCTAAGTGCAAACAAATTTCTGTCATTCTAGCATTAGATTTCAGATGCTCAAGTGATTACAGATTCTCAAGTAGAAGAAATACTTACTAGTCTTTCACCAGACAGGATTTCTAGAAGCTTGATTAACATTTTTCCATCTCTTAAATCTGTGTATAAGTCTGTAATTCTACAATTGGCACGTACAAGATGGGAATTAACCCATTTGCAGAAAGTCTTTTTCTGAACTGCTTCTCTCTCATCTAGGAAAGAAACCAAGAACAAAATTTAATCCAATTTTATTTATTTATTTTTTGGATGTAAAATTTAAGTCTTCAAAACATGATTCTTAATTATGTTAAGCAGCTTTCATTAATAATATTACAGAAAAAAATTGAAATACTATTAGATCTGCACATTTATCAGATCTTAAAATTTATCAGCCTTTGTGATTTTGTGGATTTATAACCCATGAATCTTCAATGTTAAAACTTAACTTCACATTTGAGAATTTTTTTCACACAACACGTCTTAAGAAAATGTTTTTTTTAATACTTTTGCCTTTTTCAAACAGAAATTAGGCAACCATACTGGATTTTAAAATTCTCTTTCGAAGACTGAAGATTGATCAATCTGAATTAATCTGATACCAGAGAATCTGCCATAAATGAACTCTCATAGAATCGCAATTATTCGATATAAACAAGAGTGAATGGAAAACTGGAAATGACAAATTGTTAAACTGAAAGTGAAATATTATATATGTTGTGAAAAATCTAGTTAGCATGGCTGCTGATAACATAACTATATCAACTTGTTATGTCTCATACTTATTTTATTAGTTTGCTATAAAAGCTTGTGTGTATTTATTTATTTTGAGAATGCCAGGCAGGAGTCTGAGTCAGAAAATATTAAGATGGACAGAATTTTTACTACGGAGGTAGTAGAACTGAAGAAAGGAGAAGTTTTACTGAAGAAAGAAATACTTTTTTTTAACACTCGTTAAACACAAAATATCACATATACCATTCACTGGAAAAACTTAAAACAGTTTTTTGTTTTATTAGTGAATGGTATGGGTATGGAATGGCTTTCATGCCTATGGAATTGTAATAAATATGTAATTGAGTCATTCACTACTCTTAATAATCTGTACTTTCATTATTACAGATCATTCAAAATGAAAATTCTAATCAAATCTCATATATTTTACAGAAGATACAACTGCATTTTCACTGTTCACTGAAATTAACTGCTTTATTTAATTCCATGCAAAATAAAAGAACAAATATCAGCAATGAACAGCTTAGAAAACCACAAAATATTAAGCAATTTATTATTCAACAAAAAGCATTACTTCCATACAAAAAGACACAGTTACTACTCAGAAATACACATTTCAGGTATGCCAAAAATATAAAAATCCATTTATTATTCTACATTAGTACCTGCTAAGGCTTTTATTCTAGATCTTTCAAACAATCTAGATGAGCTATTGCCACCATCGTAGTCGTAATCATCCAATTCCTGCTGATTTACCTGGTCCCACCGGACAGCAACAGATATATCTGTTGTCATGACTTACTGCTCTCCCCTGTATTTAAAAGAAAAGATTTATTATATTCTTCATAACAAAAACAAATATTTAAATATCTGACATATTTAAACTACTCTATGATAAGTACTTAATACATATACAGAAGGAATTAAAAAGTCAGATATAATTAAATATATAACAAAATATCAGACAACACAGTGATGTAAGATTCATAATATAATTATTAAATTTGTTTTCATAACTACTAATTACAAGTTACCTCTTACTTATTGCATTTCTTACATTGGACAGCTCTGAAATACATTTTTAAGTTTTGAAACCTCACTTTTATTTGATCAATTCAGCAATACTCTGAAAATGTAATGAAATGAAACACTTTACTCTTCAGGTGATAAAAGCTAATATCAAATCGAATATACTACATAGTACAAAGATTTGTTAAACACACTTTTATTACTTAAATAGCATCTGATTATCATGGTTACAAATTTTAAGAAAATATGTGTCAGAAGGAAACAGCTAACAAATTAATTTTTCAAACAAATCAATTTAAGCTCACAAATTAATTTTAATTTAAAACAGTATAGAAATAAAAAAAAAGAAAAAGAAAAAAAAAAAGAAAAAAAAAAAAAAATGATTGCCAGCTACTGAAAATGCAATGCCAAAAAAAGGCATATCCAACAGCTTTAAAATTACATTACATAACTCAAATTTCAGAGTACTGATGAATAGATCAAATTAGATTATGCACATAATTAACAGTATATTGATAACATGCTCCTCTGAAAGTATGCAATTACTATTTCAATGCAGCCTATCCAACAAAGAAACAACTGAAAGCACAAAACTGCTGTAAATAAAAAGCTATAAATAATTGTATAACATCAATTATCAAACCATCATAAGTACATTGGTTGGATAATTTAGAATCTGTTACATATAGAAGACTATTTAGATATTCAACAAAACATTTGCAGAAGTGAAATTTTACTACTATTTAAGTAGCAACTGCTTTAGCTACCGACTTCAGAACATGAGCATCTATAATCACAATGGTATCAACATCATCACACAAGGATTAGCAATTTGATTTCATATGGATCTCGTCTCCATACGTGACACCATAGATGAATCAGTTTTTGACAATATAAAAAAAAAATTTGATGCAATGTGTAATCATAGGCTGCCAGCTAATTCCATGTAATTTCTCTAATAGCTTTATACCGCCCCCCCCCCAAAAAAACAGATACAGAACATAAAATTCAATATCTATAATAGCTAAATCTTTTGTTACTTTTTAATTTTTATCTGTACACCAGATATACTATTGAGAAGAATAATTTTTCATTTTTTGCATAAAGTACATGCTATAGTGAAATTTTCAATATTTTAACATTTACTTTAATCCAAATGCAAGCAGACCTACTCTCTTCCCAAAATATTATAATTTCATATATAATTCAAAAATATTATAATTTCTCTCTGAATTGAGCAAATTTGATAATTACCGCTGCATACTGACAATCAACAACTTTTAAAATACAAATTTTGCGTACATCACCTCAATCAGCAACATGAAACAAACACTAATTTTCATACTAGTTTCCTTTTCAGAAGCATATGGTTTTGATTATTTAAATAAAAAAAACTACTTATTTAATATAAAAGGTGGCAGAAATACTAGAAACAGACGTTAAAACACAATATACAAGAAACGAATTTTTTTATATACACAAAATTTACACATACAATTTACGAATTTCAAACAGTTTGAAAACTTTCATAAATATATTTATTTACACTGATGGCCAACTGTTTTCTGTCAAATGGATATTTTTCTCTCATAAATTACATCAGCACTTTGAACTGACATTAAAACTCTGAAAACACCCACAAAATAAATATTACAGACATTCTCAAGACCAGACTAACATCTAATTCTTGCTCTGAGTCACGATTAAATTAATGCTCTCAATGCGGAAGAAGTACAATTAGGGTACTCTACTTTCATAGCAATTGTTCTACTTTCCAGGGGCCATTCCAAAATTAAATATAAAAGATGCGGTAATGAATAAAATAAAGCTTCCTTCAAGGCTAAACCCATATTTCAAATTAAAAAAAAAACTTTAGCTGCTTCCTACTCAAGAAGCTTTAGGGGAGGGGGGGGAAATGTTCCTGCATATACTGAATAATAAAAACGTATAATGTAAATAAAATAAAAAGGTAAATCAACTCTGATATAAGAATTACAATCATGAAATTTAAATTTTAACACATCTGATTTCCTTGAAATGTTTATACAGAAATTTGTTATTATAAATATTAAATTTTCTCAGAAAATAATTTTAGTGATGAACTAACAAGCATTAATACCAATATAAACACGCATGCTTTTTTAGAATATTAAGGAAACTCAAAAGAGCTCTTAAAAGCACACTTTTGATGAGTTAATATTATTAAGGCTATTATGCAGCGATTTAGATAACACTAGAATTACAATAACTGTATTCCCCCTTTATTTTATTAAAAATGACTTATTGCATATCAGTAAAACTGATCTCTCCAAAATTTAAAAAAAAAAAAAAAAAAAAAAAAAAAAAAAAAAAAGCGAAAAATCTTAATGCAAAAATTCTAATGACAAGTAAGTACTAATCATATATTTTCATAACTAGGAAAAATTCTAATGACAAGTACTAATGTCCTTTCATATATTGAACTTTTTCCAACAATGATCTTCATCACCATTAGTCATTATCTCTTAGACAACCACCTTCACATAAGACCAAATTCAACTAGATTCTACTGCAAGTTAACAGCACAGCTAACTTGCTTCTTCACTGCGGTTCATGTTTCAACAGACATTTTTTTTAAAATATTCTATATTAAAACAGCAATCATACTATAATATGCTTTTTAACAATAAGTAATTTGGCATACATACAACAATTTTTAACAATTTCAAACTTTGTGTCATTTCTCTGAGTGATTTACCATACAATAATAGTTGGACTATCAGGATATCAAAAAGACAAAGCCACAAATAATATGTTGCATTAATGATGTATCTTTAAATCTTCCTGAATAATACTACAATATGTTTAGTTGTAACTTGAATTGGAAAAAAGAAAACAAATCTGATGATTCAGTTTTTTCTCTGAGCGGCTCAGGTTTCTGGATCTGTCATAAGATCTGTATTCAAAAGGCTTTTATTAACTAAATAAATTTGTATATTTACATACTTTAGGCTCTATTTTCATAAACTTACATTTGTTAAGATGACATTTTTACTATTAAAGAAAGTAAGAAGGCAAAATATCATAAATTATAAGCTAATATATACCAAATGACAAAATATCTCAAGACCACATAAAGCCGGCCATGGCACTCAGAGGGTTAATTAAATGGCTTAGGGTTATATTTTACCTCTATACATTAGTCTTCATGTCAGCTAAGAAAATTATATTTTTTTTAATAATAAACTTCATAAGTTGACAGTTTATTAAAAAAATTCATAGTTTGAATTCCAGTCTATATGCAGATAGCTTATTCATGTCTCAAATATTTCAGAGCTTTAAACAAATTATCAATTCTGTTTTTCAATTCACAACATTCTTCACTCAAATGAAATGCTAGCTATATTCCATTTTTCAATTTTCTCCTATTAAAATCTTCCTTCTGAGATACTCCAAGATTGAAATGCAGACCACTGTACACATATCCCAATACAGTGGCCGAGATAACCTGAGATTAATTTTTCTTCAAAGAATGATTTACATTTCATTAGACTTATTTATCTTTCAATTTTTTAACTTTTATTTATTTATTTATTACATCCGAATAAGCACAATTAAACATCAAAGAAAAGGCAAAATGAAATTATGAACAGGTTGCACAGTTAAATAGACAGAAAAAATGCATTCCTGCAGAAATCACGGGTTGTGCAAATTCTGCTACTTCTACACTGCCCGCAGAAATCGCAGGATTCGCAGCGGGAGAGTTAAAATACCGTTTTGTTTCTTCTTGGGGGGGGGATTGCCATAAATAACATGCTAGCCAGGATAATCAATTACCCTTTAGATTATCCAGAATTTTAAACTACAGACATGAAGTTAGGTAACCTTCAGTATGGATGGACAGACAAACAGAATTCCAATCATTTTCCTCTTTCAGAGGAAAAATTTGTTTATGCAATTCCATGATGAGAACTATTCTTATAAATTATAAAATGTTACATACAAAAGATATACATCACTCAAACTTTAACCCCTTACCTGTGAATAATATTTCAGGAAAACGTGTCAAAAATGAAATTTGTTTTTATTTACTTTTTCACTTCTGATACACGACTTTACAATAATCCTGCCCAACTTTCAAATAAATGTAGAACAAGCATCAACATCTTATTGACAAAACAGTTAATTAATTATATTACATTAAGCATCTAATTAATGAAAACAACTCATTTCGGGTTTCGCGGAATAGAAACACCATTTTTTCTCTAGCCTGAAATCAGTTCCAGCATACCCAGTTTGGCATGATTAAGTCCCTGAACTAGATTCGGGTTACACCGGTAAGGAGTTAATAATTAATATTAAGTGAAATTTAAAACGTATGAATTTACCTTTTACCATATGTTTAAGAATCATTAAATATATATTGTGCCAAATTAATTAAAATGAGTTACAAAAGGCACAGGCTACTTCAGATTTCATATTTAATATCGATACTTTCTTGTTAAAAATGCACAGAACTCAGCTGCCAAAATTGACAAATTTCACTACCCAGTCTGCAATTTTAAACTTCAAATGTCACCAACGGCTCATAACATGAAAGCTTTAACAAGTAAATATCGGGTTGGGAAGAAAGTAATTTGATTTTATAGTGCGAAATAAAACTAGTTTTTTTTTTCCTATATTAAAAAAAAATGTGGCTTTCTATATAAAAAAATTAACTCTATAATCAGCTAAATATCTTCTATTCTGTTCCATCATCTTTTGCCATTTTTCTGGTAACATGATTCCACGCTCATACAATTT